ACATATAATATTCATGCCAAGCTACAGAATTTTAATCTTTAAAAGATTGTTTTATATAAGGAAATAATTTAAAGCAAGCTAATAGTAATCCAATTATTGTGATATCATACAAAAAATAACTCAAACCTTTAGATAGATAACTTGGCCATGTCTTCATTCTAAATGTATTAAAAAATACAACAAAACCAAGTATGTATACATAAACTATAAATAACCAATCTTCATTAAATCCAACCCAAAATATCATTATAAAATCTGTTAAGACTGTCATTATTATTAAAATAAAATATTCCATCAAAGGTCTCCCATTCTTCACCTATATTAACTTATTTCCTAATACCAATTTGTACAATATATGACCTTTACAAAATACTATCCCTAATTTAAAAAGCTGTTTATTATTAATTATAATCTTACAATCTATTATTTAAAAAATGACCATAATCTAACCCAATAGCTAGAACAATCAATTCCATCTATAAAACAAAATTCTCCAATCTCATTCTACACAACTAAAATCAAAACTTCAATCACAAAGGCTATCAAAAGAGGTATGACTATTTCTCTTGCTAAATATTTTATTATATTCTTATTATCCATGAATATCAAACTCATTTAATCTCCTATTCTATCATAATAGAATGCATTTATTTTACGAAATCCTGCACCCTTATTATTTAATGTCATATTTGATATCATAGATTAACTTAAACTATGTTAATTAATAGGAACAAGCTTTCTATTTGCAGATTTATATGTCTATAAATTGTTCCTTTAATTTGAAGGTATTTCCACAAAATTTAAATTTAGAGGCTTTTCTTCTTAAATTTCTGTGTTTAATTGTTCAACTTATACTATATCTTTCCTAGCCTCAATAGAAACTACTTCCTATTCTGATGCTACAAATTTTTAACTCTTCTGAATATTCTGCTATTTCTAATATAATTCATCTTAATTAAATTCAGATTCTAGATCTCCTTCTGAATTTATTGTTTAATCCTATTATTCCTTTACCTTAATTGATTCTTATTGTTATTATTTTGCACTTTAAAATTTTGCACTTGACGACGATGCATTAGATAAATACATTAATTTAAATTAATTAATATAACATTTTATCAAAATATTACATAAATTTATATCTCTTTTATTTTATAATTAACAACTATATAAGTATTAATAATTAATAGAATATACTCCAAATATAAGATACAATTAATATTTTATTCAAATTATAATGCAACTTAATAAGGTATTATCATGTTAATAAAATTTAATTCTCCTTGTTATAATGGGTTGTGAAAACACTAAATATTCTTATCAAAATCCTTTGCATTCATATCTCATTAATTAGAGATTCAATACAAAGGACAATATTATAGAATTATTAAGATTGATAAAATGATTTCTATAACTTATGCTTCGTCAAATATTTTTAATTTTTTGTACTAAATTCTAGAAATTTATAATATAATAAATAATATAAATTTTTATGAGTTTTAACAAATGCAGTCTTTTGGTATCGTTTTTTTATTTTTTTCTAGTAAGATGAACATAATTTCGAACTTTTCAAAAATATAAGAGATAAAGAGAGTATTGAAGATGAATAAAATTCAATTAGCTAATCTTTAGTATAATTATCAAATTGATTAGAATTTGTAAAATAATCTAAACAATTAATTATAAGCATACTTAAATATTAATGATATTGAAGGTAGTGAAAATAGGCTAATAAGAACTTAAGCAGACTATTTTTATAATATAAATGACTTTTTTAGTGATCTTTCATATTTCACTATTTAAAATTGTTTATTATAAAATAATGAATACTAAAAATATCTATCCTTTATAAATGATTTTGGCAGCATTTAACTGTAGTTAAGAAGACCAATAGTCCAATTTATTTGATAATTATTTAGGATAGTTTTTTATCATAAACTTATTTGAACATTTATAATTTACTATTCTCTCAAACATAAATATTAGTTAATCATTTTATAGGATTTATGAATAAAATGTAAAAAAAAAAGGCTGAATAAAAATCTGATTAATTTGATAGCTAATATTGGATTCTATGATTGAAAAAACTTTTTCATTAGAAATATGAATGCCAATAAATAAAAAGCATTTTAGAAGAATAATTTATGAAAAGAGTTGAATCTTAAATGACTAATTAAGTATTTTATTAAAAAATAAATAATTTTCAATACATATTATTAGAATCTATCAAAGTAATACAAGAAAATTAATCCATATGAGTCAATTAAATATAGAATTAAAGTGAAAAATAACCAATCTTAGATTAAAAGTTTTAAACAATCAGAATATTTGAATAAAAATTCTAAATAATTGCAATATTTCAAACTAAATTTTATAGAAATACAGTCAAAATAGAAAAAATTTAAATATGCAGTAAAAAATTACAAAATTCAAATATAAGAATTATTAATTTGACAAAAATAAAGCAGTTTAAACTTATTATTGAAATAAAATAAAATAAAATTTAATTGATTTCTATTTTATACTATTAAGAATAAGCAAAGATTTATATCATTTAGAATTGTAGATTCATTTCAAAATACATATTAAATACTTTGAAAAAATCTTAATAAACTAATGCCTATATTAATCAAAAATATTAATAGATTATAAAATACATTTAATCAACTTTCATATGATGTCGTTAAAAATTGACTTTTATGCTTCTCAATAAAATCAACTTCAAAATCATCAACATCACATAAATATTTGAAAGCCACTCCTTTTTAAGTAATCAAAAATGTACTAACACAAACAACAACTCTTAATAAAATAATTTAAAAATTACCTTGATACTAAACCAAGTTTTTAATAAAATCTAAATGTTCTAGGTAAAATTGCTGCAGTAGTCAATCCAAAAAATGATCCAAAATAATTCATTCTTACTAATTTCTTTTAAAGTTCAAAATATTTCTTTAATTATTGATCATCCATTTCTGTTTCTAATGCTTTCATAATTTCACGCTTTGTAATTGTTGTTGTATTTTCCAATCCATTTTCTCTTAATTCTGTTTAGGCCTTTCTGAATCTTGCTTATTATTCTACATATTTCATTTTGTCTTTCATTTATTTACTCTTTTCTCTTTTCTCTTCTTTTGTTAATTCAGCCATTTATATAAATTAATAATAATAATAATAGCAATTCATCTTGGAGCACCAAATGCTTCAGGCATTCTTTCTATTGTATATTTGTGATTTTAGATGAACATTATTGGAACACCAGGAATTTTACGGATTCTTCTTTTTAAATCCTTATCACAAGTGGCTACTATGAAACATCTATGTTGTTTCACTCTATTTACTAAACAATCATCAGCATAAGTGCCTTTGTGATCACATGTTAACTTCTCAAAGCGAGGATCTTTAGATAATCTCAAAGCCAATCTTGTTTTTTATCCCAATTTCTCTAATTCAGCAATCACACAATCAGAAATATATGGGATGCATTTTCCAAGTAGACAATCCATTGTATTTTTAAATATATCAAGTTTGTTTGAAATGCTGAAATTTAAAAAGTTTGTATCAAGTAGAATTCTATATGGAGGTCCAAGGGCTGGATTATGTCTAAAAAATAAATGACTTGGCTCTTATGGTCTTTGATATAATAATATTAAAAATACAATTCTTTTATTTCTACATCATTAACACCTTTCTTTTTCTCCTCTTTTGGTTGTTCTAAATGTCTTTTTTAGCATCTTGGATCCTTTTTTGTAATCATTCGCTTTATAGTTGCAAATTTCTTAGTTTTATGTGCTTTGCCCATATGTTAAAATTAAAAATAAGAAGTTTTGATATAGAATTTGAACAATAACTTCGATACTTTAAATTAAAGAAGGAGAACAGAATTTAATATAAACTCATTTATAATAATGTTCCTTTAATTCTTATACCTGAATCTTTTTAATCATGTCTATCTATTTCTTCAAAAATGTCTGCTTTTGATTATTCTTCACATTGTATGGTGACTATAGTAATTGAATAAGTTTCTTTGTTTGAATCATTTTAATAGTTGTGGGACTACTCTATTACTTTTAATTTGGTGATTTCCTTTGAACCTAATTACGTCCACATTTTGGACTACCTGGTCGACTTGAGGATGTCTTCACGAATGTGAAACCTTTTTTAAAATCTGGGAGTGTATCTCTACTAGGCTTACAAGTCTCCTAAATAATCTAATTAAGATTGTTACTTAAGTTGAACCTGACATTAGCAGTGAGACTTTCTTCTTTTTATTCTCTCCATAAAATTGTAAACTTAATTCCTTGTAAAATTCATCAATATCATCATTAATATTCTCATCCTAATATGGATCATAGGAATGGAGAGACAAATGTTCGTCATCTGACATTTTTCTTATAAAAATTAATCAAATTACATTATAGTAAATTAAACTCCCTCAAAACATTATAAAAAATTTGTTTAAACCTATTAAAAACAATCTACACTTAACATCATAAAGAATATTAAATAAAAATAACATATTCAAAGTTTCTTCTAAATATAATTATTTTTATGAATAAGTTTATTTTCTTATTCTAAAAATGTCAATAGTAGTTATTAATTTACTAGATAATTAAAATACCACTAATATTTATAATATTATCTCTATTAACAAGACAATTAAATTAATTTGCTTATACAATTCTAAATTATTTTTACTATCGTCTACAATAGATAATTAATAAAAATACATATAAATTGGATGTAATAAATGAATCTTCTCGATTATTTAATATGGCTCACTTAGATTGTAAATAGTCTGATTATTATTTTATACTTTAATTTGAATTAATTTAATGTTAGATTTATAAAAAAGGCGATTAAATAAATTAAAAGATGTAATAACATTTAGAAATATTTGAAAGGAGAATTGATTATATATATATAAATAATTTGAGCATATAATTTTTTCAAAAATAATAAATAAGGAAATAAAATATTATAAATTGATTATCCTCAATTCATTAAATCTTCTTTTATGCAGATTTTTAAATGAGAGAATCCTAAAGTTCATTGCATCTTTATTTTCTACTAATTTTTTTAATATTTTTTTTTAATTTATTGTAATCTAATATTACTTCGGTACTATTAAAATTTGGGAAGTAATACTAAAATTCATAAATTTTATCAAAAAATAATGAATTATTGTTTAAACTATTCTAAGTACCATTATTTTATTGAAAATGAGTTTAAGATTTTTATGACTTTTCTCTAACAAATATATTTGATCTTAGTTATGTATCCTTTATCGATGTTTATATTTAAAATGTTTATAAAGTTTATTAAACTGGTTTAGTATTATCATATTATTTCTATTGTTATATTCTAACTTAAGATGGTATGATTAAACTATCTTGTTATTGATTCAAATTTATGTAATTTTCTTATGAAGGTGGGTCTAAGCCTTAAATATGCTCTTGAGTCATAGATTGTCTGTTGGTTCCATCTTAATCGAGAGATACATATGTACCAACTTTTTCTTCTAGAAAATGATTTATATAATAGAGTTTCTATTAATTTTAGACACCCTTAAATGTGGAATATATATTATACTTTTATATCTTTAAGTGAATTAGTTTTATGTTATGCTCTAATGATCCTCTTTCTATGTATATTTTTAGATCTATTATATTTTAAGATTAACTTTTCAATATCAGGCTTATAAAATAAATAAGAACAATCAAAAATTTAATGATTTCCAGAATTGCATGCACAGCAAGTAATTCCTTCTACTGATATATTTTAAAATTATCTATCCTTAATTTAATGAAACTTTTCAGAATCCTATTTATCTAGACTATTTATAAAATCTAATCTATTAATCTTATATATTTTAGTAAATCCAACACTAATAGCTGTGAATTTTCTAGATTACTATGTAAAAAATTCAATTTCTCCAAATTATTATCCAGGATTTAAAATAGTTAATTATGTTTATGATTTCATATCGACTAATTTAATTTAACCATAATCAATGAAATATAATGATATATCTTAAAAACTATCTTAAGAATAAATAGTTTCATCTGGACAATATTTATATGGTTTAATTTTCTTTGCAATTTCTTTTAAAGTTTATTCTGAAAAATTATTAAGTAGAAATTTACAATTTTAAATTATATGTTTAAATACCATATACATTAATTCATTTTTTAATTCTACAGATAATTAATTTTTAATCTATGAAATCTATTAATTATATATATATTAAATACTAATTCATTATTCTAATTTAAAGATTCATTTTACATATATTAAAGATAACTTCTAACTCTATCTTATAATTATAATGGAATATTATGTTATTTCATATATTTTGAAATAGCATGTAAATTGAATATAAATTATGATTTTTGATCATTTATAGTAGATAAAATTGATCCAATTTTATTTATTGAAAATGCAAATACACCACAAGCCATAAACATCAATATTATACAAATTATTGTTTCAATATAATTTTATGGTGTAATATCTCCATATCCTACGGTAATCATAGTAACTGTTGCCCAATAATATGAATAACAATATTTTATTAAAATTGATTCTTAATCAATACCCTTTTCGATAAGCCAACTAGTATTTAAAGATTATGCACTATGTGATCCCACAAAATGCCATATACATGCTAATAAATGAGCAAATAAACTTATAGAAAATAGTAATGTTATTAAATTTACATATTCTCTATTAATTTAATTGATATGAGTTTATTATTACAACTTACCTATTTATTCACTTAATTTTGTATAACTTACAAGACAACATAAACATAAAAAGATTGTTGCTGTAATAATATCATCATAATCTTTGCTATCAGGAATAGAAGTACTTAGTATAATGACTGAGAATATAAGTAAAAAATCTAGTAGTAAATCATCCTTAAAATATTACTTCAAAATAGAAAATCGATCATTTATTATCTATTTATTTAAGTAAAATTAATTACATTTCCTTAAATTGCTATTTATGTATTTAATCTGAGTAGAATGTCAAATGAAAAATAAATTAGAGTATATAGAATAATTAATCGGAAGCTATCCTCTCCCCCCATTTAAAATGTCCAAACAAAAGGATATATCCATAAAATAGATATAAGTGATAAAGTTCTAATAAATTCCCAAAATGTAATCAACATACTACTTTAATCAAATACAGGAATTTAACATTTTTTTGTATGCAGATATTCACCTAGCATAGTAGGCTTTCTATATTTGTATGTAAAATGTTACTTTATTAAATATTTTTCAATTAGAAATTTTTCAGTAACCTTTCTGCTCTAGTTGTTGTATATATAAGCTTTTTTCATTATTTTTTCTTTAAATACTTGAACCAATTTATCCACCTTTAATAAACCAAATAATTTCTGAGATGCCTTCTTGTTTTGATTTTTTCTTTCTTCCTTCACCTATTTTTGAGAGAAATCTTTAAAAGAAATAGATATATCAAGAATTTCAGATTTTTCATGTTAATCTAAATCTAATTAATTAGTTATAGGTGAATGACGAAATGGACGGAAAGGCTCATTATCATTATTGAATTAAAGGTCTCTTGAATATTCTTATTCTTGTATGTTTATCATAATAAAAAAATAATTTAATTTTGATTTTTCATCTTTGACTTATTAGAAAATCAATTTAGATTTATCACATTATATAAATCTAAGTAGTATATTTAATTCTTATATATATAATAAATAAATAGAAAATGTTTCAATTTTTCCAATTATTTTTCACAACAAGAAAATATTTAAATTATAATCATTTCATTCAAAACATTCTAATAAAATGAGGATTCAAATTTTTTGATTTTAAATAAAAAAATATTAATTATTTGAGCAATATCTCTTTTTTTATTTTATTTATATAAAAATAAAACATATTACATAAAAATTAATATTAATAGGGAATTTTTATAAACTAAATTTTTAATAGGTTTTTTAAAAGACTTAATTTATTATTCTAAATACTAAGTTTAAATATTTGTTTATTTATAAAATAGCTAAAAATATGATCAATTTATATTTATCGATAATAAATAATATTATTTATTAATATGATAGATAGAATATATTGGTAAAATTTTATAATGATTTTTTAGAATGATAAATGAAAGAATATTACTTAATTATGTATTATAATATATTTAATGGAAAATAAATCATAATTTATATTTTCTGATAGAATCAAATTATTGTAATAATTGGGACCTGAACCAGAAAGAGAAGATATTCAAAAGATAGCCACAATGTTTAAAATACCAGAGGGAAAACTTTAGAAATGGATTAACCAGTATGATAAATATGTACTGCCTTAGAGGAAAGAGATAATAGATTCTGATGATGATTAAATAAATAAATTAATATAAGAACAAAGATAATTATGCTAAGAACTTTCTGCTTTGGTGGAATAAATTAATGAAATTCATAAAAAGAAATAATTATTATATTATTAATGAATTTTAATTAAAACAATTAAAAAATTAAATGAATTTTTATACTTTGGATATTCTTCAATATAGAATTTCATTATATTTATCTATCTTTATATTTGAGAGTATAACTTTAAAAAGTATAAATATTTTGGGATAACTTTAATAAATTTAATTTAATAATTAAGATAAGTTATATATCAATAATGATTATTATTAATAATAGTTTAATAATAATGAATATTAATTAATTAATCAATTTAAAACTTCAAATTTAACTTATCCTTCTAAACATGACATGTAAATATATTATTTTTATTTCATCAAAGATCCCTTTTTTTGAAATAGTATTAAGATTCCATCTCTTGTAAACAATCTTAGACTTACTATATCATCAACAAAGTTTAAATTCAATCCAACAATACTATCTATTTATAAACAGAAATCCTACACTTTCCCTAATTTAGAATCATCTCTACATTAATTATATAAACATGCCCAATTACCAACATTATCAATATTTTTAGTTAATTCAAAAGCTGTTTATTCAACATATCCAAAATGTAGACAACCAGATAGAAATGAAAGAATACGTATACGTATTTCTATATTATCTTGAAAATATAAGTCTTATGAAACAATAGTAGTATTCTTTTGCATTGTAATAATTTTACCTCCTTCTTCAAATTTCACTTTAGGTTTACCTAATATACTTCTCTTAGTTGTTTTATCTAGAAATGATAATGTTGGCATGAGAGGACTTATAGTATCATCAAATTTAGATATGGAAGTGTTTGTTTAATTATTATTATTATTTGTGTAAGTATTCTAAAAATTTGGAAAATTATCAATATTTTCAAAACTATCTTTATTTAATAATAATTATTAGGTTTCACCTAGTTAATCTATTTATGATAAATTTAAAGTAATTGCTTATGGCATAGATTTAACATCAGTTGATTTCTATTCATTACTATCTTCTTATAAAATGGATTGGAAATTTAGATAAATTTATGAATGTGTAGTCTTAATTAAATCATGCATTCTTTATTTCAATTATTAAATCTTCTTGTACTTCTGGGAATTACATTATAATGAATGAACACTCTTTTCTACTTATGATTTAAGATCATCCATATTTGCAAGGAATGCATCTTAGACTGTTAGAAATACATTTTCAAATGTTAAAGATGGATATGGATTCTATATACCATTTAGAATACAATCTTATAACCATTTATACTCATCTACATTAATATAACTTATCTACGTTAATTAATATGACGACTACTATTTTCCTTATTGTGAAGATATTAAATCAATTTAAAAAGTTTGTCTCTTTTATCTACAATTTCTTTGATTACTAAAATATTTTGGGACTCATGTTGATGATCATTTATTATACATTTTAAACTACCTAGTCAATTCAATTACCATAAAATATGTTGATACTCTTCACAATTTGAATCTATACAAATAGCTATTATAGAATCATGATCATGTAATTAACATTGTAAGTCTTTGAATAAATCATTAATTCTATAAATGTAATTTTTCAATTAGAGATCGTACTCTGACCATATGAAATTTGTATTATGAGGTTTATATTTGATTAGACATTTTCTCATAATTTAAATCAAATTATTATTATTTATACTTTTATAGTATTATTCAAGTAGTAATTTAAATATCCAAATATTATGCTTATGCATCCTCATATCAATGCTTAATAAGGTTCCTCATCAAGATCTATGTCAATATCTATGGATGATTCAATTAATATGTAAATACAACCAATTGTATAAAAAATGGTCATTGTCAACTCACATTAACTATAAGTGAGAAAACCATCTAATTAAGCTCAAGATATTCTTCGTTCACCACCTACAGCCAGCTTAACTCCATAACAAGTTTCAGAAAAACTTCCTTAGAATGACCTAAAGGATTTACTATTAATAGATGAAGAACCAAGTATTAAAGAATAATCAATGTAAATAAACCCAGAACCTAAAAAAAAGAAAAAACAAATTAAGAATAACATAAGTAATGCAGAGATGATCATTGATGAAAAGCCTTAAAATTCATATAGTAATGTATAATGGAGTAAGTTACTCACTTCCAAAACTAGTGTCACTAATCCTTCATTCTAATTAAATTTTCTTTAAGATAAAGCTGCAGACTTCTTTTTCAAACAATCTTCTTTAAAGTGGCTTAAACCAAAATTACAAAATACATACTACTATATTAGTAGTGCTGTCTTAAGTGTTTACTTATGTTTTTTCATTACTATTATGTTAATAGATTTAGAAGATGGAATCTATTAACAACCTATATACTAAGTTATTTTAATGACATTTTGGTTGATAGATACATTTAATTAAATTCTTTTTATTCAATATAAAAACGGAGAAGAAATCAAATAAATAGAAGATCTTGTTATCAGATATTGTAAATATTAATCAATATTTGATATTTTGACTATTATTCCTATTATAATGTGTTTAATTTAAAAAAAGATACCTGCAATATAATTATTACATCTTATAAATATATGGAAAATTAGAAGAGTGTTTTATGAATTATAAATGATATTAGGTAAATTCGCATTGTACATTTATTATATTTTGGAACTTCATTTCGTTTAATTTATAGCTTTGTCTATTATTCAATTTTCGTTGGATAAACAAATAAATTATTTTGATGAATTCATAGTATTATTTTATAAATCAGAGAATGCTAATGTTCTTACTTACATTGTTAGGCTTCTCATTTTAATTTATTATTGTTATTTCATTTCAAGACTCAACACTTAAGACAAGTGGTAATTAAATCAATTTCCTATTCAAAATAATACCAAGTAAAAAATTAATGGATATATTAATAAATTAAAGAGTTAATAAACTGTTGATCTCAACTTCCTCGAATACTTACCTCAACCATATATTGAAGACTTCAAAAATTAAAGGTATATGCATATGTTGTCTAATATACCTATTTTTAAGTCTTCCTTTTCTGAATCCACACTTAAAGAAATTTGCAATCTTATTCAAGAATACACTTACAATCCTAATTAAACTATTCTCCTTTAATAGACTCCAAATCAATAATTATACTTGATTTTATCAGGAGATGTCAGGATCTCATAGAGAAGAGAAGAGACTCAAAAAAATTGTGAATTTAAATTAAAAGTTTTAAGTGAAGGTTAGATATTCAACAATAAAGCCTTTTTCAAGAATTCTTACTCTAATATATGTGCAACTTCAATAGGATTCTCTTAGATTGCTTAATTGGATATTGAATTATTTTAAGAGTGTATAAAACATCATTATTAAGAGAAATAGAAGTATAAAATGATGTTGGATTAGATTATACTCTAAGAATTTTATAATTTGTGTTTAATGCGTTGTTATGCATGTGGTAAATTTCATGATATTGATGAATGTGATCATGTACATTATGTTCCTAAGAAATCTTTTCTGGTTTCATACATTTAATCAAATGATGTTTAAGTAAGACATCCATAGAAAAGAATACGATGTAGACAATAGAGAACAAAATCTTATATGTTGAAAATAGAAGAGAATGCTTTACTTTATTAATAATTGAACATTGAATCTGACATATCTGATGATCATAAACATTTAGATGAGATGATAAGTATTCAATAACAACATTATTTACGTGAAGTCACAAATCCATATACAGATAGATAAAATTCATTGTAACAATCTTAGTAGACTCCTCATATGGCTTCATAATAATCTTTAAGAGAATCTATACAATCTCAATAGCAGCCTGGACATTAATTAATGGATATACCCAATGTAAGTCCTGTTCAATATGTTTAATAACCTCCTAGTGCAATTTCACATAGTTCGTATGCTTAATTATTGAAGGATGTATCAGGAAATCGGAAAAACTTTAATGGATCATCTGATAAAAACTCTAGTGGGAATGTTTTTTCGTTACCTTACAATAGTAATGGAAGTAAAACAAACCCTAATAATGTTATATAGAATAAGGAGAAGGAGGAATTGATAAGTATTTAATTAAAGAAGGCCAAATTGAAAGATAGTGTATATTACCATCAGAGAAGAATATAGAATCAAATAGAAAGTGAGGGTCCACATACTCCATCTAAGTATTAGAAGTGTTAAACTACTGCACCACAATTATAGTAAAATAAGACTTATAGATCAGATAGGAAATCAAATTCTTGCATTTCTGAATCTGAAAAAGGAGAATATTAAGTGCAATAATAATAATAATAAGAGAAACCAACATCTAAATATGGCATAACATCTTCAAAATTTACTGGAGAAACTGCAAAATAATTTATGAGGAATCCTTTAGAAATGCCAAATATTGAATTTTATTAATCCTTTGAAAAGAGTAATTAATATAGTGATTACTTTCCATAATATAATGTTGATTAAGCAATTGAAAGCTATAAACAATATTAATAATCTAGATCCAGTGCTAATAAATGATTATATTTATAATATAGTATGATTATTCAACTTCCTTAAAAGTATTCTATAAATCTGGTTAGAGACATACTCTCAAATAATGCTACGATTGAATTTGATGAAATATAGGTCTAATAATCAAGGGATTCTTTCTTAACATTTATTAAAAACAGTCAACAACAAATATATGGATTCAATACAATACTTGGATAGAAAATGCCTTAACCTATAAAAGATCTCCAAAACTATGAAACCAAATAATTAAAACAATTATTAGAGTGCAATTCTTCAGATTATTTACAATAAGATCTATGTAAAATTACATTATTTGTGCTGATCAACAATTTAATCATCAATAGTGGAATTAGTCTAAATACATTAAGATAACTCAAAGATGTTTTTAATAGTCATATACAATTACACTTACCATCAACTAATTTTAATACATAATATTATGATGGAAGTATTAATTGGGCCATATTATAGTTAATCAAAAACATCAGTGAATATGACACTATCATAATTACATTAACTAAATCATTATCATTTGCTACACTTTTATACAATACACATAAAAGTTTGAAATATATAAAAATGGCATTTATTACTACTTCTGTATCTTTTGAGGCTACCAATGGAGTCATCTGTGCATTTACTTAGCTGGTTAATGAAGTCAAATAACATCAAGGTCAGATGGAAGTTGCTTAAGAATTGTATAATCTATTGACTGTAGATGATGAAGAATCAGATTTGAATATAAGTTTAAAGAGAATAACAAATAATATACTTTAAGATGCTTATTCAACAAGATGTATACCATAAGTTATAGGAGCAGCATTAGATTAAATTAAATTCATTATTAATTAAATTGAATCTTAGGAAATAGGATAAAGAGCTTATGACTTTGAAGTAGATAGTAATACAAAATCAATCACAGATATAATCTATAATGAATAAAATAATAATGAAACTGAATTATTATTAATAGATTATTTGGCTATAGCAGTTTCAGAAATTGGAGCTATTACTGAAGTATATATATAGTTTTTTAGTATTTCTAGAGAAGAATTCAGAGGTTAATGAATCCAAAGTTAACTAAATTATAAGAATATTATGAAGAATATTTAAGAGATGAAGAATCCTTATTTGGATTTTAGTAATTGGCTAATTAGGCCAGTAATTTAATATAAAAAAATAAAAAGTATTGTCATCCTGTTTCAGGTGATTCAATGCCATAAACTACTCATTTAGAGGATATCAATAATAACTTTGAAGATTCTATTTTAAAAATGTAACATATTACATAAAATACAATTCAAATATTGGCTATTGATATGTTTCTTAGTGCAAGAATTATTAAAAAATTAGAATAAAAGGAAGGTAAATTGATTCATTCTAAATTGGATACTGTAGTTTAGTAAGTATTACTTATAGAAAATACCATTTAAGTTGCATAATGGTTAGAATAATTTATAAAACTGTGATTATTCTATATTATAAAATGAGTGCATATGAATTATATATTCTTTGAAATTCATTTAATTATATTAAAGATTTGCATTAAATTCTACAAACTTCAATATTTAATAAATTATATAAAAAATTAAATACTTTTATTGATTATAAATAAAAAAAAAATGTGACATAAAGAGAATAAAAATATGCTTGAAAATGAAGTTTTTAAAATTAAATTTTGTAATATAATAATTTAATTAAAAAATGAATAATTAATATATATTTTTTATAGCATCTTCAATTATTCCTGCAGAAACTGATAATAATATAATTCATAGTTAAAAATAAGAAGCTTATTCCTAATAAGAAAAGAAAAGTTGAATTAGATATAATCATATGACCTAATTTTTTGAATTTTAATGATATAAAAAGAATCATTATGAGATTGATATTTAAAAGAGATAGGATAATCTATGATTTTATTACATAATCAATCAATGAGAATAGCATCAGAAAATGAATTACCTATTTTTTTAATTGGTTTAGGTTCTGGTAATAAAGGAGGATGTGACTTTTATTATTTAATTTAAGATCCTGCTACAACTTGATTGGAGATTTTTAAAATACGCTATGAAATCTACTCTAATTATATAATTCGATTATTATTGCTACGTGTGGAATCTGGAAGAATTGATTCTTGTTATTACAATAGTTCTCTCAATTCAGGATTTTCCACTTCACCCTAAAAGAATTAAGCAATCTGTTTACAAATTAATTAAATGAGACTTCATTAATTTTCAGGTTAAATTACTTGATTATTGTTAGTATGCACATTTAATATGCATCAATTTATAATCCAAGTATCATCTATTTACATATTGGACATTTCCATTTTCTAGGAGTAACATTCTTCATCATAGTTACTAAATTTTCTAATGAAAAACACTAAATATGTTCACAAATATTGCCTCTTGCTGGAGTCTAGATTTAATTCAGATCATAGACACAATCTAAACTAACCTTTATACTTTCCATTTTCACTTCATCAAATTAATTTTATAAGATAGATAATTAAATAAATTTCTTGCTTTATTCTATTCCTAATAAACAATTTTGATCCATTTTTATTTTTTTGATAAATTCACTCAATTTATAAATTCTTACTTAAAATATTCCTAACATATATGGAATTCCTTAATTTATTCGATAAGCTTTCAATTCAGGTGTTTAATTTTATTCTCTAATAGTTAATAAATTCACTTGCCCTTATTCTAATTTAAGCTCAAGTTTTTCATCTTTTCTTTTCTTTAAAGAACTATTATGAGCTAAAGGTCTAAATTCTTAAATCTTTTTTCCATTTAATTATAGATCACCTAAATCAGGCCATGAAATATCTTAAAATTAACCATCTATTTTAATTGATCTTATTTCTATTAAATGTTCTGAAGGTAAACCTTTTTTTAATTAAAATTTTGATATAAATTAATTAGCCCTCCCTTCTAAAGATTAAAATATTATTGGATCTAAAATTGATTCTTATAATTCATGTAATGGATCCATACCAATTATTATACATTCTGGACATACAAATACTTTTTTAGGTTTCTCAATTCGTAAACATGAACTATGAAAATAATTCTTACAAATAGCACATCTAAAAGCCAATGATTTTTATGCTATTTAATTTATTTTCTTGCAAACACAATAAGGACAATTTAATTGTTCTTCTGTAGGATTTTTAAATTTAGCTAAATCAATCAATTCAGATTCTTATTTTTACTATTTCTATTATTATTCATCAGGAATTATTTGATTAGAATCAATTTCAATATCAATTTGTGATGATCTTGTACTTTAAGAATCAATCAATTTTTGTTAATCAATCAATTAATGTAATGTTGATATATGATGTTGAAAGTAATTATTAATACGCATATTTATATGATCTATTATTTACTTTAAAATAGGATGTCTATTGATCTTTGGCACATCTTCTAAATAAAAATAACTTCCTAAAAATAAATCACTAATCGATTTAGGTGGATTGAATATCTGTTTTTAAATCATTTTCTGTTTTTGTAAATTCAAAATGAATTCTAAAAATATAGACCTAAAATTCAACTCAAAATCCTATTAAATATTAAACTCTTTTTATAATTCATTCTAAACCTTCCTATTTATCTATTAAATATTGTCATTCTTTCACTTACTTAATTAAGAATTATTCCCTCCTCAAGATATTTTGGTATCTCCTAATTTACATCCTCCTTGATATCCTTCAAGTTTTTCTCAAGTTCTTTTCTTAACATTCCAAATTTATTTATTTAAAATATTCGATTACATATAATTTCTAAATTAATACATAGATAATAATTTTAATATCTATATACTATTCTATATTAAAAAAAGTAATATATATAATAAACTCAAATATCTAATTACTTATTTACATTTATTAATATTAACAATAAAAAAATATTATATTTATTTCAATCTCTTAATAAATATACTTTTGTTTAAGTAATATCAAATTATATAAATAATATAAATTAATTTTATTTATTTTAAATCAATCCCCCATAATAAATAGTAAATTATTAGAAATATTTTGATAGTTATTAATAAATAATTGAATTACATTAGAATATAACATAAATTAATGAGTAAATCAATTAAAATTTATGATTTCAATAAATTAAAATTTTATTGATCTCTCAAATTTGCTAATTTATAAAAATAAGAAACATCAAATATATTTAATATTCAGAATCAATTTATATGGTGGAATAGATCATTATTATTGTATTATCTAATAACTATATTAAAGTAATAATGGTTATATCAGATGCCTTATAAATTTCAGAGGATTTACCTAAGATTTTTAATTGATTAAAACTATAAATATATTAGAATAAGATGTTGAAATTATATTAAATGAATTTGGATTTAATAAACTTTTAGCATTTAACTTAAAATAGCATTGATTAAGAATATGTTGTTTATTAATTAAATTTATATTGCTAAATTCAAGAACAAATTTTTGGATCCAAATTTGTGTCGAATCGATGTAAAATGATTCGATAGCAATAAAAAAATATTTAATTCATTGTGAATTATGATATTGGATTATGAATTTAAAATATTATAGAAATCTTTGTTTGATAAGTTTAGTGTATTTGGATGATAATTGTTACTAATTAATGCATGATGGAATACTAATAGGGTTCATTATTGGAGATAATAATCGAATATTTGATATTTGTATTGATGATTAAGTAATGGAGGAAAATTATTAGACAAGAAAACTTATTATAACATAGACGATTACACTTAAAATAGACTATTATAAAGAAGGAGATATTTGATTTAATTATCAGCTAGTAACAGATGTATTCAATATTTATTAGGTAAGAATCAAAATGTGAAAACAATTGATTAATTATTACATGATTTAAGAGTAACCAGTCAATAATGCGGACTTTAAGGCTATGTAATAAAGAGAGTACTCAACATAATAAATTTTTGGTGTGTAGATAAGTTTTATGGAATTTCTAATAATAATTTAATGATTTTAGTATTTATCTTATTAAATCAATAGATTAAGTCATGGGATAATAATAAAAGATTATTAATTATTTTGTAATGTGCAACTTTATGTTCTTTGATACTATATTAATTATAAATAAATATATGTTTTTTTGCTGCAATAGTAATAAGAAAGCTAAGAGAAAGGAAAACACAACTCAATAGACAATGTAGCAATAATCTAATTAGCCGAAATATTAAATTCGTACATTTATTGATTAAGATTAACATTCAACTAATTTAACAAATTTTGAAGGGACAAATGATAGAATGAACTTCAGTTCCTAGGATGTAGAGAGATTCATTTTGGATGATAAGAAAACCTTTGAATAAGAACGTGAACTAGTTATGAGATTGATAGAATTGCCAGAGAAGACTCATTTAATAGAGTTAAATTGGGCTTTTGCCTACACAAATTATATAAAAGATGAACGTAAACATCCAGGAGAAATCAATAATAAAATTTTAGTAGAAAAATTAAGGAACAATGAAGAATTGATTTCTGAAAAAGATTATGTTTTAGTTAATGATTAAGTCTGGAATATGCTGGTTCACATCTACAAGGGTGGTCCCATGCTTACCATTCATGATCTAGAAAGAAAAAGTGATAATAATATCCTAGATTAGTCATTAAGAGTTTTTGCGTCTCCCTCCATGAACGATTTGGATAAAAAGTAAACCTAGTTTAGATTGTTGAATCAATTACCTATTAAAGAGATTTAGATAATAGGATTAGAAAATGAGAATTACTTTTGTTATCTAAACAGTGTACTATAATGTCTTATGGGAATTCCTCAGCTTAATTATTTCTTCTTATATTCTTATAATCAAGAGAATAAGTTATTTACTTAAGCCTATACTCTACTTCTTCGTAAAGCTATTAAGATGCATTACAAAGGAAGGATACTCCCAAAAGAATTGATTAAGATTTTACAAAAGCATTTCTCTATTTATGAAATGCATGATAGTTCTGAACTCTTGTTATTCATTCTTGATAAATTTAGAGAAGAAATTTCTATTGATAATTAGTTAGAAACAACATTCATTGATGAATTATTTAGAGGTCAAATTACATCTTTTATTAAATGTCCTCATTGTACTAAAATTAGTACAAATCAAGAAGTCTTTTATGATCTTAGTCTTCCATTGCTTGGTAAGAATTTTATCTAAAAAAAACTTACAATTAATGAATGTCTTACTAATTATTTCAAAGAAGAAATTATTGATGGAGGATGGACTTGTTCTGAATGTAATAAATTATCCAAAAACATTAAAAGACGTATCAAAATTACAAATGCTCCTAATATTCTTATTTTTCAACTCAAAAGATTTTAAAGTTATCCTCTTAAAAAGAAAATTAAAGAACCTGTTATTACTGATATGGAGATTAACATAAAGAGGTATAAATTATAATAATAATCCTTCTTAGTTGTTGTACAACAGATATCATAGATACTAAATATCATTTATAGGCTATGATAGTACATTCTGGAACTATTGATTAAGGACATTATGTTGCAGTTGTTAAGCGTAATTAATAAGTAATTTTATTCTCTTATCAATTTATTTAGTTTTTTTTATTCAATGATGATGAAATTGGAAGACTTTCATATGATCAAATATCTCGCATTGATTCTGCTTACCTTCTTATCTATCATAGAAAAATATGATTGATTAAAATTTTAACTCTAAAATTATATATAAATATATCGATATGCAATCTAACAAAGACAATTTGAGTCTCGAGATATTATTAGGATTTTAATACCCTGAATTGTTTACAAAAGCCATGACTTTTAAATAATTTCATTAAGAATATACAGCAAGGAATAAAGATAATCCATTAAAATATGGGATAAATGAAAATTTTATTGAATTGGGATAAGATCTCATTGAATTTTATTATAATGATTTCTTCACATATTAAGAGTATGTCTTAAAGAATTAAATTATTATATAGTCTACCAAATAAAACTCATAAAATATTCAAAACTTACTCTGATATTAGAAAATAAAAATAATTGGTTTTATCCGAGAAAAATTTAGCAGATACAGCAGTTCAATTAGGATTGAAGACTTAAATGTTAATTTCCATTAATCCTAATTCAGAATTAAAGTAATCATAGAAAATTAAATAATTCTAGAAATAACCAAAAAATTTTAGCCCAGGCCCTAAAAGCTATAATTGGAGCATAATATTTTGATAAAAAAAAAGATTTAAATATTTTAAGAGACTTATTACAAGTGGTCTTTCAAGAAATAATTAAAAAATCACTTGTAAAAAATTGATCTTTATATAGGATGAAGCTATGGGTTTTCCTTAATAAGAAAATATAAAAGGAGATTTCAAAGAATTTATTGATAAACATCCAGAACTTTCATATAAATTAAGTTATTAAGAACTCAAAAATAATATAGAATTAAATTAAACTATTTATGAATATGAATTAAAGATTAATGATATTTTACCAATTAAAAGAAGTGGAAAATAAAAAAAGGCTGTTGAAAAAGAAGTCTTTAAAGTTGCTTTAGAATTAGTTAAAAGTGATAAATTTTAATAAATATTGGATGATAGTATGAGAAGTTAACTAGATTAAAGTTTTGATGGTCCTTCCCATTAAATTTAGGATTCAATAGTTATTGAATCACAAGTTTCTAGTAAATTTCATTAATAGTTTTCATTTGTTTAGTAATTTTCTCTAATGGATTAATCATTTTAAGAATAATTATAAATAAATGAATAAGATGAAGATAAAAAATAGATTGAACGGAGCTTAAAGTATTGAATAATAAAAAAAATAAGTGTATATTCAAAAAGAAAATAAATTTATAAATATTTATATAAATTATGAGTGAATAAGATTACTAAGCCAATTCACGTTATTCAACACTCCAATCTAATAATTACTAAAGTTAGTTGTTGACTACTCATTTTGGAAAATTATTAGATAAGAATGAAGCATTCTTCAACCATCTCAAAGGAGACTGTATTTGTGGTAGATGCATATGTGGATAATGTAAATGTCCAAAAATGCTGCTCTCCAATGATTTTAAAAAGGGATAAGAATCATTATATTAAAAAGATTTTACAACACATGGTAAATAAAAGTAAATACCACTTATTGATCACAATGTAACTTATAAGAGTTAATTGCCAATGGATATAAATTCTATATAAAGAGTATCTATTTATTAATTCAATTTTAGAGTACATATTAAGCTCATCCTGATGCTAAACCAGCAGAATCTTTAAAACCTGAATAAAAAGTGTTTTTAATCCCATTTAGTAGTTCATCAGCTTACAGAGTACAAATATTGAAATATATATTTAGCTTGATTACACTGGAGGAGGAATGTCATCTCTCAAAATTAATCCACCTCATCATCCAACTGTAGTTGATATTCCTATGACTACTCATTCTACTTATCAAGATAATTTTTATAAAAAACCAATTCCAAGAGAAGAATTTCTTACAACTGCTAATAAAAGTAGTTTTAAAAGCCCAATATCTCCAGAATTACCTTTTATTCATTAATCTACTAATAGTGCTTTTTATAAACCTTATCAAACTGGAAAATTGAATAGAATTGATCCTGAATAAGTATATTAATAATTTAAACTATTTTAGAAAGTTAAAATGATCCCTGCTTTTGAAGGTTAATTTAATTCAACCACTTAAAAAGACTTTGATGATAAGAATCCAAAAAAGTGTCCATCTAGAGTGTTTTTGAACTCGTTATACAAATAAAAATTATAATAAATTGCTTGAATTAAATAACATAAAAAATAAATAGATTAAACTTTGTATATCATTTTAATTTTTAAAGTTTTCTTATTCTCTTTCTATATTTCAAAAATTCAATAATAATAAGGATAATTCCTTATTTAATAATTTCATATATCTTTTCATAAAACATAAGTAAAAATGCTGAATTCAATACTGATTAACACAATTTAGGTGTTAAACCTAAATAAATAATATTAATGTTTTACCTTTAAATAAACCTTATATTCCTTCATTTTTTAAAATCTTTTCTGCTGCTGAAAAATATGATTTTGAACTATTTTTTTTGATATGTGTTTTGGTCCTTAAAAGTTAGTAAGGCTAATATTTAAATATAAAAATTAAACATATGTTAAAATAGTAGAAATGGCTTTTGAGATTGCTCCTCCAATAAAGTTAATTAAGGCTTAATTTTCTGCATATTAGAACCTTCTTTTAAATGCTTCATAGATAACAAATTGAATAATAGGATTTATAGTTAAAATTAGAGATGCTTATAAGCCTTTCATTAAAGCTTCCAATCCTTCTGTTTCAATTATTTTCTTAGTCTTTTAAAAAAAATTAAGATTATCTTTACAGACAGTCATTCTTGATTAAACTACCCAAAATGGATTTGTTACAAATGTTGTTAGAATAGCTGATGCTAATGAAGGTTTAATTAAATCAAATGAATTAGAAATATCTGTTTTAAACAAATGTTTAAAATACTCATACCTTCTGATAAAATATAATATTATACCAAAAAAAATAAACTCCATATGAAATATAGTTGCCTAATGCTAATGGGGTTACTCCTTTAAAAAATCCCTATAGACCTTCTTCATTCCAGACTTTAATGATAATTTCTTGAATGACTTCTTTTTATTATGATGCAGCCATTCTTGTTTTGATATTTTCCAGAGGATATAGTAAACAAGTAGAAAAAAGTCCAGCCAATGCACCAGCATGTCCATGTGCCATACTTTCAATATCTTTTAATCTATCCATATTAATTATTTATATTATCAAATAACTTCTAAAAACCCAAATTTCTCTTTCTAACTTTCCTTTACTGATATGGCATTCAAAATTTTCTTAGCTCTATATTTTTTCTTCCATATTGCTTCTGCATCATCTCCTGAAGTATAAGTATTTCTTGGTAGCTAATTTAGATTTGTCTAAAATGATCTAGTTTAAATTTTCTTTTGGGATAAGAGATCGACTTATTTCTTATCTGACGAATTGAATAATTTTCTAAATGTATCTTTACGAGTTTTTATTTTACTAGGTTAAACAGGACAAGTCATCTTCCAAATTTCAGATTTCATTTCTTAATCAATTGAACAACTACTTCTTGCAGCACCTAAAAAAATATATGAATAATTATTTTACCAATTCTCATATGTCTCAAAATACCTAGTTAATTTCTTAATTCTTTATTAGGATTCTATCTTTATGGATTTAATCTGTAAAATACATCATCATCTAAATTTTTCTGTGTTTTATTTTTTGTATTAACTTAACTTTTGATAAAATATTATTATTTTTTTAATTTATCTCTCTCTTTATCTATACTCTAATATAAATAAAATTATATTTTACATCTTCAGAATCTTATTATACTATCTCTTACATATCATTAACATTTGTCAATTTTTTTAGTAAATGAAATACATCCTTCCCTCCATGAGGTTTACTATGTTCAGAATGATTGATCGAGACATTATCAAATGATTATTAGCTAGATACAAAATGATTTGATGTTGTACGCTAGCATGATTTCATTTGAAGTTCATTATTATTAAAAGCACATCCACTTTTAAACTTACTTTCAGTAAAATCTAAACCTTTTAATCGAACTAAAAATAAAAAAATACTAATTACGTTATTAACTTTAAAATTTTAGTTTCTAATGTATTTCACCCAATTTCGAGAGAGCATTCTTCAACATTCCTCTAGTCCTTTATTATAAATGATGTTGAAAGAACATTTTTTTGGTTCCTAAATATCTCATCAAGGCCTCTTCATCAGGATCATTCTCTTCACAATATTTTTATACCTCTTTTGTTAATCTAAAACAATTATTTATTTATTTACTCATCTACCATATCTTATTAAATAAACAATCTTTCTATTTCATCAGAGAGAAGTGACTTAATGAATTTTTGTACAATTTATAAATACTTAAATTTTGTAATTGATGCATGAACATGTTTCTTAGGAATATGAACAGTATTTAACATTTATTTTTAAGACAATAATTTAGCATGTTTAACATGGACAAATTCTTATTTCTATTCTAAAATTGTTGTAGCCAACATAGATGGCTTCTTTTATGTTGGTGTTCTGATTATCTCATTTATATACAAAGAATTTTTTAATTATTCCAAAACTATAAAAATAGTTGATGGAACCAATTCACTTAATTCTTATATATGTTTAATTAAATGGTTAACTCTTGCCACATGATTTCTTAAAAAATTAAATAATCTAATCACTGCATTTTGAATTCGTTTTACTTCATTCTCATTTCTCTATTCATTCAAATCTAGTTCAACACTTGTTGATAAAATATTTAAAGTAATCTAATTATTATTATAATTATCTGATAACTTTAAAGGTAACAGACCATTTGATGTCTCAGGATATTTACAATAATTTGTTTCTCTCATAATTTACTAAAGTTCAAATTTTTTTTCATTTAATTATATAAATTAAAATCCTAATCTATCAAATTATTCCTTATATTCTTAATAATTTTGAATTACTATATCTGCAAAAGCTAATAAATCTTATTATATATCTAATTCATTTAATTAATTATTAGAACTCTTTATTAATTCTAATAATTTCAAATCTTTTTCTTTTTCTTCTGCTTTTGGAGATTCAAGAATTTCTTATTCTACTTATTCTATTTGAGTTGCAAATATATTCATAACAGATGCAGCATTTGATGATTGAGCTTATGATTATGATAGTTTCTTATTTTATCTAATTATTTATTATCTTTGTTCAAATTAATATTGAAATAAATTGCGTGGATCATCTTTATTTATCATCTCATCTAAAAGCTTTATTGTATTCGCATAGTAAATTACTGTTGATTATTCCTATTATTTTAGTTATATTTTTGCTTTCTTCTCATCTAGGTCTGCTATAACTTATTTTTATTATTAGATTATTTCAATTTTCTGTTAATATTTCAATCTATATTCAATATAATCATTTTATAATTCTTTTATTTCTTATTAAATTAATTAATGTTTATCAAGTAAGATTTATTTTTACATATCTTAAGCATTTTTCAGTAATTAATGATATTCCTATGCTTCCACTGCATTTTTTTTACTTTATTAAAGTAACTAATTTGATTAAATTCCCTCTTGTTAAGCAACTTCATCATCTTTATTAAATCCTTATAATAATTCTAGAACAGAATCTGTATGCTTCTTATAGTCAGTTATTTTTCTCAAAATTGTAACAATTACATTTTAGAGTTAGTTCTGTTTAATTGTTTCTTTCTCTATTTAACATTATACACTCTCTTCATTTGTATTGAAGCTCTATCTACTCAAAGAAAACTATGTATAAGTAGAACCTTATTAAGAAGATTCATTTGAAAATGGTTGTTTTTAATATAACTGCTTACTGAGTTATTTTCTGTTCTCTTTTACTTGACTTAATAGATTTTTAAATGCACTTTCATTTCCTTAACTTTAGCATTCAGATATACGAAAACCATCCAACAGTTCTTCACTATCTAATGATGAAAAATTACATGAAATTATCTCCTTAATTCATTAAATTATATAATCAAAAAACTAATAAAAAATCCTAATAATTTCTAATATTTATTATTAATCCTTGAAGAAATAATATTAAAGTATCTCATATTGAACTATAATAATTTATTAATAATAAATTCAATTATTTCTTTCTTAATTCTCAATCTAGACATATAAAAAAAGGAAATAATTTTTGATAGGAATTCTTAGATGATAATATTAGACTGTATCCAAGCTAAAATTTATAGATAAATTAGAATAATGACTAAAATAAATTATTATAATAGTCATTAAGTTATTAAATATACTATTATCAATCTAAAAAATTCAAAAAATTATAATGCATTTAGACTTTTCTTTTGTTTAATACACAGTTTAATGATAAGATATCCTTTAAAAGTAAGTATTTATTATCTGTTTTAAACCATTCATTTTTTTCTTGTATTAATTATTTGTCATTTATTTTCTTGTGAGAGTTATGATCTCTAAAACTAATTATACTTTCTAAAAAATGAATATATAAAACTTGATCAAAATTAACTAATAAGAATAATTATTGGAATATTATGAATTCTATAAGTTTACAAAGATAGATATACATATTAAGAGAATATTTATTGTGATCTTTAACATCAAAACAGGATGAAAATTAAATACTTAATAATAGTTTTCCACATCTAAATACTTATAGAGAAATTAATATATATAAATTTGCAGAAATTGAAAATGTCTATGTCGAATGCTGAATCTCAACCAATAGCTATAGTTAGTTTATAGATGGAAGATGGGATTGAAGAGATAAAAGTATATGAAGGTGAGGATGTAGAATTAGAAGTTGAGCTTTTTTGTTAAAGATACAAACTTGGTAATGATTGCTTGGAATATCTGGTGAATTAAATTAAGCAATAGCTAAAACGTGAACCTTCACCTAGATTTGGTGATTTCAATAAGTAATAATTTTTGAACAAAGGCTCATTAAAAACAAGAAGTAGTAAACAAAGTGACTTTGGACTTGTAACATCAGCTAGTTCTGATGAAAATTAAGTGTCAGCGTAAAAGAGTTATGAAGAATGGTAGAAAAAAATTAATAGGAAGATAGAGGCTAATTCAAATTCTAAATTGTAATGGAATATGCCAACATCAGCTAGGTGTAAGTTTTTTTAATAATTAGCAAATAACTAAAACAATCCTAGGTCCATTAACACAAATGATAGACTATATGGAGAAACAATTACTCAACACTAAAATAAGATTGAATAACAAAAATAACATTATTTATATAAGGGCTAATCAGAAGTTTCAGAAACTACTTTTAAGTCAAATATATCACAAAATTTCAATAATGTCATACAATAAAAAAAGAAAGCAGAAGATAATTCATTATTAAATATTGGACATTAATTACATTCAAAAGGAACAGAATAAAATATTAAAAAATAATAATAGTTATTTTAGATTTAAAAGGAGCAATCATCAATCAGATCCTTTTAACCAAGAAGATCAGATATAAGTAGTAGAAATCATTCCCAATAAAATCGATCAACAAGCAATAAAAAATAAAGATCAAATACACCTGTTAACGAAAAACCCTACATTTAAGAAAAGGAAAGAAAATAATAAAAATTTGAACAATTGAAACAAGAATTTTAAAAAATGTATACTATTAATCCTTAAATTAATAATTTATATTAAAAAGAAGAAAATAAAAAATAAACACAATAATAACAAGTTAAAAAGCTATTCACAGATTAAATTGAAAGGAAAAAAAAAATTGAATAGAAATAGTAATTAATTTATTAAAATTAGACGAGAATAATCGCTTTAAAATAATTCTAAGTTTCAAAATTAAATTAGTAAAGATTAGATTTATTAAAAAGCCTATAACAAATAGTATGTAGAAGATTTAAAATAAATAGAGTTAAAGTAAAATAATAGGAGTACTAGTAATCTATCATAAAGATCAGACTCTCGATCTTAAATTAATAACAATAAAATAAACTAATTTGATTTGAATATAAAAAAGATATTCAGATAATTAGATGGAGATAAAGATGGTTATATTAGTAAAGATAAATTGAATTTGTCAGGAATTGATGTTTAATTACTTGAATTAGTAAGTGAGGCATTATATAAAATTGAAGAAGAAGATATTATTGCTGATCAAATTTAATTTAAAAGAATTTGTGAATCTATGGGACTGTAAGATGTACTTAACCATTAATTAATTTGAAAACTATTAGTTATAATAAAGTATATAAAATATATAACTTAAAGATTTTTGTTTAATTCAAATCAAATCAAAACTATAAAAATTAAAAATTTTATTTATAATTCTCATAAATTCTATTGCAAAAATTAATTATTTATTTACATTAGAATCTTATATATTCATCATCTTAAACAATTTGTGAATTATTTTTGGTATTTTTATACAAATTCTACTTTTATTAATAAAGAAAATATTACCAATTCTATAATTTTATTAAATAAATTATTGATGACTAGATGCAATGATAATGAATATGATTTCTTGTTCAAAATAATCTTAATAGGTAAATCTAATTTATTTAAATTAATAGGAGATTCTGGAGTTGGTAAAACAAATATTTTGTAAAGATTTCTAAAAAATGAATTTATTTTAGACTCCAAACCCACTATTGGAGTTGAATTTTCAACAAAAACCATTAATGTTCAAAATAAAACTGTTAAATGCTAGATTTGGGATACTGCTGGATAAGAAAGGTAAAATTTAAACTATTTAAGATATCGAGCAATAACAAATGCTTATTATAGAGGAGCTGTAGGGGCTTTTGTTTGTTATGATGTAACAAGAGAGATTACTTTTAGAAATACAGAAAAATGGTTAAGTGAAATTAAAGAGTATGCTCCAAAAAATATTGTAATAATGATGATTGGTAACAAAATTGATTAAGCAAATAATAGAGTATATTTTTATCATATTAATAGATAGTTAGGAGTGGAGAAGCTGCTAAAATCTGTGAATAACATTAAATAGGATATATAGAAACTTCAGCATAAAATGGCTAAAATGTCGAAGAGGCCTTCTCTAACTTAGTTAGTGGTATCAATTAACTAGATTAATAGAAATATTTAATTCAATGTCATCCATATAATAAATAAGTGTTGAACAGCTCTAAGGAGATAAATTAACTTTTCAAGATGATTCTCTGAGTAAAAATGCAAAAAAAAAAAATAGTAGAAAAGAAAAAGAAAAATGCTGTTAATGAGTTGGTGATAATATATTATTATGATTATATATAACTTCTATATTAAGAATTATTTCGAATTTTATTATTAAACCATAAAATTTGATATATCCATGTAGAGTAATAATTTTTTGAATTTAAAAATATTAAATTCATAAAATAATTTTAATTGAAAATTAATATGTTAAATTCTTTGGAAAATTTAAGAATCTTTTTTAATAAATGATTATTTAGGTTATTAATCGTAGTTTCTTATATTATAAATCAAAATCAAAACTTATAAATGTTTAAATTCGAAGGAATACTATCTTAGATGAATAGATATTTAACAACAATAGATTACATATTTTTACATTATTAATATATTTACTGTAACAATAATGGTTATAATAAAGCTTTATGATTGATCCTTTAATTAATAAATAAAGAATTTATCTAAAAATTTTCACTAAAATTATATAAATTTTAATATAAAAAATACAAAATTTTTAAATATAAAACTTATTAAGATATATTATTAGAGAAAAAATGTTATAATGAAACAGTATAAAAAGAGAGTAAACATTGTATTTTAATTGTTAAAAATTATAACTTAAATAAATTTTTCATTATGTTTACTTGTTTATTTAATAGAAATCAAAAAACCAAGTATCTTTAATATATAAAGATTTCATTCTTTCTTTTATTATTTGGTTTTCAAGAAAATATTATTAAATTTCATCATAGAATAAATTTTCATTTTTGAAAACTGTTATTAGATTTAATTAACTTCTACACAACTCTAATTCTTGAAAGCTTAAAAATGATTTTAAAAATGCTTATATGAATTCTTAAGCAATATCTTTACAATACTTATAAAACATCTCTTTTCCAAATTCTAATACTATTACTAATAATTCCATAATTTAAAAAGATCTTGGTATTTATATATATTATTTCAATAGAATTTAAACTACAGAATTTATATATAATCTTTCAACCATATATTTATCATTACATAAATATTTAACTATTTTTAGTGAAAAAGATGTTATTCCGTAAAACTAGCTTTATAATAAAAGTCCTAAATAATTTAACAAGCCTGAGGTTACAACAAGTTATTATGCAATTTTATTATACATAATGAATTCTAGACATATTTTTAAAGTACTGTCTAAAACTGATCGATATTATTTTATCCAATTTGGAATAGCATCAATAATTGGTTACAGAACCCTTTTTTCCATTATTATTAGTTTAATTTTTTGATAATGAACAATATCAGATATTAATTCAATTGCAGTTATGAATTATCCTGATTAATTGGATTCTTTTAGCAAAATTTAACAAAGTTCATCAATAAAAATCTTTTTCTAATCAAAGTAATTTTAGTCTTTTATATTGCAAAGAAGAGCAATTTGTTTAATTTTTGTAGCCTAATGAGATTGATATTCAATCATTTGCATTACTTTTTTAGTGCCAATAAATACTATTATTTAAACTTAAATATTGTGTCTATATTTATTATGACTTGAATGAAGCAGTAAAACAAATAATTTTATAATTTCTAAATCATATTTTTTGTTATTTAATGAAATTAACCTTATTAGAGTATAAACAAGACCATTTTCTATAAAAGAATTTTCGAAATTATGTTTCTTAAGTATTTCTTAAATTAAATTTATCTAATTAAGTACATCCAATTAATTACAATAGAATAAATTGTCTAAATAAAATAGCATTTTTGGAATTAATTATTTTTTGACAAATTTTACAATTGACTCATCTAAATTTGGATATTGATAATCCAAATAAAGCCTAAATTTATCTATTCCAACTCGATACTCATTATAATTGTCTGAGAGCAATAAATTTATTAATTATTCTGATGATATCTCTTCTTTTTGAAAGACCTCAATTTCTTTTTCAAAATTATCCATTAGCATTAATAATATAAAATGAATATTATATTTGATTAATTGATTACAAGGTTTTCTTTAGAAAAATTAGATGAAAATCCACTATTAATTATATTACAGAGATTTTTAAAAGATGTAGCAAAGCACTATAACCTAGATCAACGTTTTAAAATAAATAGAGCTAGTTATGTATTTATTATTCTTGTTTTTTTGGCAATATTGATAACAATAATTAAACTTTTTTAGTCATTGATTTTGATTGCCTTTGTGATTTGGAGATCTTTTTTAGTAATATAACAATTAATCATTTAGACATTAAAAATATCATAATAGAATAAGTCTTTAGCACTTGAATTAAAGAATTGGATATTCTTAGCATTCCTACTTTTGTTTCATCCATTTTTATAAAAAATAGATCTTATACCTCCTTTTATATAGTTATTTTTGTATAATCTTCCATGGTTTTTAAACTCTAAGTAAAATACATTTTGATTATAGATATACGATTGAATTATTTGAATTACTAAATTAAATACTGCCTGAAAAAATAAAACTAAGTTTTAATTTAGATTAAGGGGAGAATGAGAAAGCTAATTTTTAATATAGATTAGTATAAGAAGCCTAAAAATAAAATAGGGTTTATTTAAGAATTTGATATTATTATATTGTTTAATAATTAATTAATATAAGGCAAATAAGAAAAAAATAGCAGGATTTTTTTTAATTTGTGTAAATGGTTGTGATTAATAAAATGAATAATTTAAATGGCAGAGATTGAAAAAGAATCATCAAACGAAAAAATAATTAAAGATTAAATAGAATAGGATGAAAGAATTTAAGAGGACTAATACAAAAATGGAGAATATAAATTTAATTAAGAAAAATTTGAGGAATTAGCAAAATAGAAGAATTATAATGAACTAGCAAAAATAGCAGAAAAAAATAAATCTTAATTCAAAATATTCAAGAGACTTAAATGGAAAGGCTAATTATATTAAATAAATGAATCAATTAGAGTTAATTTTTAAGATAGTTTAAGAATTGGAATAATTAAAAGAATTGCTAGCATAAAATCATTTGTTGATAATTAAGAATTGCCATTACTTCAATTAAATTGGTACTTTTCAAAAATAGATCTAGATTAACAATGGGAAAGATATATGAAATGTTTCAGCGAATATGAATTATTCCTTACTGAAATTTCAGATTTCATATTTATAGGTCAAATTATAGATAAAGTTAAAGTTTTAAGTTTAAATGAATATGATTCCTTTTTAGATGATGATATTAGTGGATAAAATAGATTATTTTTTATGAGATGCACATATAATACTGATAAAAAAAGTATTAATCCAAATCCAAATGAATTAGAGAAGGTATGCTTTTGTGATATGCCACAAAATCCAGATTTAGTTTATATTTTTTGTGAATCATGTAAAAAATGGTTGCATATGGATTGTGTACATTTAACTGAAGATGAAGCAAAGAATATTGAAGAATATATTTGTATTTAGTGCAATAAGTGATATATATTATTTAATTTAAATAAACATTTTGTTTAATTCTGATGTCATAAATTGTTTTAGTAGTTGGTCCTTTGAGATCTGGAAAAAGTAGTTTTATAGATGCTCTCACATATGGGTAACTTCATAAGGAAATTTACACATAGGATATAAATTTTTAAGTAAAATTAGCGAAAATTGCCTAACATAGATTTTATGAAGTTCAATCTATAGAATGGGATGGAAAACCATTAGGTTTAATTGAATTTTATTCAAATCTTGCTGATTTAGTTTTGATTGTAGTTAATATTTGTGGAGATTATGATTAAATGGATTAAGTTTATGAATTATATTTAGCAATCTCTAATTGTTCAAATAATAAATAATAAATTGTTCTAATAGGTAATTTAAATGGATAAACTCAAAGAAATTAAAAGTTATGTTAAAGTTTAAGTAGATTTGCATAATTAAATGAAATAAAACTATATGAATTAGATAGTATAAATCTTATTAATGTTTAAATGGAATTTCATTATATAAGAAATTAATATTCTATTTTTGATGATATTTTTAGTAAAAATAAAAATAATATATTGTAAATTGTATAATAAGTTGTTACAATATTCAAGTGATTAAATATAATGTATAACAAAAAATATAAATTAGATCAATTGTTAATAAATTAAAAAAAAAGTAATTTAGAATCAATCACAATATAATTTATTTTTATTGACTTTGTAGATATTATCTCTAATTTAATCAATTTTTGAAATTATATTTACAACTTTATTAGGATTTTCATTTCGATTCATTATTTTTTTTTAATAATCTTTGCTTTGACCATAAAAGATATTTAATTTAGCTTGAATATAATAAATATAGAAAACCTTCTGTTTCTGAAATAATAGATTCATCTAAAATACAATCATCAAATTGATTTGTTGGACAATTTTTATTGTATTTCAATTATTTTTAATTTCCATAAATTGATTTTTTAGGAAGTCTTTCAGAAATTGCTTTTTATCTATTATCTAACCTATATTTGATTTATCAATTATATTACTCATAGAAATCTAATTCTCCCATTTTATTTAATTCAGTTGTTCTCACATTACAATTTAATTTTAAGGCATCTAAAAAATGATCTGATGTTGCTCTAAATAACTATGATTATTAATTTTCATTTTTACTTTCTAATAAACATCTACTATTGGTTATTTTGTTCCATTTTCTAATTTTAACTATTTTATTCGAGATTACATGTTTGCTGAATCCAATTTAGGTCTAAATGCACGCTTGATAAATACTTAATTAATGCCATATGTTTAGTTCTTGCTTTGATTTTATTCTTAAATACTACCAATAAAAATAATATTATACTCAACTAATCAGGACTTGAAACTAAATTATTATTTCTAATTTATGATCGATAATCTTCTGCTATTAAATTCAAGTGACCCAATTATTTATTTTCCTAATAATCACTTTTAATATAAGTTCTGAATCCTTATTTTGATGATTTTCTTTCTGGTAGAGAAGGTTAAGTATTGAGAGTTTTCTTAATTTCAGTATAGTTTTAATCATGGTTAACAATGAATTCTTTTATGTCGTTATAATCGATCATTGTTTCTTATTAAGTGATTGTATTTGTAATATGAAGAGTTTTCCTTTTTGTTAAAATACTCTAAATATTACTAATTAGTTTTACATTTCTATATTTTTTAGTTGGCAAGCTGTTATTATATTTAATAACATCAACACATGAAGTTTATCCAGAAAGATAAGTTTCAAATTTATTTTTGAAATCAATAATCTGTATAGGTATTTTACAAGTCCTTTTTGATTCTGCTGTGGTTGTTGCCCTTTAACTAAATGTTTAATCAAAAATAGATTTTTGTCTTTTAATATTTTACATATTATAAAATTCTTAACCCATAAAATTATGAATCAATCAATTAACTTATTAATTTCAACATAGAATCATTTATTATAATGATGTATATTGATAAAGAAATGATTTTTATGATTATCATTTTGCTTTCCTTCGGCTGAAACTATATTTTTATATCCATAATAATATTTAGAAATTACATAATTATTATTATTATAAGTATAAAAAATCATAATAATTCATATTTACCAAAAGGAATATAAATTTGTCTATCTTATCTAAATTTAAATGCAATCAACTATTTATAATATTACATATCTTCAAAATATTATTTGCTTGTGCAATCTTAATCAGTTAATTAAATGATAGCATAGAGTCCCCATTCTAATATTTCTTATGAATTATTAGTAGATAACTTAAAATTATAAAATAATAATCCATACTTAAACAATTGAATGTAATTAATTATCATTTAGATTTGAGACTAAAACTTTTTCTACTTTTGCTACATAATTTATTTGAAGCTCTCTTGAATCTAATCCATCTAATAATCTAATTCCTCTCATTTTTGTTTAAATTGGATTTGGTTTTATTAATTTTTATTCACTTCTCCAGGCTTTAAATCCTAATCGAGAAAATATCTTTTCAGTTAATGATATTCTTTATTTTTTATTTGATAAATCATGTTAATTTTTTAGTTCTTCCTCTAATTCTTTTACTTATTCATTTATAATTTCTTCAACTTATGGAACAACCATATCTTAATTTTCATAAGAATCACTATTCAATTCTTAAAATTATTTTGATAATTCATCAAATTTCTTTTTCAATTTTTCATTTGACATTGTTTATTCTTATTCTTTAGTAGATTCAATTTAGTTCGAAAATTATAATTTCTTTTGATTACTACTACTTTATTAGTTTTCTTTATCTTCTTGAAACTAAACTCTAAGTTGCCTTTTGGAACATTTAGATGCAGATTAATTCATTATTTGTTGTTATACTTCTTCAGGTTTTGTAATTATCTAATGTGCCTATTATTGAATCGATTTCAATATTTAATCCTCTTGATATATTTTTTACATAATATTTAGAATGTTTCTTTATATAAAATCTGAGTATTTAGATTTCTCTTTGCATAAAGAATGAAACACAACTAAAATTATAATCCATAGATTATTGTCTTTTAAAAGTTTTTCTCCTATTTGTGTTTTAACTTCAGGTATGAATACTTAGAATGATAAATGTTATTTTAATATGCTTGATTCATCAGTTAGTAATTGAATAGCATTATCAAATGAATCATTTTTATTTTGCATATCGAATACAATTTGAGATAATTATCTAGTGATCATATCACCTTCATGATATTAATATTGAGAATTCTTCTTAGCAAGTTTAGCAGACTTATTTCCTGATCGAAGTGATTTCTTAAACAAAATATCACTATTGCTAATACCCGGTTCAAACATATTTTAAATACAAATAATATAACGAAACACTATAAAATTATGAATATTAAATCAATTAAATAGATTTAAACTATGATATAAATATTTATTATAAAGAAGAGTAAAAAGAGATAATATGATATTTAATTGAAGAATTTTGTTAATAATTTTATTGGTAAATATTTTTAAGTGTTTTCTATATAACATAGAAAAGTTGTATTTATTATAAAAATTATAATTTAAATATTATTTGATCAAAAAAACCATATTATTTTTGTAAAAATATCAATGATTATTATGATTTTTATAATTTCAATTTTAGAAATAAGAAATTTATTAACTCTTGATTTCTTAGAGTGATATAGATTGATCTTCATTGTTTTCCTAATTTAATTAATTTATATAATTTTTACTTGATAATCACTTCTCATTATATTGTTTCTTTTGGCTATGTTTTTGTCTTAAGATCGTTTCATTTTTTTCTTATATTTTCTCAATTTATAATATAATACAATTATAGACATTATCTAAATAGTAATAATAGTAACTAATAAAACAATAACTAAGATATTTATAAATAGATACTAATTGTTCCAATCAAATAAGAAGAGTCTTAAAAAGTAAATAATACTTAAACAGTCACCCATGGAACAAGTAATTTAAAAAATGTTCCATTAACACAAGGCAATTATGTATTATCAATTATAAAATAAGATGAATCTGTAATATTTTAGCTAACACTATTTGCTCCTAGAAATTGAGTATAATTTGACTATAAAGTGCAATTTTGGGTACAACTTTAAACATCTCGAAGTATAATAACATTTTATTGATAACATTAAAGATCTGTAAAATTATTAAATTAAAGAAAATCGAATTTCTAAGAGTAAACTTATAAAGAATTATTTTTCTATCTTAATTTGAAAACAATACTAAATTGGCTAATAGTTTTTGTTATGGTATAATTTCTTGACTTGCTCCTGATTTAGAGGAATTTGAGTTGAAAATGACATATTGATTCTCCAACAAAGGGATTTCTATATTTAAATCAATTCTGAGTCCTGTGCTTTCTGAACAATAGACTGTATATATAATAAAAATAATAAAACTCATAATTTAATATTAAATTATATGCAACTTAAAAATGAAGCAGTAACTAATCCATAAATAAATTTGTCATCTTTATTATGTAGATATAAACAGATTAATACTAAGGATTAAAAATAAATGTTGCACATAAATAGAGTGTTTGATATTTAAAAGTTTTTAGTTGAAAAGTAAATTAATTTTAGGATTTTGAAATAGGAATCTTTATTCTCCTTTTTGTAATTATATATTTCTTAATAGAAGTGATTATTATAATTATTTATTTATTTATGATTAGATAATTACTTTAATAACATAGTGTGATTATAGATATCTAATATCAAATGTTTTAATAGTATTATTATTTTACATTTCAATTTATAAGTGAGAATGAAACAGAAGTGGATTAATGAGTGTAAATTTTATAATCAATGCTAAATGAGAATAAATTGTCAATTTTTTTGATTTATTTGATTAAAATATTAATAATGTAATAATTGTTTTTTTTATTGATCTCTATTAGATGAAAAGAGAATGCTCATTTAGATAATATTGGAAGCTATATACCTTAATATAAAAATAAATAATATCATTGTTGATTGTTTAGTTGGAATTATTATGGATAAATATAAACTGGCATTAAGATTGGTTAAGGCACATATATTGGAATCTAATAGAGACAATTCTAATAAAGTTGAACATATGTAGGTGATTATTAAACAAATGATTGTTAAATTGGTTGTTGAATTGCTGTAATATTTTATTGCTCTTAAACATTTTAATTCTGCAAACTCTCTTCTTCATTCAACTTTTATTTTTTCTCAGGTACTATATAGTATGGATTTTTTATGTTTAGATATTTATGTCTGAGGCATGAATAGAATCTATTTTTAACACTATTCTCAGATCTTTGATTAAGTGCTTTAGTAATTATACTCCACTTCCCCCCTATTGATTGATAAAGTTCAACAATCTTTTTATCTTCTTCCATACTCCAAGGGGAAGTGTTGATTTATGGATCCAATTGATTAAGATAATGTTCTCTAACCTATTTCCCAGATCGATTTTCAAAAAAAGTACTTATTAAACACCAATTGAGACCATGAATATTAACTAATTCAAGCAATTTAGTGTCTTCTTCTTTACTCCAAGTTCTTCTGAGCTTGAATCCTTTGATACGCTTCCATCTTTGAGAACATTAAGATGGATTACGACCTTCAATTCTTCTGGCAACTTCAATCCAATCATAGTCTTTGTTTCTTTTGAGTTCAGCCAACAACCTATCTTCACTAGGTGTCCATGGTTTGCGTTATGATGCAGATGAGTTAGAATTTAATGACATAATTAATTTAACTTTGAAATTATAATATAGTTGTTTTAGTATTTATTCAGTTTATTGTTCCTACGGTTAATTTGCAATTAAATTTCTAAAAGTATTGAATAAATAATCAATATTCATTTACTTTTTTAACAAGTAAACTCTTATCAGTTTTTCATCCTCATTCTAAATCTTCATTACATTAGCTACAACTTCATCTTAATTTCAAAAATCATAGAAACAAAAAAAACCCCCCTCTTACTCATATTTTACTAAAAAGTACTGTATAAATGAATTAAGAAATTAATAATCAATTCAAAATATCTGACAACCTACTTGTATTATATAATTTTAACTAGGTATAAGAACATAAATTGATCTTTTAATCAGATTTAAAATTTAAGAATTTAAATGAATAGAAATATTAACCTATCTCAAGATACCTAATTATTAAGGTTTAACCTGAGTATTTAGTTATGAATTATTATAAAACTTTTAGTTTATGAGTTAATTTGGTATAAAATTGCAGTAATTACAATATTATATAAGAAATTTATAATAAAAAATATTTAATCATTTTTTAAATAGGAATTATAAATCTTTTATACGATCTAAGCATTTTTACAATAATTTAGCCTATTGTTTATAAAATATTTAGGGTGCCATATAAACAATATTAAATATTTATTAAGTATGTTGATAATAATTATTTATTTAATAGGAATTGGGATTTGTCAATAATCTATCAAGTATTGCAATTGCTATTTAACAAAATTCTCTTAATTAAATATATTCATAAGTGGTCCACTTTTATAATTGAGCTAATTGCATCATTAATTTTATTTTTTAAATTTCTTAACAAATTCTTTTGATTTTGGCATCTAAAGTTTCAATTAAGAAATCATCTCCTCTATATACTATATATTTATCTAAATAACTATCATTTTATCTTCTTTAAGGTTTTTAAGAATTACAAACTTAAAGATGTTATTCAGATAATTATAGAGATATGTATTGATCACATGATAAACAATATATTAATTGTAATTAATTAGTAATTAACTATAGGGATGTATTTTGAGTTAAACTATTGATTCCATATTCTCCCTTTAATTATTGTAATAATTCAGAAGAATTTTTTGATTCATCAATTATTATACTTTCATCAGAATGAAATGGTTATATTACCTAATAATATTATTATGTAGATTAATTAATTATTTAATTATCTTAATTCTTAATAGGAGGATTTTAATGAAATAATGGTTTATTATTAATTTATTCAAAAATAGGTTTTTCAAATATCTACTTCTTCTAATGAGAAATAGAATTATCTCTGCTTGTATTTTTGGGACTATTTATACAAATACAAGGTGAAATTTATTCTCTTGGAGATTTAGTTTGTTTTATAATTTAATTTGACATCTAATTATTCATTAATTGTTTATTAGATGGAGAATTATATTATTCTTATTATAATAATTATTAATTAGGTTATTATTATGGAGAACCTTGAAGAAATGGTGTAATTTGGCCAGAATTAATTCCAAAAGTATTATTATCTTAAGATTAATTTCTATTAGGTATTTAAATCTAAGGAGAAGACAATTTATTAGATCTATTGTGAATTTAAGAGTAATTGAGTTAATCTTATGAATTTTGTTCTTGTGGAAATAGTTTTTACTCTAAATCTGAGGGATTAGAATTATAATATATTTATTATTATTAAGGAGTTTTAATAATGTTATTATTTTATAGCTGTTGTTTCTATTATTCAATAATTTAATGTTATTATTATAATAGTTATTCTCTTTGTTACAATTAATTCACATAATGATTCTAATCTTTTTGTTATTCTATATTATAGAACAATTATTCATATCTTTATTAATTTTCTAAACGTTATTATTACAATTCCTGTAATAATTATTGATATTCATTTCTTTGATTAATATTCAATTAATTAATGTTATGAGCCATAATTTATTAAATGTTATCAATTTTTTAGAGAATTTCATTATATTTAACATAGTTCTCTTATTTTTATTATTATATATTCATTTCTAACTCTTTGTAATATTACATAATTTGATGATATTGATTATGCATATCATTTTGATTGATTTATTACATTACACTATATCGTTATTATTTTGGTTAATTGGAAATTGGAGAATTTAATTAAGTTGAAATGGTTTATTATGATGGAGGTCTAATTAATTGAGGAGTATAATATCGTTGTTGTTATTGAATTTATCTTTCTTGAAGTACAACATGTAATAGTTATTCTTAATTTTAAGGAACAGGAGAAGGTTTAGGTATTCTTGGAGGTGTAGTATATTGATTCAACATATAAAATAAATTATATTAATGAATACGCTAGATCAAGTTATTGAAAATAGTGTTAAAATGGGTAAATTTTAATACATAGTTCTTTTAATAATATCAATGATAGATTTTGCAGATGGAATTGAGAAAACCTTAATTGGTACTCTATAGTCAATATTAAAAACATAATGGAAATTAAATGATCTTGATATTTCATTGATGACTAGTTCATATTTTATAGGTATTGTTAGTGGTACATTATTGTGTGCATTCTATGCTGATCAAATAGGTAGAGCAAAAACATTACTCTATTCTAGTTTATTAGCATTTCTATTACTTTTATGGCATAGTTTTGCATAAAGTTTTGAAGAAATTCTAATTTTAAGGTTTTGTTTTGGTGTAATTTTTGGTACAACTATTCCTCTAGGACATATTGTTATAAGTGAAATTGTACCTGCTAAAATAAGAGGATAAGTAATGACTATTGTTGCAACTGTTTTTATTGTTGGAAAAATATATTGTACAGGATTGTAGATGATATTTTTAGATGATTATAAATCAGGTAATTGGAGAATGTTATTAATTGTTAATAGTATTCCACTTTTATTATGTTTTATATGTTCTCTTATATATTTAAGAGAATCTCCAAGATATTACTTTACTAAATAGAATTATGATTAAGGTTTCTTGGAATTAGAACATATAGGTAAGGTAAATAATGGAACATCATATTAATTAACAGATGAATAGAAATAGGGAATATTAGAATAATAATAATAAATAAATTAAGAATAACAACCTATTAAGACTGTTTAATATTTATTTTCAAGATAATATTTTAAATTTACTTTAAGAATTTGGATTGTTTTTATGCTTACTTCAATTATTGAAACAACATTATATTATTTAATGCCTTTTTGGTTAGGAGATTCTTAAAAGGGATTTATGGCTTAAATGTATATGATGCTTGCTGAATTAATGGCTGGCATAGTTGTATATTTTATAATAGATAGTAAAAAAACAGGAGGTCGATCAAAATTAGTATTATTATTATCAGTATTGATATTTGTAACAAGTGTAATATTAATAATTTTTAAAGATTCTTTTCTTGTTTATGGTTTAACATTAATCTCTTTTTTACTGAAAGTTATGTTTACAGCAGAAATGGTAATAATGAATGAAAATTATACAACTTAATATCGTTCAATGGGAGTAGGAATGACTCAAACAGTTGGTAAATCTATGGGTGTTATATCACCTTATTTTATTTATCCTATGTATTCAGAGAATCCCTATTCTCCCTTTTATTTATATGCTAGTTCTATGGTTGTTTTAGCTATTTTATCAGCTACATTGCCATTTGATATGACTCAAGTGGAATTAGATAATATGGAAGTATATAAATAGAGATAAAGTAAAAAATCTCTAGTTAATAATTAATGATAACCAAAAATACATATATATATATATATATTAATTTTATTATGCAAAATTAAATATTAACAAATAGATCAATAGTCAAACAGGATAGGATCTCCAAAATATTATCAAATTATAAGACTGAAATTGATAAACATAGCTAATAAAGCTTTAGAATGCTTAGTTAAAAAATTAAACGAAAAGTACATACTTTAGGTATGATAAGATAGGAAATCAAATTAGTGATAATTAAGTTAAGTATCCTATTCCAAAGAATAAAATTGATGTTTCCAAATTCTTGAGTGATCATTCTAAAAGCTAATTATAAATTAGTGTTAAAGATCTACTTTTGCATAAAAGTCAAATCTAAAAGTTATAAACAAAAAAACCTAAAGACAATAAATAAATGGTTCCACGAATAAGTAAAACTTAAAATGATGTTTTTAAAAATTATCTTGCCCAAAGAAATTGTAATGGTTCTAAAACTTATAGAGACTCAAGTATTATCAGTGTCTCTACTTAGGAGATTTAGATGTCCGAATGAAATTGAGTGACAAAAGTACACATTCTCAATAAGCCCTCTTATAAACACTAATTAATAAGAGTTATGAAAATAAATTTAATGAGCCTAGAGATTCCCCAGAATTATGTTATGCTTCATAACATATATTTAAAATGCTTTAATAATCAATAAATGGATAAAGTAGTTTACTTTTACGTTCTGGCAGTTAAGGGAATGTTGCAAATACATCATCATCTAATAATAAAATTGGAGATACAAAATTTAATAAAATTAAAACATTTCTAGAACAAACAAAAACATTTCATACTACTACTGATCCATACAAATTAACAACAGATTAAGAGTATACATTTACAAATAAAAAGTTTGTTAAAGTTAATTAAAATAAAATTTAATCAATTTTGAATATTGCAAATAAAATAAAAAATACCATTGATGCATTTAATCAAATACTAATAAAATAAGAAAAAACATCATCTATAATATCAAATCTTATTTCTAATGAATGTAATTATATTAATTATAATTAAGTGTCATCTAGAGATAGTATTGAGTCAATCTTAACTTTAGAATGATTATCTACATATTAACATATAATTAAAATCACTTGAAAGCTTTAATTCCATCAAAATGTTTTATTTTTTCTGGTATGATATTTGTGTATAAAATCCTATCACAAAACTTACTATCATCAGGACATGTTTTTAATCTATATGGATTTGCTGGATAATTCAACTTCCGTTTTAATACATGAAGAGGTGTAAATGACTATTTTTATGGTAAAACTATTTGTTAAGGTGTTGCAATGTTATTAAAAGTTTCAATATGAAATGATTTTGGAATGAATTATCTTTTTCTAATTGGTTTTGATTCATTTTCATTATGAAATGATTTATTATTATAAATATTTCTATATCCTCTCTATTATTTTGAGTTTTATTCAAAAGTCTCTATTTTTCTTAATTGAAAAGTATTAAAATTATTTTTTACATCTATCTTCAAATTTTTATTCCTCAAATTAACACTTCTTGACAATAAATTTGAATAAATCATTTTTGGAGATAAGTTTTCAATCATTTCTATTTCCATCTAATCCAAATCAGTTTAAACACAACAATCTGTACTAGTTTTTTAATTCATTATATAAAATTTATTAATATAAATATCTCATTATAATATATAATTTTCTATGAAATCTTTACAATCAAATAATTTACATAATTACACTCCTTCTTTAAGTATAATAATTATTATATATTTTTAAAATATAATATTTTAAATCATATATAATTAAATTATAAGATGAATATGAGATTGAGAATTGATAATAATAATTTTATTTTATAATAAACATTTATTTTCTAATTAAATCTTTACTCTACCTCTTATTGAACAAGAGAAAAATTAGCTTTAACTTAAATAAAAATGATAAATTCTTAAAAAATAGAATTACATATAGAATATAAGGTAGTTTAAATTATTATAATTAAAATTTGTAATTTATTATCAGTCATTAATAATGTCAATCTTAAAATTAAAAAATACCACTGATTATTTTTAAATATCTATAGTAATTATGTTTTCATAATAATTTAAACACATTTTTAGTGATAAGAATTAATTAATGAAAAATTTAGAATGATACGTTAGAATCAATTACTTATATTTTAATTAATTTACTGGTTAATTATGATATGAGGAATATGTTTTATAATATTTCACACTTAACAATTTTTGAATTCATAAAATATATATAATAATAATATACACAAAAGATATTCATTATACACAATTAAATTTATATTTAACATATTTGATTAAGTACTTAAAATTATTCCACATTTATATTAATATCTCTTTTAACAAAAATAATAGTTACAATAATATTGAAATATAAATGCAAAGGGCAATAACCCAACCTAATATATAAATTTTTGCATCTTCTAATATTTAAAATCTATCTTAAAATGCAAATATTATTGTTGTTCCTATTATTAACAATATGCAAAGTTCAGGAATCAAGTTTAAGATATATTGTTGTTTACCAATAAAAGGGTTACCCATCAACAATAAGAGTATATTTAATAAACATGATAAGAAACACACACTAGTTTAAAATATAGGAAAATTATATAATAAGACAGTGGCAACAATAAAAATAGTTTTTCGTAATAGATTGACAAAAGAATATATCATAGCAATCTTTGAATCAGTTTTTAGTTCTTCATAAAAACAACTATATCTTTGATGAAAGTGTTGATTATCTAATTTCAAATGATGTGATTATGATATTGAATATGATAATTTAACTAGATATAGTAAAATAATAATGAAACCCAAAGCCAATCCAATATTTATTTTAACTATTAAGTTATCAGCTGTTTGTTAATTAGTAATTTAAAGAATAATTGCTAATGTAATATCCAAATAACTTAATTATATGGTTTTGATCAAATTAGCAATGAAATTAGATTCAAAAAGAATGCATTTAGAATATAAAGGTTATAATATATTAGGGATTTAATAAATAACCTTTGATTATCTTAATTATTATTCTTATTATTTATCTTGTTTTTATATGTCAATTTGACATTCACTAAGTTAAAAGATAGTTTTTTTTGAATTAAAAACAATTAATTTTTTATAATAAGTTTATAATACTTTACGTATTGTAAAACATACTAATTTAGTAATTATGACTTGAAATAGAAATATGATAACAATTTGTATATTATTAAAAAATAGAGGATCAACATCTTTTTCTGTAAACTTAGGTTAGGCTTGAAAGTAATAATTATCTGATGGTTAATTTAAAATATTAATAGATGGAAAATTAATAATATTACTCCATTCTGCTTATTAAAAGATAAGTCTAACATTTTCAGGATAATTAACATTTAAGAAATAAAAGTTATTCATCCAACTCAGAATATCAAGTATAGCCCAAATAAATTTGAATCCACCTACTATCAATGCTAAAGGAGCAAATGCTGCTATTGATGAAGACAAGGCTTTAGAAGCTGCTGCCATTTTTTAACCTTATTCTTTTTATTCTTAATTGACATATATTTATCTTACAGGTACAATAATAACTTCTTATTAGAAATCTTCATCTAATATTCTTTTTTTGTAATTTCCTTTATATTTGACAAAAATATGAATTAAATTAATTGGTTCAATTGTTTTAGTAAATATCATATTGATATCACAATTATCACCTGTTTAAGTAATAGTAAAATTATATTCTGTTTAATTAAATCTTTCAATATTTAAATTAGTGGCAGTACAATTAATAGATTCTTAAAATTAATCAGCTATAATTGAATATTAATTATTATGAGCTTAATTTAATTCTACTTATATATAAGGTTCATTGATTAATCTATTATTTTCAATATCAAATAAAAAACCAGATTCAATTTAACATTTACTATTACATCCATCATAATCAAGTGTATTATAATCATCACATTATTCTTATTTAGTTATTATTCCATCTCCACATATAGATTAACAATCTTTAAGTGTAAAATTATAATAGTAACCTTCACTTTAATTACATTCCTTTAATTAATAGATTTCATAATCATAAGTGATACAATTCTTAGATGTAGTAATGCAATCAATACAAATTTGATCACATTAAGAACAACTGTTGTATTAATCAATAAAGTACCCTTCTATACATTTTTAACATATTTAAATTTCATTATAAAGTGTACATGTTATACAATTGATATCTAAGCATCTATTACAAGATTAAAATAATAATTCATCATTATATTAACAGATGAAACCATCTTCAAGAAAACAATTATAACATCCATCTCTTGGTATATTATTATTATCATCACATTATTCTTTTGATAAATCTAATATACCATCTCCACAAGTTGATATACATTAATTATCATCTAATAAGAAACCTTATTTACATAATAAACAGATTCCTTAATCACATTATTAACAATTTATATTACAATCATATTTACATTCATAACATCCATCATATTGAATATTATTTGCATCATCACATTATTCTCCTTTTACTTATATTCCATCTCCACATGTAGAATAACATCCATTTTCATTTTAAATCCATCCTAATTCACATTAACAATTAAAACATCCATCATTTCCATCTTCACATTATTCATTTTCAACTTTTATTTAATCTCCACAAATAGTAATAATACATTCTTGTATTTCATTTTAATAATATCCTTATTAACATTTATTACATTAAATTTAATTACATTCTATACAATTTTAATAGATATCTTAACATTAATGACATATATTATCTGATTCTTAATTTGTTGTAATTATATATGTATAACCATCAATACATTAACATTAATTATTAATCAATATTTGTAATGAATGAGAACAACTCAAACAAAAATCAAAATTAAATTAACATGATTCACATCGTTATTAACATTATTAACAATTTAATGCTGTATCTATATAATATCCAAATGGACAAATACAAGTATTCTCAAAGAATTAATAATTATGATCAATACAACTTAAACAATATTCAGATGTCTAAGAACATTTCTCACATTCATTAGAACATTTTTAACATTATTCAATTGTAGAATAATAACCATCTGGACATTTACATTCTTAATTCTCTAAATAAAAGAGACTTATTTTATCACATTCATTACAAAAATCTACATTTTCTTAACAATCCAAACATGGATAATGACAAGGTAAACAATATTTAAGAGATTCTATTGTCTTTCCATATCCTCTTTTACATTAAATACACATATTAATATCACAAATGGCACATGAATTATCACATTCTTAACAAATTGTATAATTTGGATCAAAATAAAACCCTTGTTTACAAATACATTAATGAAGTCCATTGATTTCTTTATTAATATCTACACATGAATCACAATAATCAATATTATTGGAACAAGTTATACAATTAGAATTGCATTTTAAACATACTTATGAATCAAGACTTAAATATCCTGATTTACATGTACATGTTCCATTAATTAATTCATGATTAATATCTATACATGATTAACAAAATGTAGTAGATTAAGTACATGTAACACATGGACTAATACATTATTCACAATGGGTCATTATTTAAACAAATCCATTATTGCATATACATTGATTTTATCCATTTAAAGTTTAATTACTATCAATACATGATAAACAATTAGTAGCAGATAATTCACATGTAGAACAAGGTAATTAGCATGCTTGACAACTTTAATTAATTTCATATTATCCATTAAGACATTTACATGTATTACTATCAGAGAAATAATTATATGTGGTAATGCAAGACATACATTTATTTTCATTATCAATACATTTTAAACAAGGAGATGTACATTGTTAACAAATATTCAGTGAATTCTTGAAATATCCATCTTTACAAACACACTATGAATTAATTACAATCATTCCTATTGGATCATTACATGATTAACAATTCGTTGAACTTTAATAGCAAGTCTAACAAGGTATAGTACATTACTAACATTACTAATTGATATCTGCATAATAACCATCTACACAAGTAATACATGTTGTCGTTGTATTACAACTTAAACAATTTTGTTAACATTGTAAATTACACTTATTATTTTACAATACATAAGATGGATAACATTATGAACATGATGTTGATGATGAACAATCTTAACATCCATTACTACATGCTTTACAAGAGAGTAATTCATAGTAATATCCCTAATTGCAAGTCCAACAATCATTTATTAAACCACACGTACGACAACCAATTGGACATCCATTACCTAAATAAAATAGTTATGTACAGACACTATAAAAACGATTAATTATCAAAACTATCATCATGAAGCCTTATGTACTTTGAATTTTCATATTTAAAAGATTTAGTTTAATAATATTATATTCATTTGAAATTTTTAATTCATGTTAATTGCTAATTTAATTATTTTTTTTAATTAAAATTGATATATTGTGTAAATACTGTAAATGATTAATAATATGTTCTAATAATCAAAAAGAAACTATATATATAGGAAATTAATATTATTTATATATTATAAAAATGTTTATGAAATACATAATTATATCCTATAAATGAAAATTAGGATATGAATTTATTATTAATATATGTTTATTATTGTAATTATAAATTTATGATATATATCGATGGAATTTAAATATTTATTATTCAATAAATAAGATTGTTATTTAAAAGTATAATAAAGAAGTTAATATTTATTATTATCTATGTTTTTAGTAATATATTTATGATGAAATTATTTTCATTATTATTATTAATTTTAAAAATAATGTAAACAACTTTACCAAAAGTAAGATTGTAAAGTGAATATCCAGTTAAAAAGGTTGTAAGTCCTTAGATTGAGTTACCAGCTGAATTTATATTAGTTGAGAAAGCAGGATAGGGTAGTTTTGGAGAGATTTATAAAATCTATAATACAATCACAAAAACTTTACATGCATGCAAAGTAGAATTTAAAGATACAAGATAATAAAATCAATAGTCATTATTAGTTAAAGAATACAATACATTAATGTAATTAAAAGGTAATTAATAAATTCCTCAGCCTTACTAATTGATTTAACAGTAGGATTACAAATTAATTATTATGCCATTTTATGGTTCAGGTAAATGATATATTAATATTAAAGGTAATTTAGAAGAACTACGTAAAAAATAATTAAATGAAAAATTCTCAGAAACATGTATAATAAGATTAGCTTACTGTTTGATTACTGCAATAGAATCAGTTCATGAGAGAAAATTTGTTCATAGAGACATAAAACCAGAGAATTTTTTAGTTGGAAGTAATGGAGATCATCATACAGTTTATTTAATTGATTTTGGATTAGCAAAACCATATTTAGATCAATAAGGTAATATAAAAGATTAATAATAGGAATTCATATTCCATAAGCAGATAATAAAGGCATGGTAGGAACTGCAAGATATACAAGTATAAATTCACATTTAGGTGCTGAATAAAGTAGAAGAGATGATTTAGAAGCAATGTGTTATGTTTTATTGTATTTATATAATGGATAATTACCATGGCAAAATTTCTCTTGTTAAACTAGATAAGAGAAGTTTTTAAAAATATTAGAGGCAAAATAGAAATTTGCTGCAGGTTAATTAGAAATTAATATTCCTCCAATTTTAAAATAAATTTATGATCATTCTAAAGGATTAAGATTTGATGAATAACCTAATTATGCTAAAATGAAAGAATTATGCAAAGAAGGATTAAATAAATCTAGTAATAAATAATTAAATTAGGACCTTATTGTTTTGATTGGTGTGCATAAGATTGTAAATTTAAACCATATGATGATATGAATGATGGATTTAGTGATTTAGCAAGTGAATTTTCTACTTTTAGAAAATAATAAAGAGGTTAAACAACTGATTAAATAAGTACAAATATCAAAAAAACATAACCATTTTAATAAATAGAAGAAGAAGATGAAGAATCTATAAATGAATTTCCTAATGTTCAAAAAATTACAAAGTTTTATTAAAATAAAAAACATTGATTAATTATATATATATATTAATATACATATCTATATTATTCTTATAAACTCTTATAATGAGATTAAATTATGATGATGATGTATATATTTATTATTAATTAATCATCCTTTTAATAAACTCTAATATTCTTATTCTTTCTTTTTTTAAACATCCTCTACTATCAATCTAAAGATTTCTCTATTTTATTATTAATATTATTTTAATACACTTTCTTTTATAATGCTTCTATTTGTAAGAATTCATCTTACATTTACATACATTATTTAATTTACATATTTACTTTATCAGTATTCTCTTCTACTGCTTAATGTAAATCATTTGCTGATGTTTTCATTAGATCAGATAATTATATATTATTAATAGTTAACTTTCTCATATTCAATTATGATTTGATTAGTAATTCTTATAATTCTTCTTAAAATATTTTCAATTAATTTTCCATTTCAATTATATTTTCAATATATAAATATATTTCTTATAGTATTTAACATCAAATCAAAAACATCTAAATTTTATTTACTTACTATTTAATTATTAAAAATGTATAAAATAATCTAAAAATTAGGAGATGGTGTTTTTGGCAGTGTTACTAAAGCCCTTGATGAAAGAACACATGAATTTGTTGCTATCAAATCTTATAGAGACAACTCTATTAAAGATGAATCCAAAATTAAAGAAATCCAAATCCTTAAAAAACTTAATCATCCAAACATTATTAAATTAAGAGATGTTATCAAACAAAATAAAACTATAGCTATTGTACTTGATTATTCAGAAAGAAACCTATTATAATATTATAAATCTGTCAAAGAAAAAAATAGAACTCTTTGTGAATAACAAATACAAAGCATTGTGTACTAAATTGCTAGTGCTTTAAATTATCTCCATAGTCAAGGATATTTGCATAGGTATAAAAATTCATTTATAATAGGGATTTAAAACCAGAAAATATTATGATTTAAGATAATGGTATTGTTAAATTAATAGATTTTGGATAAGTTACATATTAAAATGAATAACATACTGACTATGTTTCCACTCGATGGTATCGGGTATGTTATAATTATCATTGATTTAGTCTCCAGAATAAATTAAGTAAGAATAATACAATCAAGAAGTAGATATATGGGCATTAGGTTGTATACTTGCAGAATTATATCTCTTAAATCCTTTAATACCTGGAACTACAGAAATTGATTAACTATATCAGATATAAAATCTAAATTTGAATTAACATTAGAAACTTATTCCTCCACAACCTTTGAATTTAATTAAAAGTATGCTTGAAGAAGATCCACATTAGAGAATAACTGCTATTGAAATTCTATAATCAAATTGGTTATCTTAACCATTTAAATTTCTACCTAAAGAATTGGAATTAAAAGATGATACTAAATATCTAATAAGTCCTTAGTAGACTCCTGCAAAAGCTTCAAAAGGATTTGGGAAACAAGAAAATAATCAAAATCTAATAAATCATCATACTAAACCAAATTTTAACTTTACTTCTTAAAATGCGGTTTAAAATAATATTGAAGACGATTTAGATTGTGGTTATGTACCTTCATATGTCTCATCATTATAAGGTACGAATAAAAAGAGATAAATAAGATTATAAGCAGATGAATAATAAAATACATAGAGATAATTGTATGATATTCAATAATAATATTAAATTTAAAGTTCAAATAATTAATCATAATAAAATACTAAAAACTATTATTCAAAACCGTATATATATTTAGTTTATTATTATTTTAGATTATTAAACTCCTAGAAAAAATTAGGAAATTAACCAGAGATTTATTGAATATAAATATATATATATATATATAATTATGTATATAATAAATAAAGAATGAAAATCTTAATTCATTTAATTAAATGTTTTTTGAGTATCACAACAATATCATCAGTAATCTATGTTTGATTAGTTAATTTAAGTTATTTAGTAAATTCTACAGGTAAGAATGAACTGCTTGCTTTATCTGATTCTAACAATCCACAATATTTAAATGCTTTAGCTACTAATTCTGAACAAAAGAAACTTTCATTAGATTTAGATGGACTTAAACTCTTTTATCTAAAGAGTTTACTGAAAGTTACTTCATATTTCTTTCCATGAACTTATTATAAGAATTCAATCAATTTTTTTTCTATTTAAATTCTATCAACACCTATAAGTTTTCTGATTGCTAATCTATAATAATAAAATTCTAAGATTACTTCTCATATAAATCATTAACTTCAATAAATTATGACCATTCCATAAATGTAACTCCAGTATCTGCATTGGCATCAAATACAAATAAATATTTGTTAGCCATTTTAATAGCAATTGCTACATGATCATATTTGGTATTTGTAAATACTCTTTATAATTTAGCTCCAGTATTATTAGTTTCAAAAAGAAGTAGATCTCCAGTTTCTACTATTTTCAAAAAATAATCTTCTGAAATTACATTAATTCCAAAGTATTTTTATACTTCTTATAATTATAATTATTATTTTGGATGATTTCTATGTTTATCTAATACAATATTTAAACATCCAACCCACATCTTAGCCTCAACAGGATCTTTAGCTTAATATATAATTATTTAATGTAAATGAGGAAACTATATTTTAATAAACTATTTATCCTATTAAATATTGAATTCAAATTCCTTTAGAGATATAACTTTTATTAAAGAAGTTTTTTATTCATCATTAAATTCTTTTATTGATTGTCTTGTGAGTACTACATATACCTTTTTATTTTAATACAACCATCCTTCTTTAACAGTCTAGTTTCCATCTATATAAATTTCAAATAAATTAGAATTATGCTTCTCCACAATTTTAATCTTATATTAGGACAAAGACTTACAGGAGTACTTAAAATGATAGTTTATTATGATCTTTGAGATTTCCTCTTAAGTTTTTCAGGTGAACATTCAGATCTTTAATAACAATCAGATGTAAAGATAACATTGTTTTATAATGAAAGAGATCTCTTTTTGGTATCTGACATAAGGAAATTAGAGTATAATATAAATAATACAAAAATAATATTTATTTTTTGAAAATTATATTTTATATTGATAAAATAATATAAATCTTTTGAGATATATAAATATATCTAAATTTAAAGATATATTTAATAATATAAAAAAGAATAATAGAAGTAATTACTAATGATTATCTTATTAATATATATATATATATAAATAAATTAAATTAGATGATAATTGATGATAAAATCCAAAAGATCTTAACATCAAATGATTTCTAAAGAGTAAGTGATAAATAAAAATTATCACGATCAGAGTTCACTGATTAAAGTAATAAGAGCAATGTTACAAATGAATTGAAACCTAAAAAGAGAAGAGTTGTAAAATTGAAGAATCAATTATTATCTTCAAATGTAAGTCCAGACATTCAGAAACTATATTATCAATCCAAGAAAATAGATACAGAATAATAACATACAGGAGATAAGATAATGATTGAAGAACAAAAACCTATTATATTACCATCTCTATAAAAGAAGGAGTAAGTGATATCAGAACAATCATCTAAAACTAATTTGAGTGATCTTATTATGAATATCTAAGAGATATTCCCTCCTGATCATTAACTTTGGAGAGATCTCTAAGTTGGTGATTAAAGTATTGAGGATGTAATTATATAGAATTAAGATTACTTTTAAGATTTATTAAGTATGAAATATGATATAATAATAAGTACTATATTTATAAGAGATGGAGATTAGATCCTTAAAGAACAAGAAACTTGGATGTAAGAGTAAATATAGTACATAATATACTGATGATTACAATGATAAATTTATGAAAGATTCCACATATATTAATAGATGGATATATGAGAGAGCAAAGCAATCAGCATCCTTGTTGTAAAATTCAAGCACATATAATGTACAAAATCTTTAGTCATAAACAAGTAACATTTTGTACCTCAAAGATTTGAGAAATCAGATAATTTTAAGCCTGATCATATACCTAATTAGAATACAATGTCATGTTTATCATCCTATACAGCTAATTATAGAGATTGGAAAAAGTAATATCATGGTATCATTGGACCATTTTATGTATAAAGTGATAAAAAGTTACCATTTATTGCTGAAACCAATTATTCTCGTAATTTTGTGACTCAGAAATATGAGAAACAAGATCCTATTATACCTAAACCTCTGTATTTTTAATTAATATATATAAATAGAGGACCATTTCCAGTAGAATCTCAATCTTTGGTTCGTTAAACTACTCATAAGAATTAATTCTCGTTACCATAGAATTGGATAGAAAATTTACCATTAACTAGTCCTCGAAATTTAGAGATTAAAAGTTTTGATGGATATCATCCTCACTTTAATAAACAATAGTAATCACCATAAGTGATGAATTCGTTTGCTGATCGATTCTTTCATTCATCAGTTGTATAGTAATTGATGAAAAAGAATCAGAAACAAATTATCAATTGATTTATTATAAATAATAATATGTCTGTAAGAATCAAATACACTAGCATAATAGAAGCTACGACTGGATTGAAATCGTTGAGTTTATCAAAAAAGAACATATTAGCATTAGGAAGTGGTGAAGAAGAAGATTGGTTGCTATTAAATGAAGTGGATGCATAATTTAATTTGCATCCTATTTAAATTGGTAAAATGGAAAAGAGAATGATCTCTTAATTAGCATGGTCTCCATCTGGACTCTATTTAGCAACAAGTAATGATAAATTGATTGTTTGGTAATTCAATGGCGGCAATTTATCTATATATCGTACCTATTAAGGACATAAATTGGAAATTACAGCATTATGTTGGTCTCCTGATGATTAAAGAATAGCTACTGCTTCATTAGATGGAAATATCTTTATTTATCATATTAAATAAGATGGAATCCAACATAAAATAGATTGTGGTTAAAAAACAGTTGGAATATGTTGGGATCCATTTGATAAATATATAGTTTCCTTGAAATTTGACAACACAGTATTCATATATATTATATATATAAAGGTTAATTTTTATAAAATTGATAATTGGAAACAAGAAATCACAGTTTCCCTCCAAATATAAGGAAAATAATGTACAACAAAAAGAGAAGACAGAAAACTTGATTGGAGTGTAGATTGTAGATATTTGGCAGTTCCAAATTTAGATGATAAAGTATTTATTATATAATACTTAGACAATTCCAACAGTAGCAATTTTAGATAGAAATTAGAATTTTTAAGTTGTTAGAACTATTGTAGGTCCATTCTCATCAATAAATGTTGTTCGATTTTCACCAATGTTATTTAAAAATTCTAATTCTAATGAATATTTTAGTGTATTTGCTATTGGTGATAATGATGGTAATATAAGTTTGTGGTAAATAAATGAGAATTAAATTGATGAATAACCATTTCTATTGGTTAAGGGTCATAAAAAGGCAGGAGAATTAATAGAAGATATTACATGGAATCAATAAGGAACAGTTTTAATGGCTACAACTTCTAAAAAATATATAATTGTTATAGATTTTCAATTAAGTTTAGGTTAAGTATTAGGTGAAAATGAGAAATAGTAAGCAATTAAAAGTTTATATGGTGATCTTAAAAATACAATTAAATAAATTAGATTTTATTAACCTAAAATTAATAATGAAAATATTAAATTTGCAGATATGTAGATTGAAAAAATTAATGTATAAGATGAATTAAAAAATCAAATACCTGATAGTGCAATATAATAAAGAGAAATTCCTAAACCAACATAAACATAATTTAAGTAAATTATTGTAGATGGCAAAAAAAAATTAATACCTTTGGATGTGAATTCATCTGAACCTGTTATTAAAAAGGTTGAATAATAGTAACCATTATTGGTTATTTAATAATATGAAGTATTACCTAAAAGTTACTCTTTTTCAATGAATAATAAAATTCTCTTATTGGAAGTCTAAAAATAATAATAAAGGATATTTAATTAAGCTGTCTATGGAACTTTAATTAGATGTATTGAAAATAATACACCAAAATGGATTGATTATGTAGAAGGTTAAGTAAAGACTATTCAATATAATGATGATCTTATTATTATTTACACTGATTAAGCTTTACTTTATATTGAAAATCATAAAGGAATGAGATAAGAAGCACCATTTATTTTACCATTCTTAAGTTAGATTGTATTGAGTCCTAAAAATCATATATTATGTCTTCAAAATACAGGAGAATTTAAAGTAATCAATTTAAATTCTAAAACTATATCATATGAAGGAGACATTAAAATTCTAATGTAACATGTCTATGAATGGATGGATAAAAAATAATTATTAAATGAAGATGAAAAGAAAGGCAAATAAAGCATTGATCCATTAATAAAAGCAAATCTTAAAATTGATACTGAAGGATATCCATTAGTTGAATTTCTATTTAAAGATTATTGTGTTTATACTTATCATAAGTAATTAAGACAATGGATTAAAACTAAATAAATTGATGTGAAGTATTAATTAATTAATATTCATTAGCAATCAAAATTAAGATATTAAGAATTTAAAAAAATTCAATTTTAATTAATATTAAACACCTCCTTATAATGATGCTTAAATATATAAGAGATTAATTTAAAAGACTACTATTGAAGATGCAATCAATGATATTCAATAAATATCAAAATTGGAAGAACAATTAAAAATATTTTGGTCTGATGGAGATATTAAAACATATGAGAAAGCATTATATACTTATATTAAGAAAGTAATTTGAGAATTTAAACTAACTAGTTATGTGATACTTGGCCAAATAATCAAGAGAAATTATCAAATATTATTGAAACAATGATTACTAATTAAAATTCTGCTGAATATAAATATCTAAGTGAAAGAGTATAGGACATGGAAGAATTAAAAAAAAAAATAATTTATATCCTTCAGTAATTTCCATAAACTAGAGATTTAATATTGTGTCTTTTTCCAGATCATTTCTGAGTATATATATATATATATAGATAAATATCATTATTAAAGCAATTTATAGTGCAGTAGATCTTTTTAGATTTACATTAGTTGATTTAAACAATTTTCGTTTCTTGAATAATAACTGTTTAATCTATCTATTTCTTATTAAAAATTAGTCATCTTAGGTCTAATTTTATATGGATACTAAAGAGCAACCCTTTCCCACTCATCTTATTCTAAACGAGCACAATTTGATTGATTAAATTTAAATACTGAGAGATTCATTAATCCTTTATGTTGGATATCAGGATTGATTTTTTTTAATTCCTATTATATTTATTTAAGATCTAATTGCATTTGCTTTGAAGATGGTAGACTATTATTTCTTTCTCTTTATAGAGATGGATGAGAATTCTACATGGATTTTGTTTAATGAACAGCACTGAATTATGATTTCCTTCTAGTTTGATTTAGCTCTCCTAACAATCGTTTTGCTTTATCACTTTTAAGAGAGTCCAATTTATATAACTTAATTAGAGTCTTTTCATAATTGACTTGATTCTTTTGCAAGTATGCTTTAATCTTATTATCAACTTTATCAAACAATTAATTTTAATATGGGAAATCCTTCACCTAACTACTCTTACTCCTTTTCTCTCTTACATAAGGTTGAATAGATTTTCGAGGAGACAATGTTTCATCCAATACATCTATTGTATTTGATGAAACCTTAGGAGAACCATACTTCATTTAATTATATATTTAATATACACATAATTCATTACTACTATTATTATTTCTTAACTTATTTTATAAATTTATCCTTCTGTTTCTATTACTTATATTTCCTCTTTCCCTCTTCTAAATGTTACTTCTATCCTTTAAACTAAGCCTCCTTGATCTTCTGTTTATGTATATCCTTCTCTTCTCTCTTCTTCTCCTTTTCATTCTTAATAGTATTCAATCTTTAAATTAATGAATAAACCTCCTTCTCCTTATCAGTCATATTGCTCTTAACAGGTAAATTCTTTTCCACCTATTATCGCAATCTCTCTCTGAATGATAACGATTTAACCTAAAACCATTTTTATATTTAAATACCTTTTCCTTACTTTCAAAAGGCAGATTCTATTACAAATTATTTGGTATTCTCAAAGGAGCAAATTTTACAGGTACTCTCTCCTAATCTTGATAAGTAGATTCTGGTTTGAATTCTAATGGTATTTATTTCTCTTATCTTAATTCCCACATAGTCTTCATCAATTTAACATTGCTTGTAATAAGTCTATAGAATCTTTCTATATGCATTCTGACCCAAGTTCTGCAGAAGACTAAATCACTCATTTGAATTTTGTCTTCGAAAGTAGCTCTGAAACTACCATCAGGACCTAATTTGCTTGGTTTTTTAATATGTCCTCTTAAACCAGACACAGTTTTAATGAGACCACCTTAAAATTTGGCTACTTCGAGAGAAGAATTAAACATTCCTTTAATAAATGCAGTATTTTTAATAACTTTAAAAGGTTCTCCAACCAACTTTAACTTTTTCATCACATCAAATTAATGATTCATCTCTAAGACTACTCCAGTTGCAGCGATTCTAAATTTAGACTATATAATATTGATATATATATACTAATTTATTGCTTAATGATTATGTACAAACAAGACCTGTTCCCTAAGGTGCAAAATTACCATAAAATATAGCATAACAATAATCATATTCTGGAGTATATTTAATGAAACGTAATCTATCATTAGGATCTTATACACAATAGATAGGAATAGTCTAAAATCTCCTCCATCCAAGAGAGATGATGATAGGATCATTAGATTTTAAAATGTTGCTATGCCATCTATGCTTTTTAATTCTAATCTATAATATATATGAAAAGAATATATACCTTGATGAATCCTAAATTATCCTCCCCAACTTCAGATCTAGCAAGAATCATAGGATAATCATCTTTAATAGAAGAGGAGAAATCTTTAATAACTATTTTTACATAAATGCCTTTTTTATATAATCCTAGATTTGAATTAGTTAATTCATTAACTAATTATTATCTTTCTTATTAATTTTCTTTTTATTTTTAATTATCATCTTTTTAATTATTATCTTTCTTTTCTTATTCTTCTTCTTATTCTTATTCTTATTCTTCCACTTCTATTTATTTTTCTAAATTTTCCAAATCTACAACATCATTCTATCCATAAAATCCTGTCACAAATAATTCTTTAATCTCCCTATATGAATCTCTATCTTAAACTTTAGGTATGTATCTTACACTATCAAACTCATTAATACCATTCTTATTTTAATATATTAATTCATGTAAATCAGTAGCTAATAGAGTATCTGAAATAGGCATAACAGTTCCATTTTCAATTTTTATATTAACTCTATTTTTTAATCTAACTAATTCTCTTTGTTATTAAATCTATTATAAATTATTTTTTTTTTTGATAGGTTAGTCTTCTTCCAATTCAAATCCCTCCAATAATTATGCATCTTCTTCTTCTTCTAATTATTTATCAATTCCTTCAGTTAATTGTTATAATTCTCTGACCATCCTAACACCTTCAGGTAATTCCTATTCTTATTCCTACTCTTCTATATCCTCATCATCCTACTCTTCATTATTAACAAATTTATTTTTTTCTGTGAATATTGGTTATGGGATTGTGATATATCCTGCTGTAGCATCAATAGTTAAAGCACCTACACTAGACATGGGAGCATAAACTAATTTTTCAGTATCCTTCAAAGATCTATGTTTCTTCTAAGTTGTTATTATTTCAACTGGATCCAGAACTTCTTCAAAACTTTCAATATAGTAATCTCCTTATCCTACAAAATGAATTCTATCATTTAATCTATAAGTACATCCTCTTACATATCCATAAAAGGTTGTAGTATTATCTTTACCCTATTCATAACGATCTGCCAATATAAATGGATGTTCTGTTTTCCATCTAACTGGTGCAATTTTAATGATTGATATAAACCTTGCCAAATTATGAATGTCTTATTTTAAATAGTATTCATTTTTTAAAGCTTATAAATAGAACAATTTATAATTGCCACCAGTTTCATATTCAAATCTCTTTTTATACTTCTTTCTTGTTTTTCTTAATTATTTATTGTCTTTAAAGAAATCAATATGAGTCAACACACCCATTACATTTGGAAAACCATGATTATTTAATAAACTTAAGTATTCAAATGTTTCCATCTCAAATCCTATACTTGCATCAATTAATATCAATGCTAAATCTGCTACTTTACTTAAATCACTCATTGCATTGATATCACTTGGACACTCTATAAATGTTACTCTATGTTATTTGTTTGAACGAACTGTTACTGGACCTACTAATTTCTTTATCTTCTATCCTGTGTAATGTTTCACAAGTGATTTTATCAATGTTGTCTTACCACTACCTTTTGGTCCTTATACAACAACCAACAAAGGAGCTTATGATTCTGCTTCTTCATTGGCTTACAATTATTCAGCATAGAAGTCCTTTTGTTATTTTTAATGAGGCTTAATAATAGGGGCTTGTTTCACTTGTTCTTCTTCAGAATCAGACATTAAAATTTATATATTTAAATTGTGATGAGTCAATAACAAGAAGAACAGAAAGCTATCCCTCTTGATAAATTGACACCTCAATAATTGTTGTAGATTAAAAAGTAAATAGAAGAGGTTTAACATTATTTTATAAAATAGGAAGTCTAATCACTCAGTTAATCATTATCTTAATTCAGAATTGCAAATGCTAAATATGAAGAAAGCAAAGTCATCTTAAAGAGATTAGATTAAACCCCTAAAGATAATGATCTATTAGTACCCATTACTGCATCACTCTATGTACCAGGTACAAATTAAATAACATAATGAGGAAGATTGATTAATCCATAATCAATTATGATAGATTACGGAACAGGATATTTTGTAGAGCGTAATACTGAATAGGGATCACATTTTTGTGATAGAAAATTATAATTATTGAAAGAATCATAAGATAAATTGAGTAATATCATAAATTAGAAAAAGTAATTCATGGATAAATTAAATATTGAATTATAGAAACGAGTGTTATAAGTATAATAAATTTAATAATAATAATAATAATAATAATAAAAGAAATAATGATGATGAATTATATCTTAAAATAATAAAATCAATATTTAATATATTTAACCTAATCTCAATTATCATAATAATTATTGTTTCTTCTATAATTTTATCTTTTTCGATTATTGTTATAATTATTTTTATCTAAAATTATATATATAATAATATATATATACTGTATTATTTTTTTTTTCTTGGATTACTATCACTTCTGCTCCGTGAAGACTATTATTAATTAAAATAAATTGATTACTGATGATGATGAACTACTACTACTCGAACTACTAGAATCTCTTGCGATTTATGCATGTAAAGTACTTTTATAGGGAATTCGTTTAAATGAAACTACATTTTAATCAGGTATTCTATATTCACAAATTGTCTTTTCTTCAGGAATTTCAATTTATCCAGGAGGTTTCAATTGTTTAATGAACTGATCAGATGCATATACTATGCAATAAGAATTGGAGGTTTCTTCTTGACTATAAAATAAATGAAGTTAAACTTACTTAACTAATAATTCATATAATCCAATGATATCACCATATTATTGAAATATACTCAATAATTTGTTTGTATTTATTTAATGTTGTGTTTTAATGAATAATTAATATTGTTTTAGTACATCTGAAAAAGAATCAGTCTTCTTTTTCTTTTAGCATATTAAACATGGCACATTCTTAATTTTTAATTACACATTCTTTTACAACATTTCCATTTGCACTTCCAAATATTCAAAAATATGATCTTACTATGTTTCACTTTTAAATGTTCCTTCTGGTAATTACTATAATTTCAATCTATTTTTAATATCAATCAAACAATCTTATAAATTAAATTCTAATGGAATACCAAAGATATAAATAGTTTCTTTTGGAACTAATAATACATCAATTAATTCATTACTTGTTAATTATACAGGTTAAATATCAACTATAGGAGCAGTAATTGTCTTCTATTAAGGAATCACTTATAAATTTAAGACTATTGAATTCTCTTTCTTCTTTTTTTCTGGACTCTCTGATTTCGATGATTCTTAACTACTTGATCGATCCCTCTTCTTATCTCCAAATCTCTATTATCTTAATTTCTCTTCTAATGCTTATTTATCAACTTCTCCCTTTTCCTAAAATCCCAATAAATGTAATTCAATACCCTTAGCATCATTAAAAATACATCACTGAATTATGGAATGATCTTCTTTTCACTTTAATGTTTTGATATTAAATTGATATGTTTCTTTCCTATATATATCAATTTGGCATCATTATCATATCGCATTCCTATGGCTATATCAATAGTCCTTTCATTTTAATTCTTATCTGTTATTTAAATCACTTCGCAAGGACCCTATTCATTATAATCATATTACCGCCTTCTATACTCTATCTTTTACAAAATTAAGAAATTGATCCTCTGTTTAATTCCCCATATAGAGATTCTTCACAAAAAAATGTATCTTGATTTCTGAACATTTACTATAATGCCATTTATCTAACACATTTTAAAATCTTCTTGGTGATTGATTTCGACTCATCAATATATAAAAATATATTAAATATAATCAATTCTTTTTTTTAATATTTTATGTTCCAAATGTCTAAGTAGGTTTCCTTTTCTCTCCAATATCAAAAATACTACTTTATTTTTTATTTGCAGATTTTGCAAAAGGATTGAATTCATCTTCATCTTATTGACTCTCAACTCTCTATGACTATATTTATTATTATAATAGATTTTATTATTATTATTATTGATGATGATGATGTTACTATTATTATTCTCTTTGTTCTAAAATAGTCTTTATTTAATTCATATTCACTTAATCATTCTACTTCTGCAGACCAAATCCTTGTCTTTTTGGTGATTAAGGTCTTTTGTCAATACCAAAATTCTATTATTACTTTATTATTTATTACTAAGAATATAAATTAAATTAAATACTCTTTATAACAATTTGATATGAGTCAATAATTTTTATAATTCTTTATTGGTTGTTTACTTTTCTTTCTGTAATTCCAATAAACTGATTATAGAATTCATATCATATTCATCTTTAATATGACATCTAAAAAATTCTATAGCTTTGTCTTTAGATTCATTTAAAATCTATTTAAATAAATCAACTCTAAACTTCCTTAATAATTTTTAAGTCTCTTCAATTTTATTAGAATCATATAGATTTTATGTATATCTGAGAAGTATATCATTTTATTTATCATCATTTCTAGCATAATAGTATTTACCAAATTCATTCCATCTATATAATTCATGATTTAAGATAATCAATTAAGTTAGAAATTGTCTATAATTTGTTATCAATTTCTCATCTTAAGAGAAACATAAAAATGGTTATTCAAAAGTCTATTAAATCATTTCTTATTTCATTGATGCTAATGGTTATTCTGTCTTTAATAAACATAATTTGTAATCTTATATTCCATATAACCAAAATCTAGAATTATGATAAACTTCTATCCATTTACTATTTTGATAAATTCTAATCACTCCTTTAGAATCTTGAATACTCAATAATCCTTCATCAGAATATCCAATCCAAGAAAGTGAAGAGAAAGGAGTAAGGAAGATATCAAATTCTTCAATTTATTTCTACAAATCTATATCATACACTCTACCTTTTAAAACTTATTAATTTAACATTGGAGAAGTATCATGAAATACTATACATAATAAATGTTCATATGAACATAATGATACAATTGCTCTATTTGTATTAAATTATAATAATTCTAAACCACAAAATGAAATTACTCTACAAATTCCATGATCACTCATAATTGCAAACCAATCATTTCCTATTGTTACAAGTTCTGCTCCTTCTTCTTCAGGTAATTAAAATTCAAAATCATCTACATCACCTATAAATTATTAGAAAAACACTATTGATCTTCCATCCCCTATCAAATATCCTTAATCATCTAAATCATTTGGTCCTTTTGATGCTAATACACATCCTCTATAATTTAATGTACCAATTGCATATCTTTATTAATTACTTATTTTAAACTTTTTATAAAATGTTGAATCAAAAAATTCAAATTCAATCATATTAGTATTTTAACATAATATTATTGTACCTACTGTATTATAACATAAATATTATCTCCCTCTTGATAATTATGTTTCACCTGGTCTCAATATATCTTACATTCCTGCATCAGTATTCTACTTTTATTTTTTCTCTACTTCATTCCCTTTTATAAATCCATCTAAATCATCTAAATTCTCTTTAACATTCTCATCCCCTAATAATTCCTCTTCTATTCTCTAATTATTATATTTCTTGGCTTTCTAATTTAATAAATCTTTGAATGCAATATTTTTATCTTTATATATTGCCTCAGTCTCTGTTAATGGAGGATCTACAGTAGTTTCAATTAGATTTCCATTACAATCAAATAAATAGAATATATTTTACATTATTATCATATATAATGGAGTACATTTAATATTAAATTGCCAATGTAAGGATAAATCAGTCAAAGATTTAAAATTCCATAATTTTATTTCACCATCTAATGAACAAGATCCCACACAATTATCTTATATCCATTTTATAATACATATTTCACTCTAATGTAAAATCTAATATTGCTATTATAAATCTTAAGGTTCATCCTAAGTGATTATATATTATGCATTAATTTTTCCAGCAATCCAAAATGAATTACCTGATGGATGGAAATCTGATTATAATTTTTAGAATGTATCTGGTGATATTTATTTACTAATAGTATATCTCTATAATAATTATGGTATTTATGATAGTTAATATACTATCAAACAACCATCACAACCAATACTGCATACAAATCTATCTTTTGGATCAAAAGAACAACTTAATATCATTCCATCATGTCCAGGTTTACATCTTGATATTTTATTATCTCTATTCAATATTAATGAATTTTCCTCAGTAGCTATTCCCATTATTTTACCATTCTTATTGTATTTGATCTGAATAACCTTTCCTGTTAAAGTGACTATCAAAGATGGTGTAGTCATTTGAATATCATCATATGTATCTACTCTCATATCTCCAATAGCAAAGAATTATGAATTTAAAGGATGAATTGCCAAAGCCAACATATTAGACTCAAGTACAGTTTCCGCGGTTTTTTTATGCTCAATTAAATCATACTCAACCAAGCACTAATTCCAAGCTAACAATGCTTTATTTCCACTGATATCAAAACCACATTATCCTTTTGTCTCTGTAATTGCTGTACTCTTGAACTCTTTTACACTTAACATATAAAATTAGTTGAATTATTTTAAAATAAAAATGAATTATTATTATCAATATATATATATATGAACTTGTACATTATTATAATATGTATATTCTCTTATTTAAAGTAATAAAATATGAATTGTAAATCAATCATCAATCAAGTGATTTTTAATTATTTTTGATAACTTATTTTCTTACATAACTCATAAAATCACCATTTTCTGAATATTCTGGTGTTAGTATTTTATTCTCTCTTCTCCAATCTATTATTGGTGGCAAATCAGCTACTTTACTAATAGACATAAATGAACATTTATTATTTGAACAAGATAAGGCTTTCTATTTAAACTTAGTTTTCTTTTAATAAAATAAGTAATCCTTCCTTGCAAATCTTTCTGTGTATTATATTGAATGGATATATTATAAGTCATTAAATTCATTTTATTATTACTATTTGCTTTTCTTTACTTCTTCCAGAATTTATTATTTTATTTAGTATCTATGGTCTCCATTCTATCTTTTATTCTTTAATGGTGCTAAAGTAACTATTCTTTTAGGATTTATTTCAAGGCTTCCTTATTATAATTATAAAGTAATCATTTATAAACATAAATGAATAAATTTATTGAGATTAATCTAACATAAAAAATGAGAAATAAAAATCATATCAAAAGTTTTTAGAACCTATTTAATAGTTTAAATTATATTAATTATCCTTGAAATTCTTTAAATAAATTATAATAAAATATATATTGTAATTATTTTTTTATTAAAGTTTTTAATTATAAATTATAGTTCTTGCAAAAAAGATTGATCAGAAGGGATTGATATATTTAATTATTCCACTAAATATAGATATAATTAAAAAATACAATTTTTATGAATAAATATCTATTCCCTTTCAAATAAATTGATAATTTAAAATATGATCTACTGTCTCTAGTTAAAATTATATGTTTATCAATATTTTTAAGTTACTGTTTAACTTTGAAAACTAAATTATCATCTTATTTTTATTTGATTTTTATTTTATCGGTTTTTTATTGTATTAGGATATTTTTATGAAAGTTTACGACATGATGAAACCAATTACTTTGAGCCTCTTATCAAATACATTCTATAACAAAATTAAAAAAAGCTGTCTAATAACGAAATAATTATAAGGTAAGATCATTCTTAAATCAACTAATTTTTACATAAATATTTTTTCTTCACAATAATAAAAATTACCCATCTGAATATATTTTTTTTGAAAATAATAATAATTGATATGAAAGACCTTTATGTAGAGTTTCCAACAATTATTAAGAAATACAAATAGGAGAAAGTAATAATAATAATTTTTAGAAAATAACAATGTACTCTTATATTTAGGTTGCTATTACCATCTAATGGAAACTTATCAATATGAGCGCAATCATAAAAGTGCTTGCTCAAAAATAGCAAAATTCTCTAAATCCTAAGAATTTGAAACAAATGTTTTTAATATCTAAAAGTTTAATTTTCTCTAATATTTTGGAAAGTTATGATAGTAACATAGATAATAGTCATCCGAAATGTTGTTTCCAAATAGACAGTAGATAAATAGAAAAAAAAATAAAACTAAAATGATTATATGAATATCTTTTCAAATAAGACTATGAAATCATAGTTACACATGGTAATTAAGCTGAATTAAATCCAAATCAATTATATTATTTAAATTCTTCTCTTAAACATTAAAATACCAATATTAAAAACATTAAAATAGATTTGGATGATGATCTTAATTAGTGGCCTAGTCATAATTTAACTATTCTTCGAGGGTTTATGCTTTAGATCTTTTAAAAATGAATTTAATCCAGAGATATTTCAACGTTAATGTCCTGGTTCTCATTAATATTGGCCAGGTATTCATCCTCATATGTGCGCAGGTATTGATGTATATATATATTTAGGTGTTCCAAGAGATTGTGATGGGACAACAGAGCTTAAATAGTTGATAATAAATGAGGAAGAAGTAGTGTGTCATCCTTAGATAAAAGGTTATATATTATATGGGAATGATGATACTCATTTACTTCTAGGATGGTGGCCATTTATTATGGTCTATTCTTATGATCAAAATGGAAATTTAATTTTTACAACTGAGGATTAATCTATATTATATGATTATGGTTGCATAATTGGACAACAATATTCTGGAATTTATAAATGCATATATTGTAGTGGAACAAATTATGGTGAAAATTGTGCAAGTTCTACTACTGCACTTTGTAAAAATATTAATTAATTTGAAAGAATGCGGTCAATATTGTAAAACATGCGATTCTACCAATACGAAATGTGCTACTTGTATTGATGGTCATTCTAAATTAAGTAGTACTGATTATAAATGTTCATTAGGTAGATTATTATTATTATTATTAGCATGTTAAGTAGGTCATAAAACTTGTTAAAAAAGTGGAACTACTTATACATTCAATGGTTGTATTGATGGTTATGAATTAAAAAATGGACAATGCATTTGTATGATATTTATTACTATATTTAGAATGTCCAAGTAATTGTAAAATTTGTAATTCAGGAGTTTGTTCATAGTGTATGTGGCCTTATTCTTTAGAAAATTCTTTATGTTTTGAAGATAGGAATTGCATGAAATATGATTATGTATATGATTCTTAAGCAAAACCAATTGGTACTAATTGTCAATAATGTGATGTTGGATATTTTAAAAAAGGAACTCGATGTGCTTGTAATAATATTGTTAATTTTAATAGCTTGTTAAGAATAACCAGGATTAGAAAAATGTTTCATTTGTGATAATGCTAATTAATGTAAAGGTTGTTTTGCAACACACTATTTAACTGCTGATAAAAAATGTGCTCTTTATACTGGTACATGCAATTTACCTTGTCAAACTTGTTTAGTAACAGATGCCAATTACTGTACAACCTGTTTTTATCAGAAGAAACTAACCGCAAGAATTGTTCCAGGAAAATGTGTTTGTGATTAACTTACTGGATATGCTGATTTAAATGGAGTATGTCTTCTTTGCAAAACTGGATTATGTTTAACATGCACTTTAAAATTTGAAGAATGTACCTCTTGTGATCCTTTACTAAAAAGAGGTCTTGTTGGAAACAAGTGTCCATGTCTATAAGGATACTATGATACTGGATTAGAAGATAAAATTTGTTAAAGTATAAATAAAAATGAAAAATTATAGAATGTTAACTTTCATGTTATAATTGTTCAGGACCATATGATACAGATTGTACTGATTGTGGAGATCCAAATATTTATTACAAATAATTGATTAGTGGATAATGTATTTGCGCTTAACGAACAATTGCGATCAACTAAAGTAATGGATAAACATTATGTCAACGTATATATAGTGTAAAGAATTTAGCTTGTCATCCAAGATGTGAAAAATGTTAATTCCCATATGATAATTCTTCAAATCAATATTGCACTATGTGTATAGCAGGACAATATAGAGTTGTCTCTGATGATTTTAAATGTATTTGTAAAAATGGATATGGAGATGATGGCATTGTGGATATATGTTTTAGTACATTTAATATGATATTTTTAAGAATGTCATTATTCATGTTTAAGTTGCAATGGACCTCTATCTACTAATTGCACTTCATGTTCTAGCGATACAAATCGGCATTTAACTTCGAATAATGAATGTTAATGTAATTTAGCTTACTATGACACTGGGAAAAATGATATAGTTTGTTATTGTAATAAGAATAAAATACAATATTTTAGTTGGTTGTCATCACTCTTGTGTAAATTGTATTAGTGAAGGAGAAGATAAGTGTACAAGTTGTCCATCTACCAGATATTCAGATAGAATTGGTTCAACATTTAAATGTTTGTGCAAGGATCCACACTATTATAGTGATGAATTTTCATTAGAATGTTTAGAATGCCATTTTACTTGTAAAACATGCAATGGAGTTAAAGAAACAAATTGTTTAACTTGTGATTTAAACTATAGATAACTCATAATATCTAAATGTGATTGTCCATATGGATACTATGATATAGGTTAATTACAATGCTAATGTATTATTTTAAATATAATTTTAGAATGTTATTACACATGCAAGACCTGCTTTGGAACTTAGATCAATAATTGCATAACATGTTCAAATGAAACCAATAGAATAGTTAAAGCAAATAAATGTGTATGTAAGGATGGCTATTTAGAAAAATAATTTGGTGATTAAATATGTTAAAGTAATTATTTCTTTAAAACTTAGAATGCTCATATAGATGTTCCTCTTGCACTGTAGCATTAGATCGATGTGATAAATGTCCAGATTCATCATTTAGAGATCTTGGAGTTGATAATTCCTGTTTGTGTCCTCCTAGAACTTATGATTAGCCTGGTAATCCAATATGCATAAGTACTAATTAATTTTAGATTTAGTTTGTCATAATACTTGCTTAACATGTAATGGTAATTAATCAAATTAATGTACTTAATGCAATTCTTTAACTGGAAGATAATTAAATGATAAAGGCGAATGCATATGTGCTTTATAATATTTTGATAACGGACAATCTTAATGTTTAGGTATTAATTTTGATTAATAATTTATAAGCCTGTAGTTCTTTATGTCTATAATGTAAATCTTCTGCAGATAATTGTACATAATGTCAGTCCGATAAATATTTAAACCGAAATACTTGTGCATGCAAAACAAAACTTTAAGGCTTATCAATATCTACATATCTGAGTTCAACTTAATAACAATGTCAACGTAATCATATTAAAATTAAAAAAGCCTGTCATTATACTTGTTTGACATGTACTGGACGCTTATCTTTAGAATGTGATTCTTGTTTGGATGTTGATAATAGATATCTATAAGGTACAACTTGCATTTGTAAAACAAATCACTTTGATGTAGGAATAGCTAAATGTGTTTGTAATATTTAACATTTATATTAGAATGTAATTATAGATGTCAAACTTGTGCAGTATTAGATACTTTATGTTTAACTTGTCCTCCTTTAAGTTTAAGAGTATTAGTTAATTCCTAATGTTAATGTCAACCAGGTTATTATGATAATGGAATAAATTCTATTTGTTAGAGTAATTAAAAATTTAATCCTTTAGAATGTCATTATTCATGTTTAACTTGTTCTTAAATAGCAACAAAATGTGAAACATGTTCAGCATAATGGAAAAGGTCATTTAACAATATTTTAAATTCTTGTCTTTGTTTTGATAATTATTTTGATATTGGAGTTGAAATTTGCTAATAATGTCATTATTCCTGTTTGAATTGCTAAGGATAAGATTCAAATTATTGTAAGACATGCATTGATTAGAATGTTTCATTTAGGGTATTCAATGGAGGAATATGTTAATGTCTTATAGGTTATTATGATGATGGAATATCTGTTATTTGTAAAAAATGTTAGATTTAATGCACAACTTGTAAGACTTAATCATATTTCTGTACATCATGTCCAATTACACGACATTTGAATGGAAACAAATGTGATTGTGATTCAAGTTATTATGAAGCTGGACTAGAATAATGTCTTAAATGTGATTAAAATTGTGTAGATTGTACTACTTCTTCTACTAATTGTACTAAATGTGATTCGTCTTAATTAAAAAGTTTAGACAATCTTACTCGAAAATGTTTATGTTAAATAGGCACAACCGATATTAATGGTATTTGTTAATAATGTGATAACTCTTGTTAGACATGTTTGAATTCCCTCACTAATTGCACATCTTGTAGTTTAATGAAATAATTATAAAATAATAAATGCATTTGTATAGATGGTACATATGAAACAGGGATTGATAAAAAATGTTTACCTTGCAATTAAGCATGTAAGACATGTTTAAATAAAGAAAATTATTGTTTAACTTGTTCAGCAGATAGTTTTAGAATCTTTAAAGCTGGAAATATATGTGTTTGTCAAAATGGATATTTTGAAAATTCATCTAATTAATGTATATCTTGTGATTAATCTTGTCTTACTTGTTAAGGTAGTTCTACATATTGTTTATCATGTGATCCTGCTTTTAATTTATAATTAAGTAATTAAAATAAATGCATTTGTAAGTCTAGTTATTATTTTAATATTGCCTCTAAAAAATGTGAAAGTAAATGATTTATAAAAATAAAAATAGGTTGTAATGTAACATGTAAGGAATGTCAAAATACATAAAAATGTATTGAATGTGAACCAATTAGTAGATTTTATGATCCAGATAATTTTAAATGTTTATGTAAAGATGGTTATTATGAAGCAAATGAAAAAATGTGTTAATGTAATAATTATATTGATAAATAGTATGTGATTTGAGTTGTAAAACATGTATAAATTAAAAAATAAATTGTTTAACATGTGAATCATTATATTTTAGATTGTTCAATAATAATAGTAATTAATGTCTTTGTTTAGATGGTTATTATGATGTTGGTATTGAAATGTGTTAAAAATGTAATAATTTATGTAAAACTTGTTAATAAATATCAACTAAATGTTTATCTTGTTATGAAAATGAATAAATAAGAATATTAAATAATAATTAATGTTAATGTAAATCTGGATATTTTGATAATGGATAATTAATATGTGAAAGTAATTATTATTATTTATTTATGAATTTTAGAATGTTCTAAATCTTGTTTAACATGTTAAGGAAAAAATGATTATTGTACAAGTTGTGATATCAATTTAAATAGAATAGATTAATCACCAATTCATAAATGTCCATGTTAAACTAATTTCTATTAAGATTAAAATGAAATTTGTTAAAGTATATATATTATATATATATTAGAATGTCATATTAAATGTTCTGGATGTATATCATAAAAAGATAAATGTATAAGTTGTAAAACATCAAGTACATCTAATAGATTATCAATTACATAAAATTGTGATTGTATTGATGGATATTATGATGATGGTGTTTAATTTTAATGTTAAAAATGTAGTTATTAATGTAAAACTTGTACACAATCCCCATAAAATTGTTTATTATGTCTTAGTAATTTAAGAGAAATAATTCCTACATGTAATTGCAAATCTGGATATTTTTAAAATGAATAATAAACATGTGAATGTATTTATATTCTATTATTAATATAGTATGTGAAAATCAATGTAATACATGTGAAAAATTATCATATAATTGTACAAGTTGTAAAGGTATTAGAATAAATAAAACTTGTGATTGTTTAGATGGATATTTTGAAGCAGGATAACCTGATTGTATAAGTAATCCTTATTAATTAATATTTATAGAATGTGATTTTTAATGTTTAACATGTAAAGGAAATTAATCTTATTGTTTATTATGTAAAGGTGATCGTATTAATATTCCATTTTGTAATTGTTAAGATGGATATTATGATGATTTCTAAAGTCTTGATTGTTAACAATGTGATCCAAATTGTAAAACTTGTAATCTAGAGGGATGTTTAATTTGTAATGGAAATAGGGTATTATCAGAAGAAAAAACTTGTGATTGTCCTTAAAATTCAGTAAGTCACCCAGAAACACCATGGTGTTCAAGTAAATGAATTTTATTAACATTTATAGCTTGTGAAGTTGCTGTTTTGGATATTCGTTTTTCTGATGATTTACTTTCAGTCAAAGTGCTATTTGATTTTAATTTGAATCCAAATTATTTTTCCTCTTAGTTTTAAGAGAATGTTTGTTATAAATTTTTAGCCGATGAAACTATTAAATTATTAGGAAAGAATCCTAATTGTAAATTAGATTAGGAAAATTATAAATAATTAATATTGAATTTAGGTGTTAATGCTGCAATACTTCCAGGAGATTCAATTATATTTATTGACTCTTATTTTGGCCATAAAGATTGCTCAAGCAAATTAGATTTATTTGTTTTAAATAAAGTTTAAAGTCCTCTTAACCCAGTATCACCTGTAATATCATATGATATACCTCAATATTTACTTAATNTAAATATCAACTAAATGTTTATCTTGTTATGAAAATGAATAAATAAGAATATTAAATAATAATTAATGTTAATGTAAATCTGGATATTTTGATAATGGATAATTAATATGTGAAAGTAATTATTATTATTTATTTATGAATTTTAGAATGTTCTAAATCTTGTTTAACATGTTAAGGAAAAAATGATTATTGTACAAGTTGTGATATCAATTTAAATAGAATAGATTAATCACCAATTCATAAATGTCCATGTTAAACTAATTTCTATTAAGATTAAAATGAAATTTGTTAAAGTATATATATTATATATATATTAGAATGTCATATTAAATGTTCTGGATGTATATCATAAAAAGATAAATGTATAAGTTGTAAAACATCAAGTACATCTAATAGATTATCAATTACATAAAATTGTGATTGTATTGATGGATATTATGATGATGGTGTTTAATTTTAATGTTAAAAATGTAGTTATTAATGTAAAACTTGTACACAATCCCCATAAAATTGTTTATTATGTCTTAGTAATTTAAGAGAAATAATTCCTACATGTAATTGCAAATCTGGATATTTTTAAAATGAATAATAAACATGTGAATGTATTTATATTCTATTATTAATATAGTATGTGAAAATCAATGTAATACATGTGAAAAATTATCATATAATTGTACAAGTTGTAAAGGTATTAGAATAAATAAAACTTGTGATTGTTTAGATGGATATTTTGAAGCAGGATAACCTGATTGTATAAGTAATCCTTATTAATTAATATTTATAGAATGTGATTTTTAATGTTTAACATGTAAAGGAAATTAATCTTATTGTTTATTATGTAAAGGTGATCGTATTAATATTCCATTTTGTAATTGTTAAGATGGATATTATGATGATTTCTAAAGTCTTGATTGTTAACAATGTGATCCAAATTGTAAAACTTGTAATCTAGAGGGATGTTTAATTTGTAATGGAAATAGGGTATTATCAGAAGAAAAAACTTGTGATTGTCCTTAAAATTCAGTAAGTCACCCAGAAACACCATGGTGTTCAAGTAAATGAATTTTATTAACATTTATAGCTTGTGAAGTTGCTGTTTTGGATATTCGTTTTTCTGATGATTTACTTTCAGTCAAAGTGCTATTTGATTTTAATTTGAATCCAAATTATTTTTCCTCTTAGTTTTAAGAGAATGTTTGTTATAAATTTTTAGCCGATGAAACTATTAAATTATTAGGAAAGAATCCTAATTGTAAATTAGATTAGGAAAATTATAAATAATTAATATTGAATTTAGGTGTTAATGCTGCAATACTTCCAGGAGATTCAATTATATTTATTGACTCTTATTTTGGCCATAAAGATTGCTCAAGCAAATTAGATTTATTTGTTTTAAATAAAGTTTAAAGTCCTCTTAACCCAGTATCACCTGTAATATCATATGATATACCTCAATATTTACTTAATCCCTGTGATGATAACACCATTTTAATAAGTTAAAAAACAAATGATGGCCTAAGAAGTTTAATAAACATAGCATGGTCTTATTAAGTAGAAGGGTAAAATGGTTATGGTAATCTAAAAGAATTAGTTTAACATTAAACTAATCTATAACTATTAGATCTAGTCATTCCAATTTAAACCCTTCCGAAACAATCAAAAATAACATTCTTTGTTGAATTTCAAAATTTTATTAATTAAAAAGGGTAGTAATAAATTTAAGTTTAAACACATTCTGGACAATTACCAACTGTACTTTGGTTAGGTAAGAAATATTATTATACTTTTGAAATAATTGATTTATAGTTTACAATCTAGAAAAAATCATGTACTAATTCAACTTAAAGTTAGAATGATAAGTCTTAATATTCAGTATCATTAGTTGAAATTTATAGGAATAATTCTAATTCCAGACCATCAAGAGTAGATGTTTCATAAATAATAAATGAAAGTACTTTTTAAGTGACAATCTTAAAATATACATTATCCCCTAAAACTGCATATACATTCTTAATGGAAACTAAAGAACCCTAAACCACTTTTTCGTTTTCTCAAAACGTAACCATTCAAATAACTCCAGGAGGTCTACTATGCTAATTTTTTGGCATTAATAAGATTCAAAATTATCAAAAGGATTCTACTATAAATATTTAATGTAAAGATCTTGATACTTAATATCAATGGAATGAAGACTAAGAAATTACAATCGAAGTTAGCTGTGCTGACTTAACACAAAATAGCCCTTGCAAAGATATGAATAACAAGATCATTGAAATAAACAAAACAGACTCTATTTAAATTATCCCCAAACTAACTGTTAAGCCGTATTCTATATGGTCATGGACTGTTATAGCAACAAAATAATCATATCAATAATAATTTAAATAAAATATAGTATTTTTGGATAATGATTTCNAGGGTATTATCAGAAGAAAAAACTTGTGATAGTCCTTAAAATTCAGTAAGTCACCCAGAAACACCATGGTGTTCAAGTAAATGAATTTTATTAACATTTATAGCTTGTGAAGTTGCTGTTTTGGATATTCGTTTTTCTGATGATTTACTTTCAGTCAAAGTGCTATTTGATTTTAATTTGAATCCAAATTATTTTTCCTCTTAGTTTTAAGAGAATGTTTGTTATAAATTTTTAGCCGATGAAACTATTAAATTATTAGGAAAGAATCCTAATTGTAAATTAGATTAGGAAAATTATAAATAATTAATATTGAATTTAGGTGTTAATGCTGCAATACTTCCAGGAGATTCAATTATATTTATTGACTCTTATTTTGGCCATAAAGATTGCTCAAGCAAATTAGATTTATTTGTTTTAAATAAAGTTTAAAGTCCTCTTAACCCAGTATCACCTGTAATATCATATGATATACCTCAATATTTACTTAATCCCTGTGATGATAACACCATTTTAATAAGTTAAAAAACAAATGATGGCCTAAGAAGTTTAATAAACATAGCATGGTCTTATTAAGTAGAAGGGTAAAATGGTTATGGTAATCTAAAAGAATTAGTTTAACATTAAACTAATCTATAACTATTAGATCTAGTCATTCCAATTTAAACCCTTCCGAAACAATCAAAAATAACATTCTTTGTTGAATTTCAAAATTTTATTAATTAAAAAGGGTAGTAATAAATTTAAGTTTAAACACATTCTGGACAATTACCAACTGTACTTTGGTTAGGTAAGAAATATTATTATACTTTTGAAATAATTGATTTATAGTTTACAATCTAGAAAAAATCATGTACTAATTCAACTTAAAGTTAGAATGATAAGTCTTAATATTCAGTATCATTAGTTGAAATTTATAGGAATAATTCTAATTCCAGACCATCAAGAGTAGATGTTTCATAAATAATAAATGAAAGTACTTTTTAAGTGACAATCTTAAAATATACATTATCCCCTAAAACTGCATATACATTCTTAATGGAAACTAAAGAACCCTAAACCACTTTTTCGTTTTCTCAAAACGTAACCATTCAAATAACTCCAGGAGGTCTACTATGCTAATTTTTTGGCATTAATAAGATTCAAAATTATCAAAAGGATTCTACTATAAATATTTAATGTAAAGATCTTGATACTTAATATCAATGGAATGAAGACTAAGAAATTACAATCGAAGTTAGCTGTGCTGACTTAACACAAAATAGCCCTTGCAAAGATATGAATAACAAGATCATTGAAATAAACAAAACAGACTCTATTTAAATTATCCCCAAACTAACTGTTAAGCCGTATTCTATATGGTCATGGACTGTTATAGCAACAAAATAATCATATCAATAATAATTTAAATAAAATATAGTATTTTTGGATAATGATTTCAAAATACTTGATGTTTAATATAGCAAAGGATATACAATAAGACCAATCAACAATTATGAAACATTGCAATTCATCTTTAATATTCCTTTTGAAGATAGATATTATTTACTATAATATGAGATTGCCATTATATATAATTTTGAATTAATTAAGATACTAGAACCATAATATTATTAATATCATTTTAGATTATTTGATCATTTTTAATAGTTTAACAAAGGAAATTAATTTAATTTAAAATTTTTAGCTTAATTTACAAATGATATTATACCTAGCTAATACGATTTATAGTTAACTTTGAATCAGCCTCCAATCTGCTCTATAAAATTAGAATTATAAAGTGTCTAAGCTTTATAAGCTAATACAATTGCAGTTAGTTGCGAAAAATCAGATGATTCTCCATATACTTATCAATTAAGATATTTCTTGAAGAATTAAGATTATAAGGATTTCTAAAATTAATTATCTGATTATTCTTTGATTCTAAATACATTTTCAAAATCTAATTCTTTTGATACTTATTTACCTTAAAGTGAAGGAATTGCATTAATATAAATTATGGATTCTAGAGGATCAATGGCAAATATTGAATAGTATCTGAATATCACCGAATTTAAATTTAATTGCTCTGATTTTCTAATGCAGAATTTAGTTTATAAAAAATAAATAATGTTGTTATTAGAAGTCATGATGAATCATTATGATTAATCTGATTGTGTGAAAATTTCAGAATAATTACTTGAATAGATTAAGAGTTATATAGATTCAGAGGCTCTATTTGATTAATTATTGGCTCTTCAGACAATAATACTATATAAGAGATTTATGTTAGATTTCAATAATTTACCTTCTATTTCAAAGAGAAAATTAACTGAAATTGATTTGAAAAGTTGTTATGATAATAAGACAAAATTAATATTAATTAATCATTCTGAAGTTAAAAAGTATTCATCAAATGATATAAAAACTTTTGAATAAGAACTTTCAAAAATAAAAAAATTTTACAAAAACATTATTTTAGAAAAATAAAATATTGAAATTCAGATAAAATAAAATGATATCTTTATAAATGAATTACTATTTTAATCAAAAGAATAAATTTCAAATTCATTAGCTGCTATTATTCTATTTGTTGATGATCTTTTAAAAAAAATATCTGACACATCTTTAATATCTGATCAAGATAAAAACTCAATAATTACTTTATCAGAACAATCTATTAATCTAATAGATGAAATTGGGACCAATCTAAGTGTATAAGCACCAGTTAATGGTTAAAGATTTATATTAGAGGGTTAAAAAATAAAATTTCAATTAGCCAGAATAACTAAAGATGTTTTCAATTAATAATAAGGCTTAGAAAAAGACTTAGTGGATGGTTTAATAGTATTTGTTTAAAAAGAATAATTAGATATACGTTTCAATTATTTAAATATCTCTAATAAACATTTATAAGAAATAAAAACATTTTTTAACTATTCTAAAATTGAAATTGAGTAGAATTATTACACAAAAACCAAATTACAAAACTACCTTTACTAAAATTAGTTTATTGGTTATGAAAAATTACAGAAGGATTATCTTGTTGATTTCACTTAATACCCATATTGTGTAGATACATCTTTACCTGCCTATAATTTTTAATGTGTTTAGTATAATGAAAAGGGTTCACTATCATAGTGTAATTTAATAATTTCTGAGAATAATAGTAATAAATCTATCTCAGCTTCTTGTTAATGTTCTGAATTAGGAATTATATTTTTAATAAGATTTTAAAATTAATCAGAAAATGAATAAGAATTAATCAATATTTCTAAAATGAATGAAAATAAGGATTCCATGTGTAATTTAAGTTAATAAGTTTTTATTTTATTTCATGGAATTTATATAGTATTTACATTTTTCATGTATTATGAATTACAAAAATTTGAGAAACAATTGAAAATTTAATCAAATATAGGTACTGAATAATCTTGTAGTGCAACTGATCAACTAACAAAGGATCTAACTAAACGTAATAAATATCAAACTATTCAAAGAATTTTTTAATTTTCTATAAAGGTAATTATAAAAAATATGTTAGTTTATACATGAAATAATGTGTCTATTTTATTGTGATGACAAAATTATTAAAAAAAGTTATAGATTCTTAAAACTGTCCAACTTTTTAAGTATTTTAATTCCTTTGTCATTTGTTGAAACTTTGTTTATCGAAGAAATGACTTGGATTACTATTTTGATTTTAAATTACTTAATATTACAAATTCTAAGAATAGTTTTTAAGATATTTGAATCGATTTATAGATTTTAAGGCATATTTAAGATTATTATAATAACTTTGTATTTTATAATCCATTTATTGTCTTATTTTCTATTTATTTATTAATACAATAAAAGGTAAGCATTTTTAATATTTTAGAAATGAATGTTCTCTAGAATTAAATTATAAAATGTCAATCTTAATAGGAGGTACTGTTTTATTAAGTTATGTTATCTTGGACCCTATAGTTATTTACATGAGAGTTTTAATTTACAAATATATCGACTCAATAAATCAATAATAAGGTTTCAATCCATTTAGCCGATTAATATACTTTTTTATTTAGCATTATAAGTTGGATCAGATTTTTAAGGATTTCATTGAATTATGAAATTTTAAACTAAATATTGTCTGAATATATACAATAATTTCATTTAATTGTTTAATTTTATTAACTTGAAGTTTATTCAACTTTTCTATTATTTCCTTTTATTACTATTATTGATTTCTTCCTATGGTTTTTGTGTTAGCAAATTAAATTTTGCAAATTAATAAATTATAAGTATTTTCCAAAAAAAAGAAATTCAAGTTATAGATGTTTTTCTTATATATTTCAAACTCTAATTTATTTATAAGTTGAATTACAAATAATATTTTAAATAAATTTTAATTGAAAAATTGGTAAAAATTACTTTAATTGTTATAATTTAAATGATCAAATATTTATTTTTTTTTTTTAACCTTAATTACTTCATATTTTTTAATGAGTAGTATTTCTACACATATTCAATATATTTATCTGTCTACATAAAGACATTTTCCTGTAAATCTTATTTAGTTTAGTGGCTTTAGTTGTTAATTATCTTTATATTTTATTAAGGTCCTTTAGATTGATGCTTTTTATCTATTAGAATTCCTAAATAATTGTATTATGATACGATGGGATAACCTATTAAACAAATTTAACCATTACTTAAAGATTTAAGAAAATTCTATAAAAATATCATCCTAATAAATGTTAAATAAAGAAGGGGAAATTGGAATACCTTGTAATACAACGTGATCATACCAATGATGAGTAATATTTCTTAAAATAGAATTTAAATTTGACTATATATTTTTTTTTAAAGAACTTCATTACATACAAATTAATAAATATTTTATCATAAATGAATAAATTACTTTAAAAAAATTAAAAATATATAACATAAATTACATAATTGTAATAAAATATATCTCAAAAAAATCAATAGTAAAATCAAAAAAATAAGAACTTATGAAGAATATTTTGCTTTTATTACTTTTTGATATGAATTAGCATATTTACTATATTATTATAATAGTATAATAGACTGATTTTAAAGAATTATCAATATATTTCATTTATTATAATAATAAATTTACTATAAATTCAACTAAGTTTTAGATAATCAATAAAAGCGCTTGAATTAAAAATCCTAAATCTATATTGATTTTATTGAAATAAAATATAATGAGTATGTAAAATTTATATTAGAACAATAATGTATTTATTAAAATGGATTTGATATTTTTAGAGAGGATAAGTAAAATAGTTAGAATATGTAAACGAATTGATTCTAATAACATGATTTAATAATATTCAAATAGGCAAGAATTTATTTGTTTTTGAACAATATTCTAGAAATTTGTCACCTCTTTTTTTCTTCATTAATTTTTCTGTAATTGGTACAGTCAAACCAGCCATTACATAATATAAAATTAAAGGACTTATCAAAGCTAAACAATCATGTCTTGACTTAATGCTAGCAATGGCAATAGTTGTCCAAGTCATTAAGTCAAAAAATAAATTTGGATGTCTACTCTTTTTCCATAAACCATCTTGACATATGGAGTTTGGAGGTTTATTCTTTTAATCTTTAAATTATTATAATTGATGGTCTATGAAATATATAAGTAATTATTACCTGCTAATCCTTCAAAATATATCCAGAATATTGATGTTCCTAAAATAGTCAATTATATTGGATTCAATTAATTCTTAAATAAGAAATACAATGATGAGCTAGTAACAAAAACAATGAATCCCTAGAAAATGTATTGTCCAAAGACAACAATATCTCTTTTTAAAGTCTCTTTTTTATATTTCTCAAAAATGACCTCATATCTAGGATCTCTAAATCCTCTCATGATTCTATAATAGAATAGAAATCCTGCTAATCTGACAGTCCACAAAGCTAATAATCCCAATTTAAACTAGAATGATATATAAATATTTACTTTGTTTTCAAAAGATGAAAGTCCAAAATGATAAGCATAGATAGATCCTGCAACTAAATGGCTGACTGTATATGCTACATCAACTATACACTCATTATTCTTCAATATCTTATATAATGAGTAGAAGGCAATTTGATTTATTAAAATTCCTGGCAATACTTTTTTTAAGCCAATCTCAATTAATTCCTACATTTATGGATAAGTTTATTAATTAAAAATTTAATATTATTAAAAAGTAGTTAAAAAAACTTTCAAATATTTGTCATTATTTAAAGACATATCAATCAAAATCTTTCTCCTCTTATTCTTCTAGCTAATTGGATATCTCTAGACATGATTGTTACTCTTCTTGCATGAATGGCACATAAATTAGTATCCTCAAACAATCCTACTAAATAGGCTTCAGCTGCTTCCTAAAGAGCCAAAATAGCAGAACTCTAAAATCTAAGTTCTTTTTAGAAATCATGGGCTATATCTCTTACTAATCTTTAGAATGGTAGCTTTCTGATTAATAATTCTGTTGACTTTTGATATTTTCTAATTTCTCTCAATGCTACAGTTCCAGGTCTAAATTTATGTGGTTTCTTCAATCCACCAGATGGACCAACAGCTGGAGCAGTCTTTCTTGCTGCTTTGGTGGCCAAATGTTTTGTGGGTTTTTTATTTCCAGCAGTACTTTTTCTTGCGGTTTATTTAGTTCTTGCCATTTTTTATTAATATTATTATTTGTCTTCTTAATAATTGGCTCACTTATATAATTCAAATAAGATTTAGATAAATATAGAAAGAATAAAAGCATGTAAATTTTATTTTTATTTTAAATTACATTAAATAAATAGAATTAATTCTTTATATTTAAATACACAAACAATTTATCATTCCAATATTACACATAATCAAGAATAAAGGCAAATTATTTTAAATGAATTCACTACATAATCATAAAGAAATCCAATTATATAATTCCAATGATTGCTTTTTTTCTCAATTAAATAAGTAAATTTATAGGCATATTCTATATAAATTTTCTCACCTAATTTTGATATTATTCTTCTTTCTAATTAAAATGATGATCAGAAAATAGATTAGCAATAAATAAATATTTTCTTAATCTACACAGTTTGTAGGAATTTTTAAAAAATTTAAGTGAATTCCAAAGGAATATCAATTATTAATTTTAATTCATTCATAGATTAAATAAAATTGATTATCTATTCAAAAGTAATATATATTTATGCTTAAATTTATTCATAAGTTTTGTTTATAATTATAAATGATTAAAATTTAAGTAAAAATAAATGATATTTTTTCATATGAGAAAAGATTAATATTGTGTAAATTAAAATATGTTAATTCAGATTTAATACCATTATTCTAATTTAACATTTCATCTATTGATTATTATAATATTACTTAGATATTTTTTAATCATAACTATATATAGATGATATATATCGATTCACTTTGACTCCAACTTTATGAAAAGTATATAGATGAACAACTAAGGATGGTTATCATAGAGATAAGAGAATTGTAATGTAATAGTAATTGACTGATTATAATTAAAAATAAAAATTAATGTACACAAAATTCAATCATAGACCTGTGCAAGAGTTTGCTTATCAAAGAAAACCTAAGATAAAAGTACTAACAAAATTAGGTTTTTAAGAACTTATGAAACTTTAAAGTAATCCAGTGTAGTTTGAAGAACAAGAAGATCTGACTCTACGTAAATATCATTACTATAGTTATTTAGATCCATTTACAAAGAAATATAGATCTTAGATAAATTTATGGGAAAAATTGAAGTAAGTAGAGAATGAGGTGATTGGAGATGAGGAAACACTAGAATCTAATGAATTTGAAATGTTGAATAAGGAACATCCTTATATATTGAGAAATCATGCATATCCACTCTAAGATTAATATGAAGAACCAATAAAATTACCATAAATATAGACTGAAAGATATTAAAAAAGTAATGCGCCTAAAATATGGGAATCATCATTATTTACAGGAGAGAGAGTTTAGTTAAGGAGGAGGAAGTTGAAGAGATAGGAGGCATTTAAGTTGGCTGATTCTTTATCGTTGAAACATTTTGATGATTTACATTAAGCATACTAAGGAATTTAATGTAAATTGAATAGAGCAGTTAATTTTGAGAATAATTAATTTAAATTTAAAAATGAGTGATACCGAAATAGAATCATTGAATCCTTATTATAAAGACATTGTTGCATATCTGCATACTCAATAAATTCTGATATATTAACAACATGATCTGTTGGATGAGTTTAAAATACTGTCCTAATTTTAATATAGGTTGAAACTAAAAATCTCAACATTATACTTAGCTAAATCAATATACTTAAGGACTAATATATTAACATAGGATTACTTATTGACAAGTCTATGGATTGCTACTAAATTTGATTAATAATATAGATGCAAATGGTAGATGTCTACAGAAATAGAAACACACATTTTACAAAAGTTAAATTTTGAAATAACTAAACCAACTGTCATGGATTTTATTGAACAATAAATTTATTACATAAAGAAAACAAAAAGAATTTCAGCAGAATAAGTACGATTGATATATGCTTTATCCTTAATGGCATTACCTTGGACATTGAATTATGAGCCTTCTCAAATTGCATTTGCTATTATTGTATACTCTTCATTCATTTTAGATAATATCCTTTACACTCAAAAACATCAAAAATCATGATTTCCAATCCGATTGTTATGAAGATTTTCGATAACAACTACTCATTAAGTATGATTAGAATATCATCATTTCCTAAAAATATCCATCTAGTTATCTCCTAATTAAAAAAAATTTACATAGATTATATTGACAACTTGTTAATCTATAATTGAATTTCAATTCTATATTTATATTTCACTCATTAGTATTAATCATTTTCATAACTAAATTATGTAAATTTTATTATTTTATATTTCCAATACATTTCAACCAACTAATATATATATCAATCATGGATCTTGCCATTATAATGAGCTAATTTTAACAAGCTGTATTCCAATTACGATAAATCCTTCGAAAGAATAATCACCCTGATATTTTCAACTCAATGCTCAACATCATATTTTCTAATGATTTCTCCTATCCAAATTAGGAATAAATTACCAAACTTGAAAAAGCCTTCTTCTTAAATAAAGACACTGCTATCATCCTTCAAATTCTATTAACCTCATATGAAAATAATAGTACAAATTTACATATCAATCTTAGCCTTTACATAAATAGAAGATTATATAAATCTTCTATTATATAGAATCGATAGCCATATTTCATTACTTGAATCTAATTCCTCCTCTTCATCAAGTCCTGTTCGATTTTACACTCAATATTAAATGAATGAAACAATCAAAAAGGAATAGAGTATTAACAAAAAAATCAAAAAATAAACCAAAAAATAACACAAAAAGACAGACGATACCTTAAATTAAAAAACCAATAATTCAAATCAGTAATGAATTTGTCTTGCTCATAACTTTAAATAATATCCTATTCTATTATTCTTATTTATACTAAAACCAATATGACACAATCTTTATTCTCATACTACTTCTTCTCTTTATATCAATTCTACTTATATAATTCTAATTCCTCTGTAAATATTAAATCAAAGAAATAGTATTTAAATAATTTATAATATTATAATTAATATAAATCATTAATATGAATCTGTTACAATGTCTTACAATAATCAAAATATGAAATATAATGTATTTTAAATAATTATATATTCTATACTAATTTCTGAATCTAACATTTTTTCAATTATTTTAATAAATCAAAACAAACCTTTTTTAGTATTAAATCAGAAATGCTACGATTAATAACTTTTAATATTTCAATAAATTTATAAATTTATTGCTTTAATTAATTAAGATAATTAAGAATACTATTAATAAAACTATTTTAAATTTTACATGAAAATAAGAATCAAATATTTATTCATATTGAATCAGAAATAATTTATTATATTTCATCATTTATGAATTTGTTATCAATTCTCAATAGTTAAATATTAAAAAACAAAGTAAGTATTTTAAAGTATGCCAGACATACTAAATAGTAAAGCACTGACTAAGTTTAAAAAAACATATTTTTAAGAATTTATCCAGATTTATAAGGTATACTAAAAAGTTGATATATTTTGAAATTTCGAGAATGCCAAATATATATTATCAAATTTAAGAAGAAAATATCGTTGTTGATATTTTCATTTTTCTTCAACCCACAATAAATTTAATGAGAATAATTCCTTGCTTTCTATTGTTTCAAACATTTATTGAATTGGAGATATCTAAATTTTATTTAAAACACATCAAGAGGAATCAATAATAAATTTTATATTAACAGAAACATACAATAATTATTTTTATAAAAATTTAAAAAAGGGATTTTATAAATGAATTAAATTCAATAATTATTACAATATAAGTTAATTTATTATTTGATCAATTTAATACTAGAAATGATTTAAAGTACAACTTAAGAAGTCCATAATATTAAGTAATATTATAAAATACTATCTTATAATATCAAAGAGTTAGAAAGAGATATTGTATTTTGAAATAAAAATTATTTTTTAATTATTTAAGGTAAAGAGAAATATTTTAGTAATTTAAAAGAAAATTCAGATAAAAAATGATTAGTTTGTTGAGTAGATGAATTGAGTATGCTTACCAATTCTATCATATTTGGAAATCAAATATCAATTGAATTAAACATTAATTCGAAAGAATTAATTAAAATAAATTTTGGTGTAATTACTATATTATGAAACCATTAGCTAGGATTATTTATGTTTATAAATTATTATTTTGAATATTATTATTAATACAACCTAAAGTATAAACTTTTATTGGTGATCTGCAGGATTCTTTTAGAAATGACAGACAGAGAACTAAGAAAACAGTATCAAAAAGTAAAGAGACTTGTTGCACTGATGAAATTCTTTGTTACATTTCAACATAATAATAAAGTGAAATTGGAATGGAATAATAGAAATTTCTCTTTATTTTATTAGTATGGTATCTTTTGATATTGGAGTTTAATAAAAAGAGAAATAGAAGTAAAAAAAACATATGATATTTAATAATGAATTACTATTAAATTGATTTAATTAATTACTAATAAAATCATGTCCATCTTTATGAAAAGATTTAATTAGTTTTATAAATGATGAATATACAATGGAATAAGTGAATATTAAATATATTATGTTGGTAATTACTTTCTTCTTGATTTAAATTTGTTGGACATTTCGAAACTATTGGAGTGAATATAGTTCGTTACCATACAAAATAACTTGTCCAGGCTATCACATTTATTGGCCAGGGATGTCACCACATTCTTGTGTAGGTTAGTAAAATTGATAATATTTAGGGTATGCAAATGAATGCTATGCTTAAACTGAGTTAAAAGTTATAAAAGTGAGTAATTACGAAGTCTTGTGTCATCCAAGAGCAAAGGCTTATGGTTTATGGCCAGTTCCATACACTAGTTATTTCTTGTAAGGTAAGCCTCCAAGACTCTTAGTCTATGAATTAAATTCTAATGGTGAGTTATTGGTTGGTGTGGAGTAAATAGGGAATTTAGTGACATATAATTGTATAGTAACACAGAAATTTCAAGGGACATACAAATGTTAGATATGTTACAATAGTTGTGGGTCAATGTGTTCAAGTGTCGTTTGTCCTCCTTATAATGCTCCTGGTAGTTTATAATATAAAATAATTAGTTTGTGGAGTAAGTTGTAAGACTTGTGATTCAACTAATAAAAATTGTGCTATTTGTTAAATAGGTTATTCCAAAATGAATGAGAATGACACAAAGTGTAGTTTAAGTATGATATTATTTAGATTATTTAAGAATGCAATACAGGATAATAAAATTGTTAAATTGTTGATTCAGTATATTCATTTACTGATTGTTAAGTGGGATATGAATTATTAGATGATGATTGTGTGTGTATTAAATATCTTATTGTATTAGAGTGTCCTATTCATTGTAAAATATGTTCTTCTGGATAATGTAGTGAATGTGAATGGCCATATTCTTTAAAAAGTTATAAATGTTTTGGTGATCCAAATTGTGTCAAATATGATTACATATATGATTAAATTACAGGTGAAGCAATAGATATCAATTGTTTATAATGTGATCTTCAATATTTCAAATATTAATCAATTTGTACAAGTATTAAAATTTGTTTAATTATGTAGAATGTGAATCATTTCCAGCTTTAATTGGATGTTTTGCTTGTGCTAATGAAAATGAATGTCTATTTTGTTGGGCAACATATTACTTGACTCCTTAGAAATTATGTGCACCATTTATAGGATGTAATTCAATTTGTCAGACTTGTCTTAATACTGATCCAGATTATTGTACCACTTGTGATTGGATAAATTAACATAGATCTTCTTAAATAGAAATTGGGAAGTGTATTTGTGATATCACTTAAGAATATGCTGATAAGGATGGAACATGTACTCTATGTACTACAGGTGTTTGTTTAACTTGTACTACCAATTTTTATGAATGTACATCTTGTAAACCTGGTTTAAATAGAGAACATATAGGTCTTAAATGTCCTTGCATATAAGGTTATTATGATACTGGTTATGAAGATGGAATTTGTGAGTGTACAAATTATTAATTAATTATGTAGAATGTTTTCCATCTTGTTATAATTGTTCTGGTCCTTTAGATAATGATTGTACTAATTGTGGTGATCCAAATATATATCACAAAGAATTATTTCAAAATAAATGTGTTTGTGCCAAAAGAACAGTTTAATTCATTTTACCTAATGGTTTAACTAGATGTGATCGTATATAATTATTTATATATTTTAAAGCTTGCCATCCAAAATGTGAAAAATGTCAAATCCCATTTGATAATTCTACAAATCAATTTTGTACAATGTGCATACCAGGACAAAACAGAATTGTTTCTGAAGATTTGAAATGTATTTGTAGAGATGGATATGGAGAAGATGGGATTTTAGATATATGTTTTAGTATATCTCATATTTGTATTTCTTAGAATGTCATTATTCATGTCTAAGTTGCAATGGACCATTATCAACTAATTGTACATAATGTTCAGACATTAGTCATAGATAACTATCATCAAATAATGAATGTCTTTGTTATGGAGCCTATTATGATGATGGTAGTTAAACAATAAATTGTTAATGTAAATAAAATTAAATAACAACTTTTAGAATGTCATCACTCTTGTACACTTTGTAATAATAGTTATTTAGATAATTAATGTGAGGCTTGTCCTTCTACAAGATAACCAGATGGATTTGGATAAACTTTTAAATGTTTATGCAAGGATTCTCATTATTATGATAATGAATTAATGTTGGAATGTCAAGAATGTCATTACTCTTGCTTGACTTGTAATGGTAGTGATAATAAAAGTTGTTAATCATGTGATCCAATTTATAGATAATTAATCATTTCAATTTGTGAATGCAATTATGGATTTTATGAAATTGGACTACTATAATGTGATTGTAATTTTGAAATCTATTATCTAAGAATGTCATTATACTTGCAAAACCTGCTTTTCACCTTATATTACTAGTTGTATAACCTGCTTCTCTGAACATAATAGAATCATAAAAGGAAATAAATGCATATGCAAGGATGGTTACATGGAAAAGAGTCTTAATGATCCTATGTGTTATTGTAATTATTTTATTGTTAAATTAGAATGCTCATATAAATGTGCCAATTGTGCCAACCAAATTGAATATTGTACTTCTTGTCCATCATTTTCATTAAGGGATTTAGGAACTGATAATTCATGTTCATGTCCTTCTAAGGCTTATGATAAACCTGGTAATCCAATATGCATATGTATATATAATTTATATTAATATTAAGTTTGTCATTATACTTGTAAAACTTGTAGTGGAACCAATTCTGGTGAATGTGAAAATTGCGATGCTCTTAATTATAGATATTTAAACAATGGATTATGTCCTTGTATTAACAAATATTTCGATGATGGCATGCCTGAATGTTAATGTATATATTTTTTACTATAATTTATAGCTTGTAGTCCATATTGTTAAGATTGTGTTGAAAATTTAAATAAATGTACATCTTGCAAGTCTGATAAATATCTAAATGGAAATACTTGTATATGCAAAACAAAAGTTCAAGGAAATTCTATTAGTACATTTCAAACTTCTACTAAGATTGATTGCTAAAGTATATTTCTTTTTATTTATCAAGATTGCCACTATTCATGTCTAACTTGTGACGGTCCTAGTTTTAATAATTGTCTCACTTGCTTAGATACTGAAATGAGAGAGCTGTCTGGGTCTATATGTATATGCAAACCACCTTATTTTGATAATGGCAAAGCTAAATGCTCAAGTAATTATAACACATTACTTATATAGTTTGCAATTACAGATGTCAAGCATGTGCAAGTAATGAATCTTAATGTTTATCTTGTCTCCCTTCAAGTTTAAGGTAATTCAATGCTTTATAAGGATCATGCTATTGCCCATAAAAGTACTTTGATGATGGATCCAATAGCATTTGTTAATGTAAAACTCATTAATTTATAAATATAGAATGCCATTATAGTTGTCAAACCTGTAGTTTGGTTAACACTAAATGTGATTCCTGTATGCTAACAGCTAATAGAACATATGAGAGTACTCTTTAAACTTGTAGCTGCAATCTGGGTTATTTTGATGACGGTGTAGAGATTTGTAAATAATGTCATCATTCTTGTTTATCTTGTAATGGCATAGGATTTAATTCTTGTATTACTTGCAAGGATAGTACCATTTCTTATAGGGCATATATAAATTAGGTTTGTCAATGTCTAGTGGGTTATTATGATGATGGAGTTTCAAGTATATGTTAATAGTGCTAAGTTTAATGCTTAACTTGTTTAAATTAATCTTATTATTGTACTTCATGTTCGATAACAAGACATTTAAATTTGCAAACTTGTATTTGTAATACAGGATTTTTTGAAACAGGATCATCTTAATGTTCTAAATGTGATTCTAATTGCGTAAAATGCATTTCAAATCCTTATAAATGCACTGAATGTGACTCTATTCTTTTAAAATCACTAGATCCTAACACTTATGAATGTAAGTGTTAAAATGGTACCACTGATGTAAATGGAGTTTGCTAATTTTGTGATGTCTCTTGTTTAACATGTTCAAACTCTATTTCAAATTGCACAGCCTGTCATCAAATGAAATAATTAATTAATAACAAATGTCTCTGCGTAAATGGTACATTTGAATCAGAAGCTGATCGATAATGTAAAATTTGTCATCCTTCATGTGAAACATGTGCTTATGATGAAAACCATTGTTTAACTTGTTCACTCATTAATTTTAGGATCAAATAATCAGGTAATACATGTTAATGTATGATTGGCTATTTTGAAGATAAAATGACTTTAGCCTGTAAAGAATGTAATTAATCATGTCTGACATGTGAAGGAATCTCTTCATATTGCACATCATGTGATTAATCACTAAATTTAACTTTAAGCATTTAAAATTAATGTATTTGCAGCAGTTCATTTTATTATAATCTAATATCTAAAAAATGTGAAAGTAAATGATTTATAAAAATAAAAATAGGTTGTAATGTAACATGTAAGGAATGTCAAAATGCATAAAAATGTATTGAATGTGAACCAATTAGTAGATTTTATGATCCAGATAATTTTAAATGTTTATGTAAAGATGGTTATTTTGAAACAAATGAAAAAATGTGTTAATGTAATAATTATATTGATAAATAGTATGTGATTTGAGTTGTAAAACATGTATAAATTAAAAAATACATTGTTTAACATGTGAATCATTATATTTTAGATTGTTCAATAATAATACTAATTAATGTCTTTGTTTAGATGGTTATTATGATGTTGGTATTGAAATGTGTGAAAAATGTAATAATTTATGTAAAACTTGTTCATAAATATCAACTAAATGTTTATCTTGTTATGAAAATGAATAAATAAGAATATTAAATAATAATTAATGTTAATGTAAATCTGGATATTTTGATAATGGATAATTAATATGTGAAAGTAATTATTATTATTTATTTATGAATTTTAGAATGTTCTAAATCTTGTTTAACATGTTAAGGAAAAAATGATTATTGTACAAGTTGTGATATCAATTTAAATAGAATAGATTAATCACCAATTCATAAATGTCCATGTTAAACTAATTTCTATTAAGATTAAAATGAAATTTGTTAAAGTATATATATTATATATATATTAGAATGTCATATTAAATGTTCTGGATGTATATCATAAAAAGATAAATGCATAAGTTGTAAAACATCAAGTACATCTAATAGATTATCAATTACATAAAATTGTGATTGTATTGATGGATATTATGATGATGGTGTTTAATTTTAATGTTAAAAATGTAGTTATTAATGTAAAACTTGTACACAATCCCCATAAAATTGTTTATTATGTCTTAGTAATTTAAGAGAAATAATTCCTACATGTAATTGCAAATCTGGATATTTTTAAAATGAATAATAAACATGTGAATGTATTTATATTCTATTATTAATATAGTATGTGAAAATCAATGTAATACATGTGAAAAATTATCATATAATTGTACAAGTTGTAAAGGTATTAGAATAAATAAAACTTGTGATTGTTTAGATGGATATTTTGAAGCAGGATAACCTGATTGTATAAGTAATCCTTATTAATTAATATTTATAGAATGTGATTTTTAATGTTTAACATGTAAAGGAAATTAATCTTATTGTTTATTATGTAAAGGTGATCGTATTAATATTCCATTTTGTAATTGTTAAGATGGATATTATGATGATTTCTAAAGTCTTGATTGTTAACAATGTGATCCAAATTGTAAAACTTGTAATCTAGAGGGATGTTTAATTTGTAATGGAAATAGGGTATTATCAGAAGAAAAAACTTGTGATTGTCCTTAAAATTCAGTAAGTCACCCAGAAACACCATGGTGTTCAAGTAAATGAATTTTATTAACATTTATAGCTTGTGAAGTTGCTGTTTTGGATATTCGTTTTTCTGATGATTTACTTTCAGTCAAAGTGCTATTTGATTTTAATTTGAATCCAAATTATTTTTCCTCTTAGTTTTAAGAGAATGTTTGTTATAAATTTTTAGCCGATGAAACTATTAAATTATTAGGAAAGAATCCTAATTGTAAATTAGATTAGGAAAATTATAAATAATTAATATTGAATTTAGGTGTTAATGCTGCAATACTTCCAGGAGATTCAATTATATTTATTGACTCTTATTTTGGCCATAAAGATTGCTCAAGCAAATTAGATTTATTTGTTTTAAATAAAGTTTAAAGTCCTCTTAACCCAGTATCACCTGTAATATCATATGATATACCTCAATATTTACTTAATCCCTGTGATGATAACACCATTTTAATAAGTTAAAAAACAAATGATGGCCTAAGAAGTTTAATAAACATAGCATGGTCTTATTAAGTAGAAGGGTAAAATGGTTATGGTAATCTAAAAGAATTAGTTTAACATTAAACTAATCTATAACTATTAGATCTAGTCATTCCAATTTAAACCCTTCCGAAACAATCAAAAATAACATTCTTTGTTGAATTTCAAAATTTTATTAATTAAAAAGGGTAGTAATAAATTTAAGTTTAAACACATTCTGGACAATTACCAACTGTACTTTGGTTAGGTAAGAAATATTATTATACTTTTGAAATAATTGATTTATAGTTTACAATCTAGAAAAAATCATGTACTAATTCAACTTAAAGTTAGAATGATAAGTCTTAATATTCAGTATCATTAGTTGAAATTTATAGGAATAATTCTAATTCCAGACCATCAAGAGTAGATGTTTCATAAATAATAAATGAAAGTACTTTTTAAGTGACAATCTTAAAATATACATTATCCCCTAAAACTGCATATACATTCTTAATGGAAACTAAAGAACCCTAAACCACTTTTTCGTTTTCTCAAAACGTAACCATTCAAATAACTCCAGGAGGTCTACTATGCTAATTTTTTGGCATTAATAAGATTCAAAATTATCAAAAGGATTCTACTATAAATATTTAATGTAAAGATCTTGATACTTAATATCAATGGAATGAAGACTAAGAAATTACAATCGAAGTTAGCTGTGCTGACTTAACANCGGGTATTATCAGAAGAAAAAACTTGTGATTGTCCTTAAAATTCAGTTAGTCATCCAGAAACACCATGGTGTTCAAGTAAATGAATTTTATTAATATTTATAGCATGTGAAGTTGCTGTTTTGGATATTCGTTTTTCTGATGATTTACTTTCAATCAAAGTGTTATTTGATTTTAATTTGAATCCAAATTATTTTTCATCGTAATTCTCAGATAACATCTGTTAAAAAATATTGCAACCTACAACTGTTTAGAAATTAGGAATTAACCCTAATTGTTAATTAGAATTTGAAAATTATAAATAGTTAGTTTTGTTTCTAGGATAGAATGGAACTATCCTCCCTGGAGATCCTATTGAATTTTTGGAAAATTCTTTGGGTCATGTAGAATGCGAGAGTAAAATTAATTTATTTATATCCTCCACTTTGAAATTACCTAGGAACCCATTAATACCAATTATAGATTATGAAGTACCAACATATTTGGTAAATCCTTGTGATGATAACAATATTTATATGAAATCTAAATAGTATGATGGTTTAAGAGCATTAAATAGTATTTCTTGGTCATATTAAATAAATGGTTTAAATGGAAATGGTAATCTTGAAAGTTTTGTTTAATAATAAACGTCTCTTTAAATTTTAGATTTAAACATTCCTTTATCCACTTTACCTAAATAATCAACAATTTTTTTATTTATTTCATTTAAGAATTTTGTAGGTTAAAAGAATTAAATTAAGATTGAATTAGCCACTCATTCAGGAGAATTTCCAACAATTCTTTTAGTTAGTAAACGAAAGTTCTTTACATTTGAGAATATAATGCTATTGTTTACAATAAATAGAAAAGTTTGTGAAGGATCAATTGAAACAAATAAAGATGTTTCAAAATATTAAATTGATTTAATTGAAATTTATAGAAATAATTCTAATTCTAGATCTTCAAGAATGAATTATTCAACATTGACAAGTGAAACAACTTTTAATGTTACTATTCAAAATTACACTTTGACTCCTCTTACTACTTATACATTCAAGTTATCAACAATTGATCCTTCTATTCTTTTTTCTGTTTCAAGAAATATTACAATAGAAATAGCTAAGGCAGGATTAAATTGTCAATTTACAGGAACTAAGAAAATTTATAATTATCGAAAGGATGCAATAATTTATATTAATTGCAGAGATTTAGATTCACAATATGATTGGAATGAAGATCCTGATTTATCAATTGATGTTAAATGTTTAGATTTGATAATCAATAGTTAATGTTTGGATTTAAAGAAGAATATCATCTAAGTTAATAGAACTGATTCAATATAGACTATACCAAAGTTATCAGTTTAAACATACTCAATTTAAATATGGTAAGTGACAGCCAAGAAATAGAATAATACATCTTACACTTTTAGATAAACTGTAGTTTATTTGGACAATGATTTTAGTATTTTAGATATGAATTATAGTAAAGGTTATTAGATGAGACCTATCAATAATTATGAATCACTTTAATTTACATTTAATATCCCTTTTGATTATAGATAATCTATAGTAGAATATCAAGTAGCAATTATTTATGATTTTGAATTAGTCAAATTACTTTCACCCAAATACTTTTAATTTCAATTTAAATTATTTGATTACTATTAAGATTTTAATGTAGGAAATTCTTTCTATCTGAAATTTGTCACATAATATTCTTTTGATATTATTCCAAGTGAATATGATATTTAATTAATTCTCAATTAACCTCCTATATGCAAAGGATAATTATATAATTATAATTCATCTACATTAAGTTAATTAAAAATTGTTGGGAATTGTTAATATTCAGATGACTCTCCCTTTTAATATCAATTGCGATTCTTTCTCATAAACTAAGACTATGAAGAGTTTAAAAAAGGAATCTCAGACAATTCTCTAATATTGTATTCTTTTTAAAGTTCAAATATTTTTGAAGTTTACTTACCTGCATCAAATGGAATTGCTCTGATTTAAGTTATGGATTAAGGAGGATCAATCTCAAATGTGATATTTGAAATCAATTCATAAAAAACTGAATTCAATTGTAGTACATTGTAAAATGGTACTTTTGAATTTAAATACCAAATTGCTTTAGTTTTAGAAATTATGTTAAATCATTATGATAAAGATGATTGTGCTGTTTTAGTTAAATAATTGATGTCGACAATAAAATCTTAATTAAATTAATTTTAATTTAATGATTTAATGCTCGCCTATTAAGTAATAAAATTATAAGCAAAACTGATGATTGAATAAATTAATACAAAATCAAAATCTAGATTATTAAATTAGGTTGATTTCATTAATTGTTATGATAAACAAATTCTAAAGTTTATAATTAAGAGTTCTAAAATTAATGAATAAATTACTTATAATTCATCTACATTAAATGAGGAATTATAAAGTATAAAATCTGAGATTAAAACCTTAATTTTATTGAAAATAAGTTTAGAAGAAGAAATTAATAGTAATCCTTTATTTTTAGATGAACAATTAGTCTAGAAATATGAATCTATTATAAATTCAATTTTCTCTTAATTATATCTTATTGATGATATATTTTCATAGCTCTAAAATATTAATGTCAAATCTGAAGTTGAAAAATAAAAATTGTATAATATTACAATAGAATTGTAATTACTTATTGATCGAATTTCAAATTAAATTTGTTCAAAAGCAAAAGTTAATGAAGCATAATTAATGATTAATGGATCCAATTTGAATTTAAATATTGGTCGAATTACTAAACCAGTCTTTAATTCTTTATTTAACATTGTTGGAGATACAACAGATGCATTAATTGCATTTCTTTAAAGATAAGCCTTACAAATTAATTATAACTATTATTATTTATCAAATTAAGATGATATATCTTAAATATCCACTCTCTTGAATTAATCTAATATCTTTATTGAAAGAAACTATTATGTCAAAACTTAATTATCAAATTATTTATATAATAATAAAGTAATTTAACATAATAAATTAATTAAAGATTATATAATTGATATTACATAATATCAATATTGTTTTGATTAATCCTATGAGTAAGATGAAATTTTTAATTATTTCTGTATTAATAGAGATTATAATAAGTAATTTCATAAATGCAAAATAATAATTGAAGAAAAGGAAAATATTACAGTTTAAATTTCTTGTTAATGTTAAGAATTAGGAGAAATCTTTTTAATTAAATCACCCAAGTTGACTTTGAATGATTAGAATAATACAAATATCTCTAATGATATTGGTGATAATATTAATAATAACATGACAATAATTAATTAACCTATAATACTTTTTCAAGGTATTTTCTTGGCATTTTCTATTTTTCTTTATTTTGAATTAATTTTCATAGAAATAAGAAGGAAAATCAAATAAGATATAAAATATAATAATATCGAAACAATTGATGATATTAATAAGATTGAAAAGAAGAATGTCCTTATTTTGTTTCCAGGATTAATCTTTCTATTTAAATAAAACTTCTAAGTAAATCTATTATTTCTAAATTTAGTTTATTCATTCAATCATATAATTGTTTTATTATCATGATAATCATATTAATACAAGTTTTAGATTCTTGTAAATATCAACTTCCATTAATTTCATATTCCCTTTAGCCATTGCTGAGATCATATATCTAGAAGAGTTGGATATATCTATTGGAATAATTATAATAAATCAATTGATTATGCTCATTTTAAGATTAATGTTCAAAATATTTTAAGCAATTTACAGATTTAAAGGTAAATTAGCCATATCTATTATTTTAATCTATTTTTCAATAAATGTGATATCATATACAATATCAATTTTATTGATAATTAGGAGGTAATTATCAATACTATATACTAGGTTCGATTCTGACAATTCAAAAAATATAGATGAAATCATAATTTTTTCTAGTTCTATTCTGATTTCTATTTTTTTAATAGAACCACTAATGATAATAATTAGAATAGGAATATATAAAATGACAATAGGAGGAATACAAAATAGAACCTTAAATCCTTTTGAGCACTTACTTTTCTTTTTTGTTTAACATAGTAAATTAGATGAAATATTTTAATAATATGTATTTTTATGAAAAAAAAATTTTATTTATGATATTAGAAAAGAAATTCTAAGTATTTCCTAATAAAATAAGACATTATAATAAAAGATAAAATATTAGAAATTTTGGAAATCCATAGTTTATTGTTTTTGAATACAAAATGTTATTTGATCAACAATCTAATACTTTAATTAATTAAATTTTGCAGGAATTGAAATATAAACAACATATAAATACGTTTAAGTTTGACATAGTAATTATTATATTATATAAATAATGAGTCGAGATTATTATAAAAAATATATCTAAATAAAATTTATGACATTTTTTTGAAAAATTATAGAGATTGGTAAAGGTGGAATTTTTATATTTAATTTAAATTAATCAAATAATGATGATAAAAATTTTTAATCCTCATTTTTTGAAAATCTCAGTCTTATAATAATAGTATTGATTTTTAAATGGATAATTAATATTTTTTTAGTAAAGTTTTAGATATGATATTTTATATCGTTTTCTTCTTGTTAATTGATATCTTTAGCAGTCTAGAAATAAAGGAGATGGATTCTATGTATTAATATAGCCAAGAATCAATTGTGATAATAGAAAACACATCATCAATTTTGAATGCCTTTAGATATGGATTATGGTCAAAATATAATCCTTTAACAAACATTCTTTAAGTTGGAAATGTGGGATTATTTGATAGTGATTGCTTTCTTTTACATAGTGCAGTTGAAGAATTATCGTAAGCTCTAAATCTTATATATTATGATTGNTTTTAGATTCTTGTAAATATCAACTTCCATTAATTTCATATTCCCTTTAGCCATTGCTGAGATCATATATCTAGAAGAGTTGGATATATCTATTGGAATAATTATAATAAATCAATTGATTATGCTCATTTTAAGATTAATGTTCAAAATATTTTAAGCAATTTACAGATTTAAAGGTAAATTAGCCATATCTATTATTTTAATCTATTTTTCAATAAATGTGATATCATATACAATATCAATTTTATTGATAATTAGGAGGTAATTATCAATACTATATACTAGGTTCGATTCTGACAATTCAAAAAATATAGATGAAATCATAATTTTTTCTAGTTCTATTCTGATTTCTATTTTTTTAATAGAACCACTAATGATAATAATTAGAATAGGAATATATAAAATGACAATAGGAGGAATACAAAATAGAACCTTAAATCCTTTTGAGCACTTACTTTTCTTTTTTGTTTAACATAGTAAATTAGATGAAATATTTTAATAATATGTATTTTTATGAAAAAAAAATTTTATTTATGATATTAGAAAAGAAATTCTAAGTATTTCCTAATAAAATAAGACATTATAATAAAAGATAAAATATTAGAAATTTTGGAAATCCATAGTTTATTGTTTTTGAATACAAAATGTTATTTGATCAACAATCTAATACTTTAATTAATTAAATTTTGCAGGAATTGAAATATAAACAACATATAAATACGTTTAAGTTTGACATAGTAATTATTATATTATATAAATAATGAGTCGAGATTATTATAAAAAATATATCTAAATAAAATTTATGACATTTTTTTGAAAAATTATAGAGATTGGTAAAGGTGGAATTTTTATATTTAATTTAAATTAATCAAATAATGATGATAAAAATTTTTAATCCTCATTTTTTGAAAATCTCAGTCTTATAATAATAGTATTGATTTTTAAATGGATAATTAATATTTTTTTAGTAAAGTTTTAGATATGATATTTTATATCGTTTTCTTCTTGTTAATTGATATCTTTAGCAGTCTAGAAATAAAGGAGATGGATTCTATGTATTAATATAGCCAAGAATCAATTGTGATAATAGAAAACACATCATCAATTTTGAATGCCTTTAGATATGGATTATGGTCAAAATATAATCCTTTAACAAACATTCTTTAAGTTGGAAATGTGGGATTATTTGATAGTGATTGCTTTCTTTTACATAGTGCAGTTGAAGAATTATCGTAAGCTCTAAATCTTATATATTATGATTGTATAAATTATTCTTCAAAGAAAATCCAGAAAAATATAGCCTTTATAGATAATAATGAATTGTAACATTCATTTAAAATAGATATAGATCCATTCGAGTATGAAAATGTTTGGTATTTTTTTGAAATTGTATAATGGCCATAATTAGAAAGATTTGAGTTAATGTTAATTTATTAAGAAGAAATCTTAAAAGAGAATTTGTAAATTAAATATCCTTTTAAAGATCTAAATTTAGAGTTGATTTTTGGAGGTGGAATGATAGTAACAAATTCAAAGATTATAACAATTACACCAGGTACAAAATTTTCTTATTTTCCTGGTAAATTGATTAAAGTTTAATATAAATTTGAAGAGATTTCTTTAGATGAGGATTAAGAATGGTTAGCTAGAACATCATTTGAATCATACAAATATTGTAATTGTGAGATTAATAATATATTAAAACTTGAAGATATAGCAATTAATTGGTTAGAAAATATAGTTTTTACTTCTTAGAAGATCAACTGCAATTCTTTTCAATTATCTGGATGGTTGAAAATTACTGATATAATTTAGAATTCTAATGAATTTACTTATTAACTTATCACCCTTAAATCGAATTTCTAAAATTCATTAGCAGATAAAAATCTAACACCTCTCTCTTTATCATATAAGATTTCTAAAAGTAGAAATTAAGTTATAATAACAACTTATAGTTATAAATTTCCATCAGTCACCATTAATTTTTCTGATGATCCTTACCTCATCTAAAAATAACTTGATATTACAAATAAATTAAGTCTATGGTAAAAGTTAGAAATTTAATTTCTTGAAGATTAATTAATGATTAACATTAAATTTTATGAAGGTTATGATATTTATGAATATAATATCTAAGAATAAGTTAATTAGTTTAAATGCACTCAATTTAAACTTGAATATGGTAATACATTATAATCTACTATAAATTATTTAAAAATCTTAATAAGAAATATTAGATTTTATAATTGTTATACAATTAATACATTATAAATTTGTCATCATAGTTGTCAAGAATGTGATGGACCAACTTAGAATAATTGTTTATCTTGTTCACTTGAGTCATAAAGAATATATTTGCCAGAATTCAAAGCTTGTGTATGTCCAATTTATACTATTGACTAAGATATATGTTTATCTTATATAGATTCAAGAATATAATTATCAAATGAAAGAAAAAGAATGCCTAAATGTAAATATGGTTATTTTGAATATGAAGATTATTGTATACATTGGTAAATTTATATTTAATATTTAAGTCCTTCAATAATTAATGATTAAATGGCCACTTGTTAAGAATGCTTATAAAATCCTTAAGGATGGAGCAAAGATCCATATTGTGAATATGATTTATTCTTAAATTAAAATGGTGATGTGTAAACTATGGTTTGGCAAGATTATAAGACCTATTATCTTTATGATGGAAATAATTTAATATATTGTGATCAATGTAACTAGACTTATTCATTTTTTGTTGAAGATTAAGAAGTACAAAACTTAGAAATAACTATAAGATAAAAACGTATTTTTTGTCAACTTTTAATTCCTTATTGTTATGAATGTTTGCCATCTATTAATGGTTTTGAATGCATTACTTGTTATTATTAATTCAAATTAATAGATGGTATTTGTACATAAGTTAATACCTATTAGGATAACTAGTTTTGTATAAGTCCATATTATATTACTTCTAAAAGAAAATGTAATTTATGTCCTATACCTAATTGTAAATACTGTTTTGAATATTAATAAAATGATTTATCTAAATGCACTCTATATATTAACTTTGAAGATTTTGATTTAGAATAGGAAATCAAAATAGGATGTGCTTTATGCTAAGATAACTTTATTTTTGATTTTATTACTGGAACCTGTTAATTTGATACTCCAAAAATATAAAATTGTTTAAGATCATTTATTTATGATGGTTAAGAAATATGTACATTATCATAAATTAATGATTTTAGTGTGGCTCCTGAAATTATTAATTGTCAATAACATCTATCTTATTGTTTATAGTGTGTGTTAACACCTGAATTTACAATTAAATGTATCATTTGTGAGATTGGATACTCTGCCTCTATTTCAGATGGAGGATGTTATTTAGCTAATAAATATTTATCATCTAGGGCTTAAATAATAATTGAAGGTGTTTATTAATTAAGTGATGGATGGGTTTAAAGAATTTAGAGTTTTATGATGAAATTTCTGCCAAATAGATATTTCTACTTTTAAACTAAAATGAATTAAATAGTTGATTAAATGATTGTTGAATGTTAAGAGAATTATGGTCTTATCAATCCTTATTCTTGTTCTTCATATTGTAATTCTTAATGTCTTGATTGTAAATTAAAAGATTATGATACTTATTATTGTAATAGATGTCCTTTAAATTAAAACTATTAACCAATACGAGATTAAATTAATGGAACTTGTTCTGAATGTACTCAATTATGTCATGCTTGCACATCCAGAACAAATGATGAAATAAATGTATTTATTTAATTCACTTGTAGAATCATCAACCAAATTTTATAATTAATGATAACAATTTTAAACATATTAAAAAATGTCTAAAACCAGTGTAAGATCCTAAAATCTATTTGGATCCATATGATTAAATAGCTAAATATTGTTTTGATGAAACTTGCTCAAAAATATTTACATATCACTTTATAATAGATTATTGTTTTTGGTTTGATATATCTTGGGAATAAAACTTGAATGTCAATTATTTTAATTCATTAGGAATAGATAGTTTGACTGTGCATTTCACATTTACTAGTTTGGATGAATAATGTTCTATACCTAGCTTTGAAATTAAATCTTATCTTAAAACAAAAGTATTTTCGCTTAAATACATTCATTTCATTTATAGTTCTAGAAAAGGATTGATAATGCAAATTAGTCATATAATTTATATCGATAACATTGATAAACTAGAAATCAACAACACTATTCATAAAAGTCAAAAGAATTATCAATTTATTTTGCAAAACAATCAAAAATAAATTTAATTATGTTTATTCAATTTAACTATTACAAACAGTTAAATTAAAAATACTAAATCAATATTTCAGAGTGATATATTTGGTGATGTACAGATGTAAGATGTGTATCTCTTAAATTTAAATTTTGTAAACTCTTCATTATTGAATTTAACTGATTATTTACTTTAAGGAATTGTTTAAATAGATGGGTTTATTATAAGAAACTGCAATTTCCTGAATTCAAATTTATTCTAATTTATAAATAATTAACTTATTTTATCTGTTAAGAATTTAATAATAGAAGATTGTGAATTCACTAATTCATCTATTTATTTTATTGATTCTAATGATTGGCAATTAAGTAGATTAGATCTTTATAATATTAAAATAAAGAATAACAAATTTATAAACTCTAGTCTTCTTCATAGTAAGAATTAAGTTGCTCTATCTTTAATGTACTTTTTATTTGAATCAAATAATCTACTATATTCAAATTTGATTGTGTCCAATTATAATTTATAATTATCATACTTCAAAGTCTAAAATAATTAAATTATAGAGTCATAATTAATTTTAATACTAGAAAAAAATGATAATTAACATATTAATGTAATTATTAATTAGTTAGAAGCTTCAAATAATTAATTTGATAACTCTATATTCTTTAAATTATATACAACTTAGGAATTTAGTCAAGTTGATTTATCAATATCAAATTTAATATTTAATGAAATGACAACTATAATTAATTCAGATTAAAGATCTTATCTATTTTAAATAAGATGTTCAAAATTAAAAATGTAGGATTTTTCTTTTAGTAATATAAAAAATCTTTTCCTTTTCTATATATATGATAGCAATGACATTATAATTTAAAATATAATTTATGAAAATTCAGCTTAAATTTATTAAGTACCATTTTCATAATCATGTCAAATTACTATAAATGATAAAAACCAAATGCTTAAAATAGATAACTTTTATACTCTAAAAATCATATCTGTTTAAATTATAAATTAATTTACTATTGATGGATCTTTTTTAGATTTATCATAAAGAAAAGAATATTTAAATTCATCATAATTAGAAATTTTAGATCTTACTTTTAAAGGAAATTTATAATTATATAAAGAATCAACAAGAGTATTTTCACTTTTTACTCTATATTCTGAAGGGAATCTTAATATATAAATTAATAGAATTAAATTTTAGGAAAATTGCTTCCATTCAATTGCTGAAAGTTTCTTTTAATCCTATGCTTCTTTAGTATTTTTAAGTATCAAATCAAGTAGCATTAAAATATTTAATTTTATATCTGAAAGGAATGCATTTACTAATTCATCAAATACTTTTATTTACATTTATGCTAATAAAATAAATATCTAAAATTTATAAGTTTCTAACCATAATATTTTATCCACTGAAATATGGGAAAAGTTTTATGGTTTAAAATTAGATAAATAACTTAATTAATAATAAATAAATTAGGTGATATTCTAAACCTTAAATATATCAAATATAGGAGGTGTGGGTTAAATAAAAGCATCTAATTTTACATGTTTAAAATGTAATTTTTAACATATTCTTGCTTTAAAGAGTTTCATTTTTGAAATTATGACTGCAGATTATGGAATAATAAAATTTTATTAATTTATTGCAAATGATATAATGGGTGATATGAAATAAGATTCCAATAGTTCAGGTTGTATAAGTATCTTCTCTTAAGACAGCTATCTAGACCTTGAAATTTAGCAGTCAATTTTTAGGAATGTATCTAATCGAATGTCTCCATCTATTTTATCAATTTAGCCATCCAAAATTAGAAATATGATACGTTTAATTGATATTGAGATTTACGATTGTATATCCTTAATGAATCAAATACTTTTTATTCAATTCTCTGATTCTAAAAAGATTTATGATAAGAATACTTNTAATTAACATATTAATGTAATTATTAATTAGTTAGAAGCTTCAAATAATTAATTTGATAACTCTATATTCTTTAAATTATATACAACTTAGGAATTTAGTCAAGTTGATTTATCAATATCAAATTTAATATTTAATGAAATGACAACTATAATTAATTCAGATTAAAGATCTTATCTATTTTAAATAAGATGTTCAAAATTAAAAATGTAGGATTTTTCTTTTAGTAATATAAAAAATCTTTTCCTTTTCTATATATATGATAGCAATGACATTATAATTTAAAATATAATTTATGAAAATTCAGCTTAAATTTATTAAGTACCATTTTCATAATCATGTCAAATTACTATAAATGATAAAAACCAAATGCTTAAAATAGATAACTTTTATACTCTAAAAATCATATCTGTTTAAATTATAAATTAATTTACTATTGATGGATCTTTTTTAGATTTATCATAAAGAAAAGAATATTTAAATTCATCATAATTAGAAATTTTAGATCTTACTTTTAAAGGAAATTTATAATTATATAAAGAATCAACAAGAGTATTTTCACTTTTTACTCTATATTCTGAAGGGAATCTTAATATATAAATTAATAGAATTAAATTTTAGGAAAATTGCTTCCATTCAATTGCTGAAAGTTTCTTTTAATCCTATGCTTCTTTAGTATTTTTAAGTATCAAATCAAGTAGCATTAAAATATTTAATTTTATATCTGAAAGGAATGCATTTACTAATTCATCAAATACTTTTATTTACATTTATGCTAATAAAATAAATATCTAAAATTTATAAGTTTCTAACCATAATATTTTATCCACTGAAATATGGGAAAAGTTTTATGGTTTAAAATTAGATAAATAACTTAATTAATAATAAATAAATTAGGTGATATTCTAAACCTTAAATATATCAAATATAGGAGGTGTGGGTTAAATAAAAGCATCTAATTTTACATGTTTAAAATGTAATTTTTAACATATTCTTGCTTTAAAGAGTTTCATTTTTGAAATTATGACTGCAGATTATGGAATAATAAAATTTTATTAATTTATTGCAAATGATATAATGGGTGATATGAAATAAGATTCCAATAGTTCAGGTTGTATAAGTATCTTCTCTTAAGACAGCTATCTAGACCTTGAAATTTAGCAGTCAATTTTTAGGAATGTATCTAATCGAATGTCTCCATCTATTTTATCAATTTAGCCATCCAAAATTAGAAATATGATACGTTTAATTGATATTGAGATTTACGATTGTATATCCTTAATGAATCAAATACTTTTTATTCAATTCTCTGATTCTAAAAAGATTTATGATAAGAATACTTTAGAATTACGAAATATTATAATAATATAAAATATGTATTCATGGCTATAACATTTTTCATAAATGGGAAATCTAAGTCGTACAGAACTATTACAGATTTCAAGTAGTCAGAATTCATTATTTTATATTGAAAGTTGTTCAATATCTATATAAAATGTCATTATTGAAGGTTTGTATCTATCACCAATATTTTCAATTATAAATGCACCAAAATTAATAATTATGCAAATTTAAATAAGATAGATCTAATTATTTTATTCCTTTACTTTAATAAATATAAATTAAATGTTAGATATTGAAACAATAATGTTCTTTTAGTAAGTAAGTATAATAAATAATTCAATTTATGAACCAGGACTTTAAAGAGTCTATCTATAAGATTTTGATTTTTCAATTAATGGATGTTTTTTAGTAGCCAATTAATCAAAAAAGGCTTAAGCATTTTACTATTTAAATTAGATTCTTACTATAATAGAAGAACATAAATAGACTTAAATTTCCTTAATTTATATTTAAAGTCTATCAAATAAACATTCTTTCTATTTTAATTAAATAGAACTTGTTTCAAATGATTGTTTATATTGTATTTCTGGATTGATTAATTTTGATTTAATATCTTTCCAAGCTATTAAAATATAAGAACTATATTGTAATTACAATATAATAAAATAATATGGATGTTTAAGTATTTTAGGAGATAATACTATCTCTCCATAAATTTAAATATTAAGTTCCACTTTTATGTTTAATAGAGGAAGCTAAGGAGTTGCCATTTCATCAACTAAATCCATACTTATCAAATAGTGCATAATTATTTAAAATATTGCAACATAAAAGGGAGGAGGACTATATTTAGAATTAAATAATAGTAATTAATTTATAATTAAAAATTCTATCATTGTTGGAAATCAAGCAAAAGAAGGTGGAGGATTATATTTTATTGGAGATAGTAGTTTGAATGTATAGAATTTAAATTAAACATATTTGCTTTTTAATAATGCTTCTATTTATGCTAATAACATAGTGGAAAACCCAACACATTTGGAATTGTTTATCAATTCTTAAGAAATGAAAGCAGATAAAGCAAATTTTGATTAAGTTTAAACAAGTATTCTTAGAATTATACCTTATTCTACTATAGAATAAGAAGTATTAATTAAAACATATTATTTAATGATTCCTAGTGGTTAAAGTATAAAAGATTTTACTCTTTCAATTCCCAAAATATAGTAAACATATAAATAGATTTAGTCAATTGAACTTATATTAAAAAATAAATATAATGAATTACAGAAAAATATTATAAATTCAACATGCCTTATAAGTGATAAGATAATAACAAAGCATGAAGAATAAATTAATGGAAATCTTCAAAATATTTAATTATTATATAATAATGAGAAAAATAATTTTGATTTAAGTTAAATTGCTTTTTATTTTAATCCATATGAAAAGGATTACAATTATTTAGAAATATCAATTACTTGTACAACAGAAGTATATAAAAATTAATTGAAATATATCATTAATGCTAAAAGTTATAAATGTTAACTTGGTGAATTCCATGTTGATAATGGATGTTAAATTTGTTAATCCAGTTAAGGTTTTTACTCTATAACATATGATACTATCAAATGTTCTATATTTGATAAGGAGAAATTTTAGGAGATAACATCTAATGCAATAAAATTACAAGAAGGCTATTGGAGACCAAATTATTTATCAGATTATTCTACTTTATGTTTTAAAATAACAAGATTTTGTGTAGGAGGATGGGATGTTGGAGATGGACTATGTAGTAAAGGACATGTAGGTGCTTTATGTGAAGAATGTGATATCTATAATGTCAAAGGAGATGGGTATTACTTAAAAAATTTACAAAATTCTGAATGTTTACCATGTTTTGGAATATAAGATAGCATACTCCCTTTCGTCTTAAATTCAATTTGGTATTAAGTTATATAGATATTTAAGGGCTATACTTTCCATCATTCTAACAGTTAAAAGCATAGTAAAATCAAATGATTTATTCTTATTTCTAAAAGTCAAAGAAAGATTTAGTAAAATACTCTTTAAATTAAATTAAGGTATAATATTTAAGTATTGAAGATCGTGAAAGTATTCTAATAAAAATGTTTTTAAATTATTTATGGATCTTTTCACTTATTTTTACATTCAATATAAGTTTTTCTTTTTAATTTAATTTTGTTGATTCAGCTAGTAATACATCTTTATCAATGGCTAACAATTTGGATTGTTATTTATCAGAAATTGTAGAAGTTTAATTAATCTATTCTAAGATTATTTTAATAATATTATTAATTTTATGGCAATTCATAATTATAATATTAGGATTGGTTGTATTTCCTAATTTATTACACTCAAAATTTAAATTAAGTGTTATATCCAATACTTTACTTTGTTTGTATATTTTCAATTATGCAGGATTTATTAAAATGTACTTAATTTAATTAAAATAAATTTAGCTTATGTTCTGTAGTTTCATATAGAGAAATATCTTAAACATAATATATTTAAGGTGATCTAACATTAAGATTTAATACTGAAACTCATCATTAATGGATGTTCTATTTAGTACTTCCTGGATTGATAATTTTTGGTTGTTTAATACCTCTATCATTATTTATGTTAATGTATTTTAAAAGAAATGGATTAGACTTTTATACTATAAGACCTCATATATGTTATCTTTTTAATGAATATGTAACAAAAATGTATTACTGGGAATAAATAAAACTGAGTAAAAAAGCTTTATTAATTCTTTTTTTGACTTATTTTGAGACTAATATACATTTGAAAGCATCCTTAATTGGTTTAAGTTTAATTTTTTATTAATAATTTGCAGCTAAGAAAAAACCTTATATAATTTAAAAATTCAATATACTTGACTTGGAAACTAGTTAAAAATGTTCAGTCTCAATATTTTTGGCTGCTGTTAAATATGAAAGTGAAAAGTTAGATAATAAGGTGATATCTCTTTCTCTACAAATTTGTTTAATATTATTATTTTTTCTAATCACTTTTCCCTTTTTATATTAAATAGTAAAAATTAACTTCAAGAAATATAAATTGCTTATGTTTAAATTTTTTCATTTGTTTTTCAAGTACTTAAAATTAATAAATGCATCAAAAACCTTTGAATAAATTTTAGATGAATATAGTAAAAAAGATTAAAGACTTAAAGACAATTTCACCAAATTAAGAAAATACCTTATCGTTTTTTCAAAAGCATAAATTAAGAATAGACCGTAATTATTGAAATTATACTTAGCTCTATTCTATCTAGATATACTTCAAGTAAAAATTACCAATAAAATTTATTAAGTACAGAAATACAAGGTTAATCGATCATTATGACAGCAAATAGATTTGAATGATATTTTAATTGGATATATATATAAAATTATAAAAAATAAATTTAATTGTAATATTGTAAATGAATATAATTATCTAAAATATTAAATTGAGAGAATTAGAAATTTCATTTAATTGCATAACAATGCAAATATACATTTCTATTTAAAACCATCATTATAATTAATGAAGCCTCTTTTAAATAAAATAAGCAATTATTATACATAATAAATTAATCATTAATAACTTTTGTATTTACTTTATTATAAATTATTATTCAACTTTCAAATTTCTTGGGTACTTATATCTAAAAATATATATTTTTGAAATGGAAAAAATCATCTTACAAAGTTCATATTCTTTTTTGATAACTACACTCATTCTTTTGGCCTCTTTTCACCAGAGCTGCTGCTGCAATTATAATACATACAATGATGCATTAATTCCAATTGAACATCCTATTTCTACATATACAATCGATCCTCTGAATAACGAAAATTTCTTTTCCTTTGGATTTTGGAGTCTAGGCATTCCATAATAAACATTTAAGAATTACCCTTAAGTTGTTTCAGATTACCTTTAATCTATGCCACAAGATGGACAATTATTATTTTTAATATAAGGAAAGCAATAAAATTTAGTCTTGGGATATATTTACATGAACATGTTAAGCAAACAAGTAATATATAAAGTTGTCTTATTTGGGAATCCTAATTAAATTATAGAATTTCCATATACTCCAGTTGAATTTGAAGAAGAGTGGATTTTAAGTTTATTCACAATTAAATTAGATTAAGGAACATTCACTGTAGAAATGACAGGTTAAATAAAATAAAGTAGAAGTATATAAAATGGCATAAGCTATGAAAGAATAATAATTGGAGGACAAGGTTATGTAATGAATAACATTTATAATTTAGATTGGTTAAGGATTTAATCTTAATATATTCAATGGCAGATTATCAAAGATACATATGAGTTATTAAATTGATGATATCTAAAATAAATTCAAATACATGAGTGAGAATTGTAAAATCCCACTTCCTTAAGAGGGATAATAAACTGTATATTTTATTAAAGGATTAAAAATATTTGAAGGCAGCTCATCTTTGTTATATACATTGAATCAATTTGGAAATCGATTTTGTTTATCTGGATGGGTTAAATATGATGCATCTAGAATAGTAACATATGCTAAATACAATTTGATAAGGATGAGTCTGTTTAAAAACTATAATTTTTAAACAAAGTATGGAGATGAAATATTTTAAATGTTAACATAAATTAATAAAGCAAATCCTAAAGGAACTTATGTCTCTGTAATTGCAGATGATCGATTAATGCCTATAATGGGTAAAAATGACTATAATATAATAATTCAAAGAGTAGCACTATTTTCCGAATATTCTTATAGACATTTCATAGGATTACAATAATGGCATTTTATTAAATATGAATATGGATCAAAATTATAAGGAAAAAGAAGTTCAGTTTAAATTTAATTCTTTAATGATTTAGGTTTAAAAGAAATTACTTTTAATAATATATCTCCAATTAATTCACCTTTCTATATAAATATAGGAGCAGATGATTTCTAGAAAGATATCCTTTAAGCTTCAATTTTTGATTTTAAATTTGAATATAATTATGAAGATGACAAATAAATACTGTTTAAAGGTTTGATTATAAATATATAATTAGCTTGTCATTATTCTTGTTAAACATGTAGAGGACCACTTGAAAATAATTGTATCACATGCAATCCATAATCTCATAGATATTATTTAGAGGAAATAAACAAATGTGAATGTTAATAGGGATATATAAATGTAGTAGATGAAAGTAATTGTGTAGATTTCTCTTAAATATTTCCATTAATAAAAACCTAAGAAGTTCTTCATTATGATGAAATATAATGTTAATTTGGTTATTTCATTTTACCAAATATTGGATTCTCTGCATAATGTGTTAAATGGTATTAATTTAAATTATGAAGTCCATAATCTAATTTCTTCAATTTGTTGTGTGTTGACTGTCTCTATTCTCCATATACTTGGTACTTAAAGCCTATTTGTAAATTTGATTTGATTTCAGCAAAAGAAACTTTGAATGATGCATTTTCATATGTTGAAAGAGATCAAATTAATTATGATTTATATTTAGTTGATAATTAAGGTGAAATCAATCTACATAAAGGTATCTTAGATTTTTGTGAAATGGAATCAGATTCACCTGATTGTTTTAAGGCTGCACATAAACATCTAAATTAAACAATTTTTATTAAATGTAAGCCAAATTACTTTCAATTTAATGGAAATTGTATGTAGGTAAATCCTTATTGTCTCAAAGCTTCAATTGAAGGGAAATGTTTATAATATTAAAATGGAATGTATTGGAAGAATGATTAATTATATTAATGTCCTAATAATTGTGAATTATGTTATTATAATGAGGAAATTTAAAATCCTTATTGTTTATAATGTAAAGAGAATTTCACCTTAGATAATGGGTAATGTATTCAATGTGGTAATTATTGCAAAGTTTGTCAAAAATATTATGATCCCATAAATCAAAATAGTTATTTTAGATGTTATAAATGTTTAGATGATTCTAAATACTTTATTTCATTTGATGCAATTAATTGTTAATAAAATACAATTAAAAATTGTATATATGCTTTTCAAACTTTATCAAATAATTTTCAAATTAATACTCTTGATGTATCATTTAAACCTAGAAATGATTGGAATAATATCAAGATATCTTGTGCATTATGTAATCTACAATATGGAGTAATTCTTGATTAAAGTTTATGTATATCAATGCATGAAGTTACATGTCAATTCTCTGTTGTACAAAAGATTGTTGATATACCCATGGATGATAACATCTTTTACACAATATTAGATTATGATTATTATACAACACCTTCAGGTGAATAAATTACATTTGGCTTTTTAGATGATGGAAATATTATATTAACATCATATTAATACTGTATAATTTCAGAGAGATACTTTGTATAATAAGATATAGAAGTTGTTTAATTCACAGAAAAATGCTAAGGAAATGTGAAATATTGTGAAGTTTGTTTAAAGGATAGAACTTATATTTGGGGTGTGACTTATGATTGTCTTGAATGTGAAAAAGGATATTATGCAGATAGAGTATCAGGTAAATGTTATCAATGTCCTCAAGAATTAAATTGTTATAAATGTTAATCTCAATAAAAACTATATAAAGATAGATGGAAAAACAATGTAAGAGCCTTTTATAATGTGATTATTCAAAAGAATACTGAACATACATTTAGATAATATGGATAAAGTGATAATTATGATGATTATGAAATAGTTTGTTCAGAGTGTTAAATTGGATATGAATTAAGAAATGATAAATGTATACTTGCTTGTCCTGAATCATGTTTAGAATGTTAGTACATAAATGATTAAAATTAATGTATCAAATGTCCAAAAAATCAAAAAGGAAGAAAATTAAGTTTGTCTTAAAATTAATGTATTGATTGTCCATAAAATTGTTCTTTATGTCGATTAAGATCAAAAGATGAAATAAGAAGCATTAATCCATTATTTGACAATAATGATTATATTTCATATACGTATCAATGCTTAAAAAGCTTTAATGATGCTGAATACTATTATGAATAAGAATAGGGTATATTCATATAATGTTCTAAACATCAGTATTGTAATTATGAATTCATTCTTACTTTCAATCTTTATTGTTCAGAATTAGATTATGAATCAGCATTGATTTCGTTATCATCATAATATGAATAAAAATTATTTAAATAATAAAATCTATTATTATTAGATTTAATATCAGGAAATAGTTTTAAGGAGGTATATATAATAGTCATTATAATTAGTTTGAAAAAGATTTATTCTATCAATAAGCCAATTAAATATCAATAAGAACTATTATACTAAATATATCAAGTGTAAAAGAATAAATTTGTAAAATACCTTCAAATGGAATAATTTAATAGATTTTTAGTAAAAATATTTTTACAACAATGTAAATATTACCAATATTAATTTAGAAATGTTGAAATAACAATGAATTTCAACAATAATACAATTATAGAATTTGAAAAACCACTAAAATTCTTAAATTTTAATAAAATCACTATATAAGGAGCAATCTTATATCCAATTATTAATGACAAATTAAAATAAATTATATTTGATAGTGTATTTCCTTAAACTATCCTACTTTAACACATTGTTTATTAATAATTATCAAATGTAAATGATTAATCAGCTATACTTTTTAATAATGTTAAATATTTAGTATTAGATAATTTCAAAATAATTGGATTAGTTTAAAATGAAATACAGAAGTTTATTGAGATTTCAGAAACATTGAATTAAAAATCTATTACATTCTTGAATTTCTAACTAATTAATTCATTTTTGTAAAATTAAATCACTATATTCTACCACCTTAACAAAAATGATACCATTAATATTGATAATTTAATTGTAAACTCTAAATTTAATAATTCTACTTTGATAAAAACAGGGTAATAATAATAATTTGGTCTTCTTTAAATGAATAATGCTAATTTTGAAATTAATGTACTTGATTGTTTATTTTTCTTAAACCTTTATTCACTTAGATAAATTAAAATTAAATAAATGAAAATTGAAAATTCTGATATTTAAAACTCAACATTAGTTATTTTAAATAATAATAATAATATAGATAATTTCATAATTTAATTAAGTAGATTTAGAGAGAATAGTTATGCAATAATGAATTCTAATCAACTATCTTTGGATAAATTATTAATAAATTTATCAAATATTATACTTCAATAAAATGAATATCATTAATCTACAAAGTTTATATCATTTTAGAAATACAACAATAATCAATCTTATATAGAAATAAATTAATTCAAAATAATTAATAACTATATATCATAGAATACACCTGATAAAATAATGAACACTCAATACTCTGCTCTTATTTATCTATAACTTGATATAATCACTATTTTTGATTTAGAATTAGTCAGAGGTTATGGTTTGATTGATATAAGTATAAATAATGTCCAAAAACTAAAAATAAAATCTATCAGAATATCTTAAGGTCATTAGTATAAATTTTTAGGTCTTCATTAATTTATGGATTGCTAATTATAATAAGTTAAAGGAGAATCTTATCTGCAATCACTCTTTATATCATCAGTAATTGATCTTCAAATTGAAGATTTAATTATAAGATCTGCTTAAACATATAATTCTCCAATTTTATACTATAAATCTTCGGAAAAGATTAAATAATAATAATTCGAAACAATTTTATTAAATAATATTATTATAGAATCCAACTTATTGCTTTTAACAAATTAGAAATTTCAAACAGCTATTCTCTTTTTTGAATCTGTTTAAGAAACTACCTTATAATTTTCAAACATTACTTTTTATGGAAATATATTACATGAATATCTCTAAAATAACCTCCAAACTTCGGCTTTACTTTTAAATTTGAACTGTATCTTAGGTACCATAATAATTAGGGATACAATATTCAATAAAAATATAGTATTTAACAGTACTGATAGTATTATATACATAAAAAGTGAGAAATTATTATTTCACAATTGCACTTTCTCTGAGAATAGTCTATTTAATTATGCAATATTATAACCTTATTTATTATGGGGATTCTTAGACTCTTAAGCAGTATACTAAAAAGATTTAAGTTAAATATTTAGAGTAAAATCTTAATCTGGAAATGGAAAACTGTTAGTTGAAAATCTTGATATATAATTTTGTATATTTGAATAATCTATAGGATATTCAGGTGGAGCACTATTAATTGAAGCTCAAAAGAACAGCATTATTAAAATTTTTAATAGTTAATTTAGTAATATTTCAACAGAGTTTTAAAGAGAACTAGGATTTGGTGGATCTATATATTTAGATGGTACTTCATCTTAATCATTAAATGTATCTTTTTAAGAATTAATTATTCAAAATATTTAAGCTTAAGAATAAGGTGGTTTCCTATATATAATGACAGGGACTTCAAAGGTTTAGATTTATTTAAATAAATTAACTATATAAAATGTATATGCTAAAATTGGATCTATAATTTATGCAACTTTTTCTGCTCTTTAATAATCATCATAGTAGATTGAATTTAATGAAATATCAATCAAAAATACATAAGAAGAATTTATAAACTATTTGAATTAATATACATTACTCTCAAAATCTGAAGAAATACTATTAATTAATAATAGAGTGTTATTTTTTATTAATTTTGCATAAAAAGTTAGATTTACAAATATAAAAATTGAAAATATCTTTCTAGAATCTGCTCTTTCGATCTCTAGCATTACAGAAATATCAATTTAAAAATTAATTATATCTAATAGTTTAATTAACTCGAATCTAATTAAAATATCTGCAAATACATGTAATTAATATATTATTAATTATTATAGATTAAAATTAAATTTTATAATTAAGTGATATATAAATATCAAATATTACTACAGTTTTCAAATAAACTATTTATAATTGTGAATTAAATTACATAGAAGAAATCCCTATATAATTTGTTTGTATTCAATAATCAGCTCCTATTAATTTATTCGAATATTTTAGAAATAGATCAATTACTTATGGTGAATGCATACTTTCATTAATAAAAGAGAATAATGATTAGATAATTATAGATGATATAAATTAAGGATTAATTTAATTCCTAGATCTTATTGAATAAACAACAATTAAATTATATTAGATAGAATTAGTAAGAATAAACTGTAAGTATTGTTTAAAGGGATTAATATATTTTAATTTTTAAAAGATCACCAAATTATTATAGAAATAATATTTAGCAAATATTATGATATCTAATTCTATTTGTGGAAGATAAGGTTGTATAAATATTGAAAAAAGTAATATTAATAAAAGAAGATTGTTATAAACTTAAGAGAAATACATTTAATAATTGCAATTAGAATTCTTAATAGATAATTATCTTTGTTAATATAATTCTGGAATAAATGGAACATGCTTATATATATCCAATGTTAAAGTAGAAATGTAGAATTGTCTTTTTCAATATAATTAAGCATATTAAACAGGAGGAGCTGTATATATTTAAGAAAATGAGGATATTTTAATAATCAATAGTTGGATACTAAATAATTAAGCTAAGATTGGAGGTGGATTGTATTTTGAAAATTCTCATGATTTAAATTATTAAGGACTCTAAACTAAAATTAGTAATAATTCAGCAACATTTTATGGAAATGATATTGTTTCAATACCTTAGAAACTTACATTAGCATAATTTGATAAAATGACATTATTAGAAACTGTAGAAATTATAGAAGATGATAATATTCTAATAGAATAAGTTTAATAAATAACATAATAAATTCCATTTATTAATTACATTAGACTACCAAGTGGATAGAAGATATCTAATTATGTTAAATTTAATAAAAATACACGATCATATGAACCTTTAAATCAAATATTTAGAATTATTGCATAAAGTCGAGATAAATAAGTAATGAAAAATCTCAGAAATACATTTTGTACAATAGAAAGTAGAAAGTTTAATTTATCTAATAATAATGATGATGATGTTTTCTCAAATAATCTTACTAATATTTAAAAGGTTTTATTTAATGAATCTACCTAAGATTATAATTTAGATGATTTGATTGTTTATTTTGATAATAAATTACCATCAAATATTGTATTATAATTATAATTTTGGTGTAATTCAATTAGTATCCCTATATATAATAAAGAATATCCATATAATATACTCAATAAACATTCCAATTATAAATTAAGAGTCAATATTAAAACATATGATTGTTAATATGGAGAAATTAAAAACTATACAGACTTTTCATGTATTCCATGTAATACTGAATAAGCATTATTTTCATTAACAATTAATTCTTAGAAATGTGAACTCAAAGATGATGTTTCAACAATCAGTGTCCAATCTGCTTTATTAAATTTAAAACCTGGATATTGGAGACCTTATTTTGAAACTAATAGAATAAATTATTGCATAAATAAACCTGAAAATTGTTTAGGAGGATGGATGGAAGGAGANCTAGCATTACAGAAATATCAATTTAAAAATTAATTATATCTAATAGTTTAATTAACTCGAATCTAATTAAAATATCTGCAAATACATGTAATTAATATATTATTAATTATTATAGATTAAAATTAAATTTTATAATTAAGTGATATATAAATATCAAATATTACTACAGTTTTCAAATAAACTATTTATAATTGTGAATTAAATTACATAGAAGAAATCCCTATATAATTTGTTTGTATTCAATAATCAGCTCCTATTAATTTATTCGAATATTTTAGAAATAGATCAATTACTTATGGTGAATGCATACTTTCATTAATAAAAGAGAATAATGATTAGATAATTATAGATGATATAAATTAAGGATTAATTTAATTCCTAGATCTTATTGAATAAACAACAATTAAATTATATTAGATAGAATTAGTAAGAATAAACTGTAAGTATTGTTTAAAGGGATTAATATATTTTAATTTTTAAAAGATCACCAAATTATTATAGAAATAATATTTAGCAAATATTATGATATCTAATTCTATTTGTGGAAGATAAGGTTGTATAAATATTGAAAAAAGTAATATTAATAAAAGAAGATTGTTATAAACTTAAGAGAAATACATTTAATAATTGCAATTAGAATTCTTAATAGATAATTATCTTTGTTAATATAATTCTGGAATAAATGGAACATGCTTATATATATCCAATGTTAAAGTAGAAATGTAGAATTGTCTTTTTCAATATAATTAAGCATATTAAACAGGAGGAGCTGTATATATTTAAGAAAATGAGGATATTTTAATAATCAATAGTTGGATACTAAATAATTAAGCTAAGATTGGAGGTGGATTGTATTTTGAAAATTCTCATGATTTAAATTATTAAGGACTCTAAACTAAAATTAGTAATAATTCAGCAACATTTTATGGAAATGATATTGTTTCAATACCTTAGAAACTTACATTAGCATAATTTGATAAAATGACATTATTAGAAACTGTAGAAATTATAGAAGATGATAATATTCTAATAGAATAAGTTTAATAAATAACATAATAAATTCCATTTATTAATTACATTAGACTACCAAGTGGATAGAAGATATCTAATTATGTTAAATTTAATAAAAATACACGATCATATGAACCTTTAAATCAAATATTTAGAATTATTGCATAAAGTCGAGATAAATAAGTAATGAAAAATCTCAGAAATACATTTTGTACAATAGAAAGTAGAAAGTTTAATTTATCTAATAATAATGATGATGATGTTTTCTCAAATAATCTTACTAATATTTAAAAGGTTTTATTTAATGAATCTACCTAAGATTATAATTTAGATGATTTGATTGTTTATTTTGATAATAAATTACCATCAAATATTGTATTATAATTATAATTTTGGTGTAATTCAATTAGTATCCCTATATATAATAAAGAATATCCATATAATATACTCAATAAACATTCCAATTATAAATTAAGAGTCAATATTAAAACATATGATTGTTAATATGGAGAAATTAAAAACTATACAGACTTTTCATGTATTCCATGTAATACTGAATAAGCATTATTTTCATTAACAATTAATTCTTAGAAATGTGAACTCAAAGATGATGTTTCAACAATCAGTGTCCAATCTGCTTTATTAAATTTAAAACCTGGATATTGGAGACCTTATTTTGAAACTAATAGAATAAATTATTGCATAAATAAACCTGAAAATTGTTTAGGAGGATGGATGGAAGGAGATTTATCATGTCTTAAAGGTCATATAGGAGCTTTATGTGAAGAATGTGATTTATATGCAATTAAAGAAGAAGGTCCTTATTCAACTAGTTCAAAATATTCATGTGTATCTTGTTAAGAAACTTCAAGAAATTTTATTTTAATTAGTTTCGTAACTATATGGTATTTATTTAATGTTTAAATTAAGGACTTTGATATCAATTTTCATTTCAGTTTAAAGTAATCTAAGATCTATCAAATAATCCATTAGAGTTACTAGTATACTCCTTATAAAATTAGCAGCAATATAAAATAGAAATTAATCAGCTGTTCTAATTAAAATGTTAACTAATTATTTATAAATTATGGCTTCTATTGCTACATTTAAATTGAAATTACCAATCGAATTTTAAAGTACTATTAATACAGCAGGATCACCAGTTTAAACAATGACATATTCAATGGATTGTTTTTTATCTAGTCTTTTTTCATTTGAAATATAATATGCTAGAATGATTTGGTAAATTATAATGCCATTTGTATATATCAGTTTCTTTTTTACATGCTATTTGTTATCTATTAAATTTAAATTTACTAGTTACAATAAAAGTGTCATTACAACTACTATTATATATATGTACATCTGTTTACAAACAAGTTTAGTTGGTGGATTTGCTCAACTTATATCTTATAGAAATATATCAGGATATTAATGGATTTAAGCAAATGTTTCTTAAAGATTTGATACTCCTTATCATTATTAATGGATTCTTTAATTTTGTTTACCTATGCTTATTATTTTATCAATTGTAATTCCTTCTTATTTTTTATATGGACTTCGTAGTAATTCTGCAAATTTAGATAAAAATTAAGTGAAATCATAATGGGGTTATTTATACAATGAATATACATATTAAGCATATTTTTGGGAATTAATAAAAATTGCATAAAAATAATTGATGATGATTTGTTTGATTTATTATGATGATAATGTAATATTAAAAGCTACTATGATTTCACTAATAATAGGAATTTATTTAGAATTAAGTTTAAAATACAAACCATATAATCGCAATTAACTTAATAAATTAGATTGTTAAACTATGAATGTATGTTTAGCAACAATAATATTAGCATCTGGCATTTATATTTCAGAGTAAACTTATGTTTATGAAGTCAAAATTCCTTATTTTGTATTAATTGCTATTATGAATATATCAATTTCTTATATTTTGATATCTAAAATTGTAGTAGAATACTTCAAAAAGGCAGGTCTCAATATTGAAAAAATTGAAAAAGTTAAATAATCTATTAGATAACATTTTCCATTTCTTAATCAAATTCCATTCATATCTAAATTATTAGAAGATCGTAGAGAATAAAGAAAAAGAATATAACAATTATATATGAAATTAAAGTAATTCTTATTACCATAAGCTAAAGAGATTATTGCATTTAAGATGTCTTAATTAAAATAAGACACTCAAAGAAATTTAGAATTATAAATTCATACAAATTAATTAAGTTTAAGAAGTCCAAATTATGGCAAAGACTAAGAATATTTCTTTAGAGAATCTATGAAATAATCTTCATTAAATACTTCTAAACATGTTTTAGAATCTACTATTTTCGATAAAACGTATTTAAATATCTATAATAGAAATTTCAAAAGAAACGAATAATAGAAGGCTAAATATGAGTTAATCCAGAAAAAAATGACTTAAACTTAAATAAATAGTAATCCAAATAATATTAATGATAATAAAGAATATTGAATAATTATTTTAAGTGTGATTGAATTTTAGATTTTAATATAATTTTATTTATATTTATTTTTATTTATTTACTATTTAAACCTAAAAATAATTATATATATTAAATTTATACATTTATAAAAATATTAATAATAAATTTATAGTATATTAAAATGATATTTCTAATCCAAGAAATTCCTATATCAGATGATCATTAAAGATTTCAGATTATAGCTAAATATTAATATTTATTTGCATTCATATATTGAATTGTTAGATTTTCTTAATTTTATCTTTTAAATTAATAAATATTCAAATCTCAACAATAAAAATACAATCTAAAATAGCTATTATGAAAGTTAAATAAATTTTAATAAGCTTTGTAATAAAATAAAAAATCTGTTATAACTAAATCAACAATATAATATGATTTATTTGAAATTGATAATATAAATTTAAATTTCTCCAGAATAACTGATATTTAATCAAGAATAGAATATAAAATGTAAATTTTAACCAATTGATTATCGCTATGATGTTTCGTCTTTATTGTAAATATAGAAATTACTAATTAAAAATCTAAGTAATTAAATCATATCTAAATAAACAAAAGATCTAATAAAAACTTTGGATTTGAATATGATTAACAATCTATAGAAAAAATTATTCAATTCTTGATTAATATTTACATAAAATTGTTTATGATAAAATAAATTGTCAAAAAGAGAATTTGAGTACAAAAAGTCAAATATTTATTTTTAATTTCTAAAAATTGATTAAAAATTAATTAATTAATTAATCATAAAATTGTTGTAAAGATTAACAGATGTACAATAAATAAAGGTTTGAGATGAACAGTTTACATGACATAATATTCTAATTAACAGACTTATTTCCTTGAATAAATATTAATTATATTCTTTATTTAAATTAATTATTATTTACAAATAAGATTAGAATTTTACATAACCAACTTAAAATTATTTCTGATTTTTCTAGATTTCTAATTTTTCTAATATGAAATGTTCTGTAACCAACAACTATATTTGATTTAGTTATTTTGTTTTTATTAGATATTCCCCCTGATTTGATCAAACCCTTTTTATTAAATCATATCATTAAATATTAGATTCATTATCTTCATAAAGTTATTTCAATAAGAGAAGTTATCAATACTATTAAAATATTTGATTTAAAAATTAATATAACAATAGATATATATATCAATAATATTTCTTCTTTCCCTTAAAATAGACAGTTTATTATTAATGATCCTAAATCACTTAGACTTTTATTTCCCCCTAAACATAAATAGTAAACTATAACATTAAATTGGCAAACGTATTGCAAAATTAATAAATAGAATAGTTAACATTCTTAAACATAAGGCTTTTAATCCCTATTTATTAAACTTAAACTAGAAATTTGAAGGATTTTTATGAACTTTTAACTTAGATGTATCATTTTAAAATGTTGTATACCTNACTGATATTTAATCAAGAATAGAATATAAAATGTAAATTTTAACCAATTGATTATCGCTATGATGTTTCGTCTTTATTGTAAATATAGAAATTACTAATTAAAAATCTAAGTAATTAAATCATATCTAAATAAACAAAAGATCTAATAAAAACTTTGGATTTGAATATGATTAACAATCTATAGAAAAAATTATTCAATTCTTGATTAATATTTACATAAAATTGTTTATGATAAAATAAATTGTCAAAAAGAGAATTTGAGTACAAAAAGTCAAATATTTATTTTTAATTTCTAAAAATTGATTAAAAATTAATTAATTAATTAATCATAAAATTGTTGTAAAGATTAACAGATGTACAATAAATAAAGGTTTGAGATGAACAGTTTACATGACATAATATTCTAATTAACAGACTTATTTCCTTGAATAAATATTAATTATATTCTTTATTTAAATTAATTATTATTTACAAATAAGATTAGAATTTTACATAACCAACTTAAAATTATTTCTGATTTTTCTAGATTTCTAATTTTTCTAATATGAAATGTTCTGTAACCAACAACTATATTTGATTTAGTTATTTTGTTTTTATTAGATATTCCCCCTGATTTGATCAAACCCTTTTTATTAAATCATATCATTAAATATTAGATTCATTATCTTCATAAAGTTATTTCAATAAGAGAAGTTATCAATACTATTAAAATATTTGATTTAAAAATTAATATAACAATAGATATATATATCAATAATATTTCTTCTTTCCCTTAAAATAGACAGTTTATTATTAATGATCCTAAATCACTTAGACTTTTATTTCCCCCTAAACATAAATAGTAAACTATAACATTAAATTGGCAAACGTATTGCAAAATTAATAAATAGAATAGTTAACATTCTTAAACATAAGGCTTTTAATCCCTATTTATTAAACTTAAACTAGAAATTTGAAGGATTTTTATGAACTTTTAACTTAGATGTATCATTTTAAAATGTTGTATACCTTAATATAATTAAAAATTGCTTTATCATATCTACAAGAAATTAATGTATTTAAAGCAATTGAAGTCTCTTTTATTTACTCTTATTAATATAGAGAATTATTAGGATCAAAGTAAAAGGAAAACTAACCTGATTAATAACAAATTAAATATTCTTATTTTCTACTATTCACTTTTTTGTTATTGCTGTTAAATATATATTAATATGAATGATGTAATAGATAATAGTGAACCTGAAATGAAAAGATAAGGATTGCGATATAATTGGATGCTTCAATTTTATTTACCTAAAATAGACCATCTTAAGTTTGAATCGATCGGCCATAACTAAAATGTGCTGTTATATTAGATTGTTATCAAAATGAAACTTTGTTCTTAATAATAAATGGGCAACTAAGGGATATCTTAGTAAATTAACTTTAATATTGAAAAAAATAGAAAGGATTAATGGTTTTAAATTCAAAATATTCAAATGTTAAACTTGTATTGATAAATATATCAATACAATTTTTTAACCAATTTTAAGTTTTAATTATAATAAATATGAATTCTCATATTATTTTATTTTAAGTTATCAAACAAATCAATTTATTTAGTAATAATTAAATTAACTATGTTTGATATGATAATTTAATTGTTAATTAATTAAGAATTTAAAAGATATCCTTTTTTAAATGTTTCATATTTTACTAATTGACTCTATTATTTTGAAAATTTTTGTTTAGAATATACAAAGTGGTTTAATGAGAAACTGTTTTTTAGTCAATTAATTAAATGAGTATATATTTATTTTTTTTAGGTAAATTTTCAATATACTTTATTATGATATCAATAATATAGTATTTAATTAATATAGTTGAGACTTTGAATTAATAAAAGAGAGTTATATTATAAAGTCATATGTGCTTATCTTTTTAGTTTGTTGTACTAAAAGCTAGAAGATATAAAGATTTTTTAAATGTGGTTTATACTTTAAGATAGTATGTAAAATAATTATAAATCTTAATTTCTTATAAAATTAATTTGAAGAAAACTTTAATAAATTATTTATAAAATGTTTATAAAACAATAAAAATAACCTGATGGTAGCTTAATTCTCTTTCCTCAATTGGAACATAAATATTCTTTGATTTGGGTATTATAAAAATTAAAAATTAGATGCATGGATTGGGGGATTCAGCTAATGGATTCTTAAGCATGTTTTAAAAATATTCAATAGTAAAACCAGAAACAAAAATACTTTTACTTTAAGCTCCTAATAGACGTGTTACTATTAATAATGGTCATTTTAGTTCTAGTTGGTTTGATATAAAAGTACTTGAACCAGATATTGAAAAAAATTAAGAATTAGATTATTTTAAAACTGTAAATATATTATTCATAATTAGACTGTTTCTATTGAGGAAATTGAGTAATCAAAAATAATGATTAATTAATATTTAAATGAAGAAGTGGTTAAAGTATAAGCAAAAAATGTGTTCATTGGAGGATTTTCATAAGGATGTTGTATGGCATTAGAAGTGGGTTTGAGTTATTCTTAAACACTTGGAGGTATAATTGGTTTATCAGGAGATCTATTTCCTACAACATAATTACATTAAATTTAAGATAAAACACCACTTTTGATAATTCATGGAAAAGATGATTAAGTAGTTCCTTGTGATTTTTTATCACGAAGTCTTGAAAGATTGAAAATTCCTAATCGAGTAAATTATGAACATATAATACTATCAAATCTTGAGCATGAAGTTAATTAATAAGTTGTTTAGTTAATGATTCAATTTTTTTAAAAATATTAGATTTGAGTATTAGATTAAAATTAATATATATTTAAGTAATTTTGATTATTTAATACTCTTATAATTAATTTTATTTCGAATATGAATAAAGAAAGACAGTATAAATTTATGGATAAATAAATTCTTTAAACATAGTATAATATATTATTTACTTTAATTCACATTAAATGATATTTTAATTCATATACATGAAATGATAAAGTTTCATCATTCCAAATTATTAAATAATTTCCATCCTCAGTAATATTACCATAGTTTTTACAAGATTTACAGTCTATAGGTTCACTTTGAATTTGTAATGATTGCTTTTAATTACTTAAGATATAAACATATTTGTTATGTTTTAAGATAAAGATTTATTTAACTTTATTGTAAATAGATGGAAATAAGGATTATCCATCTTTTTCGTTTAAATACTTCAAGTTTATTTACAAATCTGTTTTTTCAACAAAACCTTCTGTTTATTATTTATAAATATGAATAGATCCCTAATTTTCTTGACACCAAGCAATAGTATCTTAATTTAGAAAACAAACTCTAAATCCATTATCATTTTTTAAGTTTTCTAAAACTTATTTAAATTTAAATCTTCTTTCATTTGCTTTTTTTTCCCAAACTATAATTGTTTTATCATCACTACATGAAACTAATTAAGTTTCATCTTCATTCATACTCATTTGACCAATGTGTTTACTATGTTTATTAAGTTAATAATGAAACATTAACTTATTC